ATTGAGTCATCTTCCAAATCGTGCTGTCACAATGTTATAAGATCAGCTTTCACAACAGAATCAATCACAGCAAGCAACATATTCTAATCTCTTTTATATTAAATCGTTCGTAAATGTTTTTGCAAGTGTTTTTAATTTCCGAATTAGATCATCATGTTTTCTAACGTAATGCCCATTAGTCTGAAGAATCCATAATGATAGTCGCCCCACTTCTATCTGCCAGTTTAATAATCATATTAGATCGTTGATCAAGCTATTTAATTTAGTTCCCTCCAAGTTTTCAATAATAATAATAATAATAATAATGTCCATTTGTATGGCGCCGTTTCCACACACTAGTGTATGCTCAAGGCGCCCCGTGTGTACAGCTAAAAAAACAACTGCAGGAATTGTGCAAGTCATTCGTAATATTTCCTGAAAAGATGGGTCTTCAATGAAGATTTGAATAAGTCAAGAGATTTTGCTGTTTTGATGGTTATGGGAAGACTGTTCCACAGTGAAGGAGCAGCATAGCTGAATGATCTGTGACCATAGTTCTTGAGATTGACAGGGGGGTGTTGTTAGGAGGAACTGTTGGTGTGATCAATACCAAGGTTTATTGTCATTACTTTCCACAAATTCACCCAAACGTATAATTTTACCCTTCTTCGCACACCAGTGGGATTACTGAAGTGGCCACTGAATCTGTGTGTTTAAAAAGGATTTCTGCATTTCTAAACTGTCGGTAACGTAATTTCTTCTTTCTGTTCATTACATTTACGTCTTTTCGGACTTGGTGTAAGTTTGAGCCTTGATTCGATATTCCTTTTTCAGTTTCCCTCAGCTTCCGCCCTGAAAGGCTGGTGGTTTCCTTCTGCTTGGTATGTTTAGTTTTCTTGTTTGTCAAAGAACGATTTGGAACGAATCCTCATTTTCAAGGTTGTGTTTTTGTTTTGTTTTTGCTGCTACTCATAATGTTTATTTCTTTTTCTCGGTAGTTTCGTCTAATTCTGTCCAGTTCTTTTCCGCAATCCCTTCTGAGGTTCATGTCCCGATCGTGACCTTTTTGTTGGGTTTGTTGTTTTTGCCTTACAGCTCCATTTCTTCCAACGTAAGTGATATTTCATGTAAGTCCCGGATATTGCGAATTTGACTTACTTGTATTGTCAGCTCCTTGTTTGTCTGGCAGATGTCTTCAGCCAAAGTAAGGTCGTTTTCGACCTGGAATAGGGTTTTCTTTCATCATAGAGTAAATTATTATTAAATTATTAAATTCCTATTATCGCGTTAAAAAACCACAATATTTACCTGTGGTTATGTTTGCGAGATCTTCGGCAGGATGTTGGTCACATTTTAATAAAAACAATGATTTTGTAAACGAAAAAGCATAAAATTCCAGCTTTCTGTGTTGTGATATCGTAGACCTTGTCAGGATATTGGCTGCGAGTTGCCCATTCTTTGTTTGTTTGACACAATTCGTACCTTTTTGTGTTATGCTTTCTACGTGGGTGGCTTCTGTGATTGATTATGCAATGCTGTGCCGTGTGTGTTGCATCCCTCCACTGACAGGACAGTTTCTTCTGTCATGCCCTTAAGGTTATGCACGTTGTCTGGATTATTGATCACCGAATTTACTTTGGAATGTTTGTTCATTGAGCAGGGCCGTTGCAACGTCTAGTTTCTCTTATATCCGTATCAGCTATCCACACATGCTTGTGAAGATGCTCAGGCCGCCCTCCTCAAATAGTTTGGCCCTATTGTGTCTTCTTGAATACTGTAATTATTGTATTACCAACAAACAACAAAGCAATGTGACGTCATCAATAACTGTGTTCTAAGATTAACGTAGTTCACAAATAAATACAAAGGTATCAGTATGGCAGTATAGGCAGTACAAGTTGAGTATACATATTCAGCAATAAAGACAATAGTACCAACAGTAATCCGAGGCTATAGAGTGATCTCACACAACGCTGGTCTTCTTGTGGCTTGAGATGTTATGTGAGTTGCGAAGCAATAGCCAGCTCTTCTCATATACCTCTCTCAGGCTTATGGTTCTGGAATAAGAACCTTCGAGCTCTTTCCAGGTCATCTATACTGTTCTCAGCGTCACTTGAGATGCCTATAAGGTTGTAGCACAAGTTTAAATATACACCACTGCCCCTCTCATGTAGACATCAATGGTGTACACAAAGTCGAACTGAGCTAACTGCCGCTATAAATGTGTTTTCAGATGGGCCCTATTCACTTTACATTACTTTGATAGGCATGATCGTGTCTGGCCACGTCGAAATGAAGGTCAAGCCAATGCCAACAAAAGACTTCATGACTGTGGATTGTTTATAGTGCAGGCTGGCATCACGGTGACTGAACGAACCATATTGTGCAAGGTATGGACATTGGACAGGGACAGTACTATTGGTACAACAAACTAACACTCTTTGATATCCCGTAAAACGCCCTTGCTCATCACCAGCAAAACATCCTTTAAATGCAATGACAATCTATAAGCCTCGATCTTACTCCATTTAACACTTTAACATTTACAATTTCACCTCAGCTGTACTTCCAGATTATGATTCTAATTCGTTGATTATCATTACCAGAAACTATTACTAGAAACCAATATTTCTTACAGTTTGGGAAATTCTATGCTATTTCCGAGTAGATAAGAGCAGATAACTGATTTAAAGTGCCCATGGTATTTCTTGCCATTTGACACAGAGAAAAGGAATCTAAGAAATGAGGTAGTTTCAAGAACGGAATAGGGTGTTTCAGCTGTGTGTGATGGGAAGCCTAGCAAGTGTGGTACACTTCGAGTCACTAACATCTGTTATACAAGCACTGTTTGATGTTCACATTATCAGTGGTGCTGGTTTAATGCCATCACGGGTGATATTTCGCACTACGCTGAAGACGGTATTATTGATGCTCTTTGTTTAAGGCCATACAAGTGATGTATATTAACGTTGACAATAACACACATACAACAGTGATAAAGGTGTCCAAGACTACCTGTATAAGTCAAGTGGGAAAAAGTGTTGTAGATTATGTAACATTATGTGTACACTGAGTATATTACATTGTTTCCAGTGCTTTGTGTGCGCTCGCACACGCACACACACAGAAAAAGCTACACACACCACACACAAACACTGCTTTATGAATGGAAGTGTGGCTTCATTTTATTAATGAAGTTCGTCACGCTGACGACCCAGGTTTGATTCCCCACATGGGTACAATGTGTGAAGCCCATTTCTGGTGTCCCCGCCGTGATATTGCTGGAATATTGCTAAAAGCGGTGTAAAATTAAACTCATTTACTACTGATGAAGTGATAGCGGGACTACTGCTGCTTTAATCGTGTTATGAGCGTGGTCAGCCTCTCCCAGTTATATTGTGATTTAACACTCAATGTACCGCTCTCTTAATCGTATGTTCCATTTTTGGATTTATCGAACATTTTGTCTTTATCATGACGTGGATTGAATTAAACAGGAAAAGATGTTTCGTATAGAACTATTTTAAGTCGTATCGTTCGATCTGAGTTGTTTTCATACGGGAGTCAAACACACAAACAATAACTGAACAATTGTATGTCATGTGTCCGAACAATATATTAGCATCTAGTCTTTACACGTACATGCATTCCTTATTATTTATTTACATTTAAACGATAAACGTCAACAAACATTTTACTAACTGTGCTTGATGAACAAAATCAAACATTTGCATTTGGGAACGATTACAAAGTAAACTGTTGGTCGCGGTAGGTATTTTTGCATCAAGGATCGAAATGTTAAGTGAGTGTTTAGTGAAGTACTATGTTCTTCTTCAACACCAGCATGCACAGATAAACGTTAACGTTTCTATCAAACTACACGGCAATGGTACCAGCACGTGGATTTCAATTATGTGCCGAGTGATTCGTGTGAATTGTGTTGTCACTGACATAGTTTTTACAAGATGAAAGGCCAACAAAACTCTCAATGTTTTCACCATCTCCTTCAATTCAATTTACTCAGTTCGAGGTTGTCTTTTGAAAACATTAGTTCATTGTTAAAGGAGATCAAAGGGCGTCCGTTTCAATAAGATTCTATTCTATCTCAGTCGTGGAAAATATTTAATATTGAGTCCTGACGATTGGCGGCTCTGAAACGTCTTCCACAAACTGTCCTCCCTGTAAAGTAGGCGTTGCACACAGTCGTCCCTGTAAAATAGGCCTAGCGCTGCAGACAGTCCAAATCATTTTGAACTACGAGAAAATATCCTCCCAGTCAGTACCTTATCCTGAAAAGGGATGACTGCAGTCAAAAGCCACAGTGAATATATCTGAAATAACTGGGTTACTGTAATGATATTCACTATGAATGAATGAATGGACTTTAGATCATGTCGCACGTGCCATATGCCGCCCATAACGTGAACAGTAATGATATGCGTTGTATGTCGACTCTGCTTTTGGAAGGGGTTTCGTTGATTATATTTGGTATTTAACCAATGCAAAGTAGCAGCGGAAACAACATTAATCACTTGCCACAGCTGAGGAGTAAACAAAGTACCGTGAAGACCATAAACGACAGTATATAAACACCTATAGAAAAGCCGTCTGTTGCACATAGATTTAGTCATTAATCAAAGGGTAACGATTCCTTATATTTTTTAAACACCCAATCATGTTCTATTGAAGACAGCCTGACAATAAAAGTTGTGTTACTTGTTATGTGTGTGACTGTAATAAATAGAGGCGATTCGTGTGTTTACCATTATAGCTCCACAGCATTGGTCAAGGTAGGTTGGCACTTTCAGAAAACTGTTTTAACACATTCTCTTCTGGAAACTACACAACGAGCCATGGGTTGTGTTTCGTGTAATAAGTTCCTTTTGTCAATAGAACTTCCACCCTCAGTCATGTTTCCATCTTAGGTTACATATATAGGTATCGTGTTAAAGATTTAAATGTCACTTAAATGCCAACAATGGGTTGAATCTGTATACCTTATACTGCCTCTATCATCAGCTATGACGTCACGCCTATACGGTATCTTCGTCCTGGCGGCGGTCCTGGGGGCGGCTCTCTCCAACATTGTCAAGAGAAGTAAGGTCCCTGTTCGTAACTGATCATGAAAGAATAGAAATACCTGTATATGAATAATGTTGAAATACATATTTAAGAGAACACATAGAAGATTAGTAGTTTTCTCTTCTCAGTTTTCATGGAGATACAATCAGATCCTGAAACACTATCTATATAGCGAAATATCACATAAGTTATGAGTAATATGTAAGGCAGGGACCATCGTCAAATATATATTTTCGAAAATATTGTTAATTGATGGTATTCTATCTGGATGCTAATTAATGTGTTGGACTTTATGGTAAGGACTGTCTGAAATATTTCAAATCTGGAGGAAACTATTAATGATATGTTATAGAGTGACAGTTCTACTCATCTCCATTGCTGCTAACATTACTAGGTGAGAATGTGACCTTAGGGTGAAGGATACATACACAATGCCATTTAGAAGGAAGTGTAATTCCAAATATAACAAATGTTAGAGATGAACATATACTGTGGTTTTACCTTAGGTAGTGACGGCAGCTGCAACTGTAATGGCACAGTGGTGGCTAATGGCGACTACTTCAACTATGCATGTGTATTGTACAAATGTGTGGATGGCGTCCAGACATGTGAAAAGAAGGGTAAGTTGATCATTTTACTTGCGAATATTCAAACTATTTCTATTGGGAGGAATCTATTTAAGAGCTTCGGCACTTCTATGTTCTATACATTTACCAATATCTTAAAATGTTTCATGATTTTCATGATCATATATAAATGATTTTATGTGATTTTAATCTATTTTTAAGACTACGAATAAGTATTACATCAATGCTATCAAATCAAAGCAAATACAAGACTTGTTAGTGAACTTTTACAGTAAACAATTATTTTCTCGACTGATACTCTGTGCTTACAAATACAATTGAAAACTTCACTGAACGCAAATTACAAAGGCTATTGAAATTCCTTTGTTCTTACTTTTGACCAAAAAATACTTACTTTCCAAATAGAATTTGAAGACAGAAAAACATCAATCCAATTATGATGGTACTGTTGGGAGCTGGAATGGATTTTTTTCTCATATTTTAATTGTTTTCTTCCACGAGAAAAATGAACACATAAAATAGTTAAAAAGGAATTGCAGAATATCTGGTAACCTGTATTGTCTCATCACGTGCCCATTCCTTCAACTTTTCATTCTTAACACGTTTTAATTTTGTTATGCTTCAATCATGAATTATCGTGAGAAAATATATGTAAATGATTTGCATTTTTTGGCATTCTATTTGATGACAGAATGCGAACACGAAGGTGCCTGCTACGCCCAGGGCACTACCATGACCATAAACTGCTACAATCACACGTGCAAGATCTCTGGTGGGACAATTGGGTTTAAAAAGGACGCGGGACAGTCAACTCGTAAGTAGATAAACCAACATGTCACCTTCTAAATACAGTCTCTGATGGATGTGTTTGTTTCCGTTCACCCACCTAAAACCTTACAATAGATACACTATGTTTACAACAGTAATGGTCATTGGAATCAGTAGGTTTTGTTTCCAGTGCGTTCCATTATAGGTGGTTGAACACATAGGTATATTGCACATATATATACTTGGAAATTCAACGTTGTAACGTTATCTGCTGCATATAATACACATACTCTATGGTTCACACACATCACAGTCGTGGACAATTCACGGAATACATGGCGAGGACATTCCAAAATGAATTATCTTCATTCCAGTTGATGCCGACAGTATGGGAGATATATGCCCTTATCACGTATTTATAAGACCTGCGTGGAAACCCGAGACATCAGCGTATATAGTGTACACGGAAATGAGTGTGACACAACTTTTTATATATCCTCATGGTCGATACGCCATGTCTCCTGACCAGGCAAAGATCACGTAACAAGTATGACATGCACTTGAATACATGTCTTGTTTGACCATTATTGTAGGTTTGGTGATAAGTAACTAATTCTATCTTTAATTTCATTCACTCTAATATAGACTTGATCTCAGCCGTGGTGTATTGTATAGTTACACCACGGTTTTGAGCTGCCTTCGACAGCAAGTCTCCAATTGGATCTTTGCATGTTTAGCCACACCTACGTTTAACAAACATAAGTGTCCCTCTCAAATGGATGTAAACCTTCGAAAGAGACAACCAGCATTTGTTTTACTCTTTAAATGAAAATAATGACAACTTTGTCGGAAACGCGCTGACAAATACATCATTAAACCTTTAAATCAGTCACGAAGTAGTTATTTTTTTAAGTACTTTCACAATTTTTGGAACTCAATAATTATTGAAAATACAGTTCTGGTTAATATTGCCCATTCGCCCCACTTGGACACTGATAACAGGTTCAATCCCTGTAACACGGTAGATTTAGTTTCCATTATATCGGCAGTTTGTGAGAGGGTGGTGTCATCGATTGCATCATTCCAGAGTTTAGCACCTTCAATTTCGTCAACTATTTGTGACAGTGTAATGTCGTCTATAGTATTATCCCACTCGCGACCAGACATCTCGGCAGTCTCAAACAGGATGATTTTCAATTAAAAAATCCCGCGTAGATTTTGAAATTTGAATGCACAATGTGGGCATGGTAGAAAGCAGTTACTTCATCCAATCACTCGAGCTTGGTCCAAATACACCACAGCCTGGTCGCTGGTTATTGGTCGATGAATTTGCGTCTCGGGCTACGCCCTCGACAGTTCATCGATCAATCACCTGCGACCAGGCCGTGGTGTATTTGGACCAAGCTCTCGTACTGGAATGAAGTAACTACTACTTAAGATAGTTGAAGCGCTAAGATCGCTTTGTGCAAGTGGACCCTAGTAATCGAGATGCCAGCAAGTGTTTGTACCGCAGCTGATTTAGATAATAATGAGCTATTTATACCACGAAACCTCAAATACACATAGTCAATTGTTAAGAATGACGTAACATTGTTAAGACTGATGTGCCATTGTTAAGAATGATGTAGCATCGTTAGAACTAGAGTTCCATTGTAAACACTGATGTGACATTGTTAAAACTAATGTGTCATTGTTATGACTGACTTGGCATTGTAAACATTGATGTTGCATCGTTATGACTGGTGTGGCATCGTTAAGACTGATGTTGCATTTTTGGGACTGGTGTTCCATTGTTAAGACTGGTGTTGCATCGTTATGACTGGTGTGCCATCGTTAAGACTGGTGTGGCATCGTTATGACTGGTGTGGCATTGTTATGACTGGTGTTCCATTGTTAAGACTGGTGTGGCATTGTTATGACTGGTGTGGCATTGTTAAGACTGGTGTGGCATCGTTATGACTAGTGTGGCATTGTTATTACTGGTGTTCCATTGTTAAGACTGGTGTGGCATCGTTATGACCGGTGTTCCATTGTTAAGACTGGTTTGGCATCGTTATGACTGGTGTGGCATCGTTATGACTGGTGTTCCATTGTTAAGATTGGTTTGGCATCGTTATGACTGGTGTTCCATTGATAAGACTGGTGTGGCATCGTTATGATTGGTGTTCCATTGTTAAGACTGGTGTGGCATCGTTATGACTGGTGTTCCATTGTTAAGACTTGTGTGGCATCGTTATGACTGGTGTTCCATTGTTATGACTGATGTGGCATTGTTAAGACTGGTGTGGCATCGTTATGACTGGTGTTCCATTGTTAAGACTGGTGTGGCATCGTTATGACTGGTGTTCCATTGTTAAGACTGGTGTGGCATTGTTATGACTGGTGTGGCATCGTTATGACTGGTGTGGCATCGTTATGACTGGCGTGGCATCGTTATGACTGGTGTGGCATTGTTATGACTGGTGTGGCATCGTTAAGACTGGTGTGGCATCGTTATGACTGGTGTGGCATTGTTAAGACTGATGTTGCATTGTTAAGACTGATGTTCCATTGTTAAGACGGATGTGGCATTGTTATGACTGGTGTGGCATTGTTATGACTGGTGTTCCATTGTTAAGACTGGTGTGGATCGTTATGACTGGTGTTCCATTGTTAAGACTGGTGTGGCATCGTTATGACTGGTGTTCCATTGTTAAGACTGGTGTGGCATCGTTATGACTGGTGTTCCATTGTTAAGACTGGTGTGGCATCGTTAAGACTGGTTTGGCATCGTTATGACTGGTGTGGCATTGTTATGACTGGTGTTCCATTGTTAAGACTGGTGTGGCATCGTTATGACTTGTGTGGCATCGTTATGACTGGTGTTCCATTGTTATGACTGATGTGGCATTGTTAAGACTGGTGTGGCATCGTTATGACTGGTGTTCCATTGTTAAGACTGGTGTTCCATTGTTAAGACTGGTGTGGCATCGTTATGACTGGTGTGGCATCGTTAAGACTGGTGTGGCATCGTTAAGACTGGTGTGGCATCGTTATGACTGGTGTGGCATTGTTAAGACTGATGTTGCATTGTTAAGACTGATGTTGCATTGTTAAGACGCATTGTTAAGACGGATGTGGCATTGTTAAGACGGATGTGGCATCGTTAAGACTGGTGTGACATTGTTAAGACGGATGTGGCATTGTTAAGACGGATGTGGCATTGTTAAGACGGATGTGACATTGTTAAGACTGATGTGGCATCGTTAAGACTGGTGTGACATTGTTAAGACTGATATGCATTTTTAGGAGTGTTGTTCCACTGTTAAGACCGATGTGGCATTGTGAAGACTGTTGTGGCATTGTCAAGTGAGGGGTGAGTGAGTGAGTATGGTTTTACGCCGCTTTTAGCAATATTCCAGCAATATCACGGCGGGGGACACCAAAATGGGCTTCACACATTGTACCCATGTGGGGAATCGAACCCGGTTCTTCGACGTGACGAGCGGCATTGTTAAGACTGATATGACATTGTTAAGACTGATATGACATTGTTAAGACTGGTGTAGCATTGGTATGACTGATGTGGAATTGTGTCCACAGAGTGTCCCTACGGTGATGAATGCTACGGTGTCGGGCCTATAGGATCCTGTGCTACATGCAACAGCGATGGAACTGTCTTACAGAGTGAGCATTTCTATGTTACTTTAGTAACTGATTCAGTACCATATCCCTTACCGCTGATTTACCTTATGGCGATGTAAACGAAGTTTTACTTCTTATGCTCACAAACTGATATCCAGCTCTACCAGAAAATGTGCTGCATTGTCTGATTTAGACCGTCTCTATTTTTCTGTGATTTTTACCGATATAAAACGTCACACACGGAGAGATCGTGCATCCTAACCTTCGGTGCACCCAATGGCACATAACAACAATAGCAAAGGTCACCATATACAAAACGTGTTTTCGTCGTATGTTTGTTTAAGTCATCCAAGACAGATTGGTTTGTATCACTTTGGTTTCCATTACAAAAATCGTGGAAATAAAAGACACATTAGCCCAACTCACAAATTACTCCTGCACCAAACTGTGTATGAGATCTCAGTACACGGGCTGATTATAATCATAATAAATAATGTTTTCACCTGTATATGTGTTTGATACATACCTTCCTGGTTCCCAGAATGTCAGCATAACGGAGACTGCATTGCTGTGGGGGAGACAGTGGACTTGTACTGTTCCACCTATGAGTGTGTGAACGTCGGCAATGTCTACCGCCTGACAGTGAAGATCCCAAGTACGTGTATCGGTTGTTCAGTATCTTCTATAATTAAAAATACGTCAGTGATTTCTGAAATTTACCTGGCATATCTTTTTAAGATTGTATTATTCATATTTGTAGCAATAATATTCATTACTTATAGATATAGTGGGTTTATCTAATCTTCACTATTATATACTCTCCCCAAAAAGAAACGCATATAGGAATTTCAACTGTATTTTTATGTCCATTTTGAAACATCTTGTAGGCTTTATGAGTCAATGAAATATAGCGAAATTGCACACTGGGAATGAAGACCTATCCGTCTTTGGCACCAACTCGAGGAAAGTCAGTTTGAGTATCACATGGAGACGTGTGGTGGCGCTGAAGTCAATACCTCGTGTGACCACCGTGGGCATCCAGAACTGCACGGCATCGAACGAATAAGTATCAGAATCTCGTGTTGCCCAATCGCAGCCCACTCTGCCTGTAGTGCCTGTGCGAGTTGCTGAATTGTCTGAGGGTTACGGCGTCGCACCCGTCTGTCCAGGGCATCCCACAGATGTTCGATCGGGTTTAAGTCCGGTGATCTTGAAGGCCAGGGGAGCACATTGATGTTGTGGTTCTGGAGGAAGTCTCTAGTGTGACGTGCTGTGTGGGGCCTGGCATTGTCCTTTTGAAACAACTCCCTCTGGCGATCAATGATTCGAAGGAGGTGTGGGCGTAGGATTTCGTCACAGTACCGTTGAGCTGTCAGGTTGCCCTGGATCATCACCAAATCACTTCTCCTACGGCAGGTGATCGCTCCCCACATCATAACACTTTCCCGGCCGAATCTGTCCACCTGGGGAACGCAAGCGTCGGCGAAACGTTCACGTCGACGTCTGTACACCCGCATTCTTCCATCGCGTCGTTCCAACAGAAATCGTGATTCATCACTGAACCAGATTCTACGCCAATTCGGTAGGTTCCAGGCCTGAACATTGGTGCACCGTTGAACTCGATGTCGACGATGTTGTTGTCGAAGCACAGGGCCAAAATAAGGTCTTCTGGCACGTAAACCAGCCTCTCTCAACCTGTTCCTGACGGTCTGTGCAGAAAGCCTCCTCAATCCGGGTATTTGTCGAGCGGTACTGGTCGCCGTAGCTGTTCGATGACGCAGGTGATGTACCCGGATGTAGCGATCCTGTGCCGCAGTGGTCGCTCGAGGTCGCTCACTACGAGGGGCATCTGCTACCGCATTCTGCCGGCAATATCTCTCCCAGAGTCGTGAAATGGTGCTTTGGTGAACATTCATGCGTCGGGCAACTGCACGTTGAGACTGGCCAGCTTTAAGCAAACCCATGGCGATATGACGGTTGGCTTCACTTAGACGTGGCATTTTGCGTTCGTCAACAATATTCCAAATACAGTGACAGACAGCGATCAACCTTTTATACCCATCATTGAGACTATCTGATCCCCAACTTTCACGTGCATTGCATGTGAATTGCGTATTCTGTGACACTAAATGCTGTTAAATACGGGTATTTTACGGATGGTGCGTTTTGTTGTGATGTTTCAAAACATAAACACCATAGGATTCATAAACAGAGCAAAACCTTTTGTAAAATGAATCACGTTTTAATTCATTGCTACATGAAATTGCTATTTTCATGATGCGTTTCTTTTTTTGGAGAGTATATAACTATTTTTCGATATGTATGGCCGTTTGCCAATATGTTTGAGCAATCAGGAAACCTACATCGATATAAGCTGTTTAACATTTCCGAAATGTTAATGATCTGACTGAAATGTTTCAGAGTGCGAAATAGACAGCAACTGCCATGATGTCAACACAACCTTCAACTGCCTACAGTGCAAGGTTGACGCAAATAACGAGCCTTACATTGTCAAAGGTGCGTCAGTTGAGCTGCTTAAACTTTATAAACGTTCATTCTTTTCCCAGTAAGCAAAAACGAGTCTCACCTTATGAAATATATATGTGACGTCAACGTCAGACAATATCTGGTATATCAAAAGTATGTCCACCGAGGCACTTACTATTCGTAAACGTTTATTCTTTTCTATTTAGCCTAATAATAATTTTGTAATGACCAAGGGAGTTAGTGTTATATTTGATACTTGAGGGAAGGTGGTTCAGATTCTACTATCTGGTTAAACTGTTACCAGCCGACACTTTCATCGCGAGATATATATAATGTTGATACATGTTTGTACACGTTTTCATCTAATGCTCTCTGAACATAACCGTAATGTGTGTCTTTGAGAGATTAGCTGAATGTGGTGGATGTTCTCAAACCTGAATGTTACGGTGGTTATGACAGAGTATGGTTGTGTTTATCGGTTTATGTATTGTCAATAGTAGCCACTATACTCAGTCGATTATTGTCTTGATCTTCATATCGTACATGTACAAATCTGTGTAAGGTATCCACACTATTATTGTTTCTGCTGCAGAATGTGCCTATGACGACAGTTGCTACACCAGCGGTTCACAGATAACGCACCAGTGTTACAACTACACATGTCAAACAGACACCACCGTCGGATTTGTCCCGGACGCCGATCAGCCGATAAGTAAGGTCAAATCGGGATGATTAACACGATAGCTATTCATAATCATTTTGCTTCTGCTTCAAAGTGAAGTAAGATCATCTAACTTTCCCATTCTAAGGCAGTTGTGACAGCCCAAACCAGGGATATCACAGCCAGACCAACAACCTGTAGCCTCAACTTGTGTCATCACACCAATTGTTCATTATATCTATGGTTTACTGATGTTCAGTATGCCAGATAGCCTAGAGCTTGGGTAAGTCAGATGAACAGCTCTATTTTGTAAAATTAATTGGCGTACCTCAATGTGGTCGCTCGGTGGAGAGGGAAGAATTAATGAAGAGCTGAATCTAGAGTTTCTGACATCACGTAGTTTTTGTACACTTCTTCTGCATGATGAGGTTCGATCATATTTGATACATTTTAGAGGCCACAGAATACATGCTTTTGATCAAGTTCGACTTTTGTAGCTGTATCATGTTTTATATTATGATCCATCAAATAGAACAGCCACATAATATAAATGAGTTCGTACTATCTTTATTTTTTCGGATTAGGACTTTTAGGTTCCAGACCCATGAAGATCCGGGTTAGAATTGATCTTCAGCAAACCATTCTTGTCGTAAGATGCGACTAACGGGATTGGTTGGTCAGGCTCGCTGACTTGGTCGACACATATCGTCGCATTGAGTTGCGTACGTCGATGATCATACTGTTGATCACTGGATTGTCTGGTGCAGTCTCGATTATTTACAGACCGTTGCGATATAGCTGGAGTGTTGCTGAGTGTTAAACAAAACATTGCTCCAGACGGTCGAGTTCGTAAACTGAAATATTGAAACCGTGTCGCTTTATACAAGACACATATCTCCGGCAATCATAAACATGAAATGGTCAAGTGAGTGCATGGCAGGGGAGCAAGCACGGAGAACATAGTTGAACAATGCCCAGTTGAAATGACACCAACCGCTTGGTGGGTCGCAACACTGTACAATGTGACACACAGTGCGAGCTAGTCTGACTAACGGTCTGTCGTTAGACGTATGTCTGATTAATTACATATCCTTTCAGGGTGCTACGATAACGGTATCTGCGCAGGTGTGGGTGCAATGGACAACTGTAAAACATGCGGTGCTGACGGAAAAATCATGTACAGTTGAGTGATGATCAGAAAGAACGATATATAACTACTATTACTATTATGTTATCTATGACCAGTTGATATCTGTTTAGTTAATACACACATTTGCAAGTAGCATTGGTATGGCCCAAGAGAACATTTCAGTATTTACCTCTTTAATACAGTTTCTGACATCACGCCACGAGCTGTAGTACCCCATAGTACTTCCTCATAAACAGTTCATGTAGTTCCGTCCAGCCACAAACATTTCTCATCAACATTATACCAAGTTCCGTCCCGCCACAAACATTTCTCATAAACATTTCACCAAGTTCCGTCCCGCCACAAACATTTCTCATAAACGTTTCACCTAGTTCCGTCCAGCCACAATCATTTCTCATTAACATTTCACCTAGTTCCGTCCAGCCACAAACATTTCTCATAAACATTTCATGTAGTTCCGTCCCGCCACAAATATTTCTCATAAACATTTCACCTAGTTCCGTACAGCCACAAACATTTCTCATAAACATTTCATGTAGTTCCGTCCAGCCACAAACATTTCTCATAAACATTTCACCTAGTTCAGTCCCGCCACAAACATTTCTCATAAACATTTCACCTAGTTCCGTCCCGCCACAAATATTTCTCATAAACATTTCTCCTAGTTCCGTCCAGCCACAAACATTTCTCACAAACATTTCATCTAGTTCCGTCCAGCCACAAACATTTCTCATCAACATTTCACCAAGTTCCGTCCCGCCACAAACATTTCTCATAAACATTTCACCAAGTTCCGTCCATCCACAAACATTTCTCTCAAACATTTAACCAAGTTCCGTGCAGCCACAAACATTTCTCATAAACATTTCATCTAGTTCCGTACAACCACAAACATTTCTCATAAACATTTCATCTAGTTCCGCCCAGCCACAAACATATCTCATAAACATTTAACCATGTTCCGTCCAGCCACAAACATTTCTCATAAACATTTCATCTAGTTCCTTCCCACCGCAAACATTTCTCATTAACATTTAACCAAGTTCCGTCCCGCTACAAACATTTCTGATAAACATTTCACCAAGTTCCGTCCCGCCACAAACATTTCTCATAAACATTTCATGTAGTTCCGTCCAGCCACAAACATTTCTCATAAACATTTCACCAATTTCCGTCCCGCCACAATCATTTATCATAAACATTTCACCTAGTACCTTCCCGCCACAAACATTTCTCATAAACATTTCATGTAGTTCCGTCCCTCCACAAACATTTCTCATAAACATTTCACCAAGTTCCGTACAACCACAAACATTTCTCATAAACATTTCATCTAGTTCCGCCCAGCCACAAACATTTCTCATTAACATTTCATTTAGTTCCGTCCAGCCACAAACATTTCTCATAAACATTTCACCTAGTTCCGTCCCGCCACAAATATTTCTCATAAACATTTCATCTAGTTCCGTACAACCACAAACATTTCTCATAAACATTTCATCTAGTTCCGTCCAGCCACAAACATATCTCATAAACATTTAACCAAGTTCCGTCCCGCCACAAACATTTCTCATAAACATTTCATCTAGTTCCTTCCCACCGCAAACATTTCTCATTAACATTTAACCAAGTTCCGTCCCGCTACAAACATTTCTGATAAACATTTCACCAAGTTCCGTCCCGCCACAAACATTCCTCATAAACATTTCATGTAGTTCCGTCCCGCCACAAACATTTCTCATAAACATTTCACCAATTTCCGTCCAGCCACAATCATTTATCATAAACATTTCACCTAGTACCTTCCCGCCACAAACATTTCTCATAAACATTTCATGTAGTTCCGTCCCTCCACAAACATTTCTCATAAACATTTCACCAAGTTCCGTACAACCACAAACATTTCTCATAAACATTTCATCTAGTTCCGCCCAGCCACAAACATTTCTCATTAACATTTCATGTAGTTCCGTCCAGCCACAAACATTTCTCATAAACATTTCACCTAGTTCCGTCCAGCCACAAATATTTCTCATAAACATTTCACCTAGTTCCGTCCAGCCACAAACATTTCTCAAAAACATTTCCCCTAGTTCCGTCCCGCCACAAACATTTCTCATAAACATTTCTCATAAACATTTCATCTAGTTCCGTCCAGCCACAAACATTTCTCATAAACATTTCTCTTAGTTCCGTCCAGCCACAAACACTTCTCATAAACATTTCATGTAGTTCCTTCCAGCCACAAACAGTTATCATAAACATTTCATCTAGTTCCGTCCAGCCACAAACATTTCTCATAAACATTTCACCTAGTTCCGTCCCGCCACAAACATTTCTCATAAACATTTCACTTAGTTCCGTTCAGCCACAAACATATCTCTTAAACATTAAACCAAGTTCCGTCCCGCCACAAACATTTCTCATAAACATTTCATCTAGTTCCTTCCCAACACAAACATTTCTCATAAACATTTCACCAAGTTGCGTCCCGCCACAAACATTCCTCATAAACATTTCACCTAGTTCCTTCCCGCCACAAACATTTCTCATAAACATTTCATGTAGTTCCGTCCCGCCACAAACATTTCTCATAAACATTTCACCAAGTTCCGTCCTGCCACAAACATTTCTCATAAACATTTTATCTAGTTCCGTCCAGCCACAAACATTTCTCATTAACATTTCACCTAGTTCCGTCCCGCCACAAACGTTTCTCATAAACATTTCACCTAGTTCCGTCCCGCCACAAATATTTCTCATAAACATTTCACCTAGTTCCGTACAGCCACAAACATTTCTCAAAAACATTTCACCTAGTTCCGTCCCGCCACAAACATTTATCATAAACATTTCACCTAGTACCTTCCCGCCACAAACATTTCTCATAAACATTTCATGTAGTTCCGTCCCTCCACAAACATTTCTCATAAACATTTCACCAAGTTCCGTACAACCACAAACATTTCTCATAAACATTTCATCTAGTTCCGCCCAGCCACAAACATTTCTCATTAACATTTCATGTAGTTCCGTCCAGCCACAAACATTTCTCATAAACATTTCACCTAGTTCCGTCCAGCCACAAATATTTCTCATAAACATTTCACCTAGTTCCGTCCAGCCACAAACATTTCTCATCAACATTATACCAAGTTCCGTCCCGCCACAAACATTTCTCATAAACATTTCACCAAGTTCCGTCCCGCCACAAACATTTCTCATAAACGTTTCACCTAGTTCCGTCCAGCCACAATCATTTCTCATTAACATTTCACCTAGTTCCGTCCAGCCACAGACATTTCTCATAAACATTTCATGTAGTTCCGTCCCGCCACAAATATTTCTCATAAACATTTCACCTAGTTCCGTCCAGCCACAAACATTTCTCATAAACATTTCATGTAGTTCCGTCCAGCCACAAACATTTCTCATAAACATTTCACCTAGTTCAGTCCCGCCACAAACATTTCTCATAAACATTTCACCTAGTTCCGTCCCGCCACAAATATTTCTCATAAACATTTCTCCTAGTTCCGTCCAGCCACAAACATTTTCTCACAAACATTTTTCATCTAGTTCCTGTCCAGCCACAAACATTTCTCATCAACATTTCACCAAGTTCCGTCCTGCCACAAACATTTCTCATAAACATTTCACCTAGTTCCGTCCATCCACAAACATTTCTCTCAAACATTTAACCAAGTTCCGTGCAGCCACAAACATTTCTCATAAACATTTCATCTAGTTCCGTACAACCACAAACATTTCTCATAAACATTTCATCTAGTTCCGCCCAGCCACAAACATATCTCATAAACATTTAACCAAGTTCCGTCCAGCCACAAACATTTCTCATAAACATTTCATCTAGTTCCTTCCCACCTGCAAACATTTCTCATTAACATTTAACTACAAACATTTCTGATAAACATTTTCCGTAAACATTTCATGTAGTTCCGCTGCCACAAACACAAACATTTCTGATAAACATTTTCATAAACATTTCACTTAGTTCCGTCCTGCCACAAACATTCCACAAACTCATAAACATTTCATGTAGTTCCGTCCCAGCCACAAACATTTCTCATAAACATTTCACCAAGTTCCGTCACCCGCCACAAACATTTCTCATAAACATTTCATCTCATTTCAATTTCTGTAGTTCCGTCCAGCCACAAACATTTCTCATAAACATTTCACCTAGTTCCGTCCAGCACAAATACAAACATTTCTCATAAACATTTTCATTTCCCTAGTTCCGTCCCATTTCCACAAACATTTCTCATAAACATTTTCTTAGTTCCGTCCAGTTCCATGTAGTTCCTTCCAGCCACCACATAAACATTTCACCAAGTTCTCATAAACATTTTCATCATCTAGTTCCGTCCAGCCACAAACATTTCTCATAAACATTTCACCTAGTTCCGTCCCAGCCACAAACATTTCTCATAAACATTTCACTTAGTTCCGTCCAGCCACAAACATATCTCTTTAAACATTAAAACCAAGTTCCGTCCTGCCACAAACATTTTCTCATAAACATTTCATCTAGTTCCTTCCCAACACAAACATTTTTAAACATTTCAATTGCTATGTCCCTGCCACAAACATTTCATAAACCACCTAGTTCCTTCCCTGCCACAAACATTTCTCATAAACATTTCACATTTCACCTAGTTCCGTCCAGCCACAAACATTTCTCATAAACATTTCTCCTAGTTCCTGTCCAGCCACAAACATTTCTCATAAACATTTCATGTAGTTCCGTCCCAGCCACAAACATTTATCATAAACATTTCACCAAGTTCTGTCCTGCCACAAACATTTTCATAAACATTTTATCTAGTTCCGTCCAGCCACACAAACATTTCTCATAAACCACCTAGTTCCGTCCCGCCACAAACATTTCTCATAAACATTTCACCTAGTTCCGTCCTGCCACAAACATTTTCTCATAAACATTTCACCTAGTTCCGTACAGCCACAAACATTTCTCAAAACATTTCACCTAGTTCCGTCCCGCCACAAACATTTATCATAAACATTTCACCTAGTACCTTTCCTGCCACAAACATTTCTCATAAACATTTCATGTAGTTCCGTCCCTCCACAAACATTTCTCATAAACATTTCACCAAGTTCCGTACAACCACAAACATTTCTCATAAACATTTCATCTAGTTCCGCCCAGCCACAAACATTTCTCATTAACATTTCATGTAGTTCCGTCCAGCCACAAACATTTCTCATAAACATTTCACCTAGTTCCGTCCAGCCACAAATATTTCTCATAAACATTTCACCTAGTTCCGTCCAGCCACAAACATTTCTCAAAAACATTTCCCCTAGTTCCGTCCCGCCACAAACATTTCTCATAAACATTTCATCTAGTTCCGTCCAGCCACAAACATTTCTCATAAACATTTCTCTTAGTTCCGTCCAGCCACAAACACTTCTCATAAACATTTCATGTAGTTCCTTCCAGCCACAAACAGTTATCATAAACATTTCACCTAGTTCTGTCCCGCCACAAACATTTATCATAAACATTTCATCTAGTTCCGTCCAGCCACAAACATTTCTCATAAACATTTCACCTAGTTCCGTCCCGCCACAAACATTTCTCATAAACATTTCACTTAGTTCCGTTCAGCCACAAACATATCTCTTAAACATTAAACCAAGTTCCGTCCCGCCACAAACATTTCTCATAAACATTTCATCTAGTTCCTTCCCAACACAAACATTTCTCATAAACATTTCACCAAGTTGCGTCCCGCCACAAACATTCCTCATAAACATTTCACCTAGTTCCTTCCCGCCACAAACATTTCTCATAAACATTTCATGTAGTTCCGTCCCGCCACAAACATTTCTCATAAACATTTCACCAAGTTCCGTCCTGCCACAAACATTTCTCATAAACATTTTATCTAGTTCCGTCCAGCCACAAACATTTCTCATTAACATTTCACCTAGTTCCGTCCCGCCACAAACGTTTCTCATAAACATTTCACCTAGTTCCGTCCCGCCACAAATATTTCTCATAAACATTTCACCTAGTTCCGTACAGCCACAAACATTTCTCAAAAACATTTCACCTAGTTCCGTCCCGCCACAAACATTTCTCATAAACATTTCACCTAGTTCCGTTCCGCCACAAACATATCTCATAAACATTTCACCAAGTTCCGTCCCGCCACAAACATTTCTCATAAACATTTCATGTCGTTCCGTCCAGCCACAAACATTTATCATAAACATTTCACTTATTTCCGCCCCGCCACAAACATTTCTCATAAACAATTAACCAAGTTCCGTCAAGCCTCAAACATTTCTCATAAACATTTCACCTAGTTCCGTCCCGCCACAAACATTTTTAAACATTTCATAAACATTTCATCACCTAGTTCCGTCCAGCCGCCACAAACATTTCACATAAACATTTCACCTAGTTCCGTCCAGCCACAAACATTTCTCATAAACATTTCACCTAGTTCCGTCCAGCCACAAACATTTCTCATAAAAATTTCATCTAGTTCCGTCCAGCCGCAAACATTTCTCATAAACATTTCACCTAGTTCCGTTCCGCCACAAACATTTCTCATAAACATTTCACCAAGTTCCGTCCAGCCACAAATATTTCTCATAAACATTTCATCTAGTTCCGTCCCGCTACAAACATTTCTCACAAACATTTCATCTAGTTCCGTCCCGCCACAAATATTTCTTATAAATATTTCACCTAGTTCCGTCCAGCCGCAAACATTTCTCATAAACATTTCACCTAGTTCCGTTCCGCCACAAACATTTCTCATAAACATTTCACCAAGTTCCGTCCAGACACAAATATTTCTCATAAACATTTCATCTAGTTCCGTCCCGCCACAAACATTTCTCACAAACATTTCATCTAGTTCCGTCCCGCCACTAATATTTCTCATAAACATTTCACCTAGTTCCGTCCAGCCACAAGCATTTCTCATAAAAATTTCATCTAGTTCCGTCCAGCCGCAAACATTTCTCATAAACATTTCACCAAGTTCCGTTCCGCCACAAACATTTCTCATAAACATGTCACCAAGTTCCGTTCCGCCACAAACATTTCTCATAAACATGTCACCAAGTTCCGTCCCGCCACAAACATTTCTCACAAACATTTCATCTAGTTCCGTCCCGCCACAAATATTTCTCATAAACATTTCACCTAGTTCCGTCCAGCCACAAGCATTTCTCATAAAAATTTCATTTAGTTCCGTCCCGCCACAATCATTTCTCATAAACATTTCACCACGTTCTGTCACGTCACAATCAGTTTGAATAATATTTTCGCCGAGTTATTTCATGTCTGAAACATTTCACAATTTTCAAGTTAAGTTATAGAAAACAATATCAAGAAACGGTTTACCGTGGGAAAGGATTGCATGTAAGGGCAACAAATGGAACGACAAATAGGTAATTACACAGAAGCAATTAATGCTTTCGAAGGAAAGAAACGATCATAATTTCATATTAACTGTCGATAACGCTTTTCTGTTTTTCAGAATGTCCTCATGGCGATGCCTGCTATGACTCAGGGGTGGAGAAAACAATAGGTTGCCATACTTACACGTGCAAGACGGATACAAGCGTGGGGTTTGTAGAGAATCCCGGCCAACAGAAGCGTGAGTCTATGCCAAAGCGATATGGCCTCAGTTTGTTGGCCTAGTAAGACCAGCATACGAGACTGTTCACTAATATTTCATTAGACGTGTTGCCTACAAAAAACGATCTAAGAATAGTTTAGGTTTAATCTCCAACTCGCTTTTTGTAATCGTAAGAATAGGAAACAAGTCTAAACCAAATTGTTACTTTCACTATAAATAGTACGACCCATAGTTACGGGAAACCAGTGTCCGTACTATATTCTACATTTGGGCAAATATAGCTATTAATTCAAACGTTATATGCATTTCGACTTATCAGAGACCGCCTTGGTGTATTCATAGTGTATGATCATGGATTTTAGGAACAGCTATATGCACACATGAGTGTTTATCAGTTCGCATTATCTGGCAGTTTTTATCCCCCATTGTTATCCCCCGCAGGTTGTTACTATGAGGGACAGTGTCACGGTGTTGGTTACCTGGGCAACTGCGCCACCTGCGAGAGCGACGAAACTGTTACACAGAGTAAGGGCATCCAGCTGTCGGCCATTCTAGGATCATGTCTCAAAGCAGCACAGGGCTGTTGGTTACAATTACATGCATATATAACACCATGTAACAATAATATGTATTGTTGAAGCCAGCCTGTTCTCAACACTACAGTGGAGCCTGTTTTGTCCGGATCCTGATAATCTACACATTATAAGTTGTTCACTGGTCTCGAGGGGGACGAGGGGAACATACAGAAACATCGAGGGTACATCAACCCATGGGCCTCGAGGGACCAGTGAACAACGTTTTTATCTCAGTGGTAATTTGAACTGTTTGAAGCACGGGTATCCGATCATAGTATGGAGTACCAGACGACAAGAAAAACAATTTAGAGTTAACTCCCTTCTATCGATTTGCATTCGCAAAACATCGGTAATTCCGTACTTCATACGTAATGCAATGTTATTCGCGATAAGGAATTACTACTACGAAGTTCCAAATGAGTTTGGCATTCCCAGCGGGGTACATATAACACGCTTGTAAGCGGGGTACATTGAAACTAATAGAAGAGCGCTCAGCCAATCAGAAAACGACATTTATATGGGATGCCAGATAAGTATAAATGTATACATGTTACTCAGTTTCACTTGTAAACTGCGTCATCTGGGTTAAACGAGTTGCACTGTACTGTCAATGGTTGTTGTTTAATAACCTGACTATGTTTGACAATGTTTTTTCCATTGAAAGAATGCATCGTTGGAAGTGAGTGTGTAGCGGAGGGTGAGACGAAGACCGTTGGATGTTCAACAGTGCAGTGTATCAGAGAGGGCAACACCTACAGGCCTTCCTACATACAACCAGGTGCGACACAGGAACTCTCAACCAGAATCGGAATTTACATTTACACAATGCACTTCCATAAGTTACATTTCATTAGTGTGTCATCCATTAGCTCAAAGGGATACCAACTCAACGTGAAAAGTGACGGTAATGATGGGACTGACTAAATGTTATTGTAATTCTGATTTGACTTATTGGGTTTAGACTCAGTTCAATGTTCTTACTGACCATGTGCATAAACAACAAACCACCCCATGGAAAGCACCAAGATAGTTTCATGTGTATTAGGTCGAAAGACTATATAATAATGTGGTATGAGGAAATAGGTTACATGCTTTTATTCCAAATAGAAGACTTCCATAATAAAAGTAATAACTTATCTCACAAACTATGTCTACCTCGAAACATAAGTTTCAGAACTATTTTCCTGTCTGCAGGGAACATATCAACAGTATAGGTAGTTGCAGCTGGGGGTCCTGTGTTGCATGTCGTCGTCCAGTATGTATGGTATTAACTCAGTCAATCATGACACATGTATTTAGTGTTACTTAGTGTTGAATGTGCATGTATTTCAAGGTTGCAGCATCGGTGGTTCTTGTCACGCCGCAGGGAGCACAGTGAACTGCATCAAGTGCCGGGTCGACGCCAACAACGAACCCTATATCGATGCGGGTAGGAAAAAGCTATACCCCAACTAAGTGTTTTAACCAGCCTTCGTAACGAGGAACGCCCAGAAGCATTTACAAAATATCTCTTATTCCTCCACGATCATTAAAAAGTGTAGAATTTTTTTTCTTCCAAACGGCAACATTATATGGATAATTGTTATCGCAGTATAAATACACCGATATGTGTGGAGCAACTGCAGCTCGCAAGTTTGCTTCTACTTCAGAGTGTGAGTACGATACCGCCTGCTACACGAGGAATCAACAGTTGACCATCGCCTGTTACACGTACACCTGCAAAACTGAGGGGGGAGTGGGCTTCAGGAGGGACGAAGGCCAGCAGACCAGTAAGATCATACACATAATAAAATGGCATTTTCTATTTCTTGCTTAAGAAGAATCCTTTCTCCCCAACCAAATGGGATTTGCACAACCAGACAAAGAACAGTTTTCTGACCATACCGTCATACTAGTGCGAGAGTGTTTGACTTGTATGATATGTCGTTTTACAGGATGCTCCTATAATGGAAACTGCTATGGCGTGGGCGACATGGGAGACTGCCGGACTTGCAGTAGCAATGGCAAAGTGAACTATGGTAACCACATATCTTCTCTATTAGCTATCGCTAATGAATGTACACTGAAACCAAAGTCAAGGTTTGAGCCATGTCCATCTCAAACCTCTGTATCTTGCTAGTGGTAGAGTGAAAGACACTGGAGACTATACGTGTGAGCAGTTCACCTCACCGTGTTAGGATCCACTCGGCACGGGGTCTTGTTTAGCTTCAACCGATGGCATTAGTCAATGATCTATCCGGTATTTACTTCTATCATATATTCTCTGTGGTTCCAGGTGAACAACTGGTTTGGTCCCGTGTCTGTGACTGATGTCTATGATGATGCAAAGTACCTGATTTATAAACACATGCTTATGACATAGCCAGAATCGTACAGTGATCACGTGAAGGTTTTGTACCTTCAATAACGAGGACGAACTTTGGTATTTTCTGTTAAATAACTACTCAATCACCCCACAGATGAGAAATGTGTTCCTTATCTACGTCCTACTTTCCAACCAAGGGTTTCCTCCAAAACATATGTGTGGGATTACGTCATGTTGCAGGATGTCAATACAACGGGCAATGCTACCAACACGACCAGGGGATCACGGTAAACTGCATCAGCTACAAGTGTGTGGTGGGCGCCAGCATAGGCTGGCATATCGAGGCGAAACGTAAGTGCATATTCAACTGCTGGGAGAGGATCTCAATTGATTAGTACGATAACGTCATGTGATCTGTAAGGAGTGATCGAGCTCTAGACGTGTCATCCTGAGAATCTGGATGCCTTTTGTCCAGATGTAAAGTTTCATAAATAGTTTTTCTGACAGTTTGATATCGAAGGGTAATGAAATCATTTGAAAAGAAAAGAACGGATACATAACAGTGCTTGCATGTTGGTTTCAGAGTGCAGTTATGGAGGGCAGTGCTACAGTGTTGGAGACATGGGAGGCTGCAAGACTTGCCGGAGTGATGGAACTATCGAATATCGTAAGGATACATAAGCAACGTCGTAGTCTCTTTTACAGGCTCTTCACAAAGCACTTGATAATTACATGTGTGGCCTCTTTTATTTCAAAGTTGTTTCCCTATACATTGTCTACACTAAACACCAAAAGAAACGTTACCTTCCTGCCTTGGTGACGGAGGTACCTATCTTCGGCTAGCGTTGTGATGCGTGGACGTCCACTTCTTGGTCTGTCTACGGTCACCCCAGTCTCTATGGAGCACTGAATAAGTCTTATAACAGTGATACGGTGGCATCCGAGGGCGTTGGCAACAGCATTGTATGTCGACCCAAACTGCACCATCATAATGGCTCTTTCTCTCTCTCTTCAGCTCCTAATCGTGGCATATTTCTCGTACTTGTGTATCATATCATGTATTCTAGGCTCTCTTCATACCCTATAGAATCATTCCACATGTGAAATGGATGCAAATACTGCTCGAATATTGCTGCGTTTGGCGATTGATATTGCTATGTGTACACAGAAAATGGAAAAATGTTACTTTACAAGCAAAAATGTTAACCATGATACTTTTAGATGTTCCTAAACACTATTTCACAAAAGACACGTTTTACTTGTTTTCACTAATGCAAATGAGCAGAAAATGTTTTAAAAGGCTGGAATCATAGGAATGATTATTTTACAATTTTACACACTCTACAACAGTTGTTTCTTGTTTTAATAGTTGAACAATTGTGACTTTAAATGGTTTGTTTTTGTCTCAAAGCAGAAATATATTTCAACCTTTCCTTTGGACATGTAAATCAGTGTTTATTTCGGCATGGACTAAAATAGGACAATTTAACTCTTCTGAAAAGGATGCATTTTTTTCGTGATTTGCATAAAGCTGTGTTGTTAAGCGTTCTTGTAAACTAATACCTTCTAACATATCTTTGATTAATTTTCAGTAATTCATAAAGGTAGGAGGGTAACGTTTCTTTTGGCGTGTTGTGTATTAATGTTTTCACGTGGGTGGGGATATCGTAATACGTATGTTACCTCGGTAAGTATCCTTACTTTAGTGATGACCCTGGTTTCATTTGACATACATAACTATAAATAAAGGAGTTTCCTTGTTACCGTCAGTTACAAATTAAACAGCAAGCCATAGAATATACACTATCTACATTTGCAGGATGTTCCTTTGGCGGTAACTGTTATTCTGAATCCCAGACGCTCGACTACTATTGTGTAAAGTATGCGTGTCATGTCGGGGAGACTTCTATTGGCTTTGTACTGGTGGCCAACCAATCGACACGTGAGTATATATACGTCTCTGACATGTATTTCCAGTCACAAAGACATGTTACACTCCATCAAGCATCATTGTATATTTGGTTCTGGTCCTCAGTTTGAACGTCGCGTGATAGAGGCAACCCATGAAGCTCCGACCCCGACAACGACGGATGTATACTAATACCTCCGTATTGAGTGTATGGACCTCGCGGGCGGAGGAGGGAAAGTTGAGCTAAATAACAGTTAATCATAATTAGCTACATCTCCATCCCTATGTTTTGAAAGTGAATAACACTGTTATGTAACACAACAGTCAACAGGTAAAAGGTAGTACCTATATGAAAGTTAGTGGATTTGGAAGATGGGTTTCCTTTGACAAGACATAACGTTGACGTGTTTATAAATATTAATTAAAAGAAGATAAGATATTCCAAATAGAGCTATACATTATTACAATACATAATGTAGGAAGTATAAGGCTAAGAAGATGACTGTTGTCATCCCGAGGGGAGTCATTTGATCGTAGGATGAAATCACAACTATGTTTGGTTGTGTAGAGTGACGTGAACCTCTTCGCCGTCATGTGGACGGCAGGAGAGACTGACATGGCGCTACTAGTACTATGAAATAACCAACGTAAAGCTTGAGAATATATGTCAACGGTCTTTGGCCAGTTAAGATGGTTAAACAGCATGGTTAATAAAGTCGTGCATATGCAGCGTAGGTAGCAATGATGCTTGATGGTCTATGTCGAGATTTGATGTTCAGTCACACACACACACTTCTGGGTCTGTATACATGGTTTGGATGAAGTAATTATATTACCAGTAAATTGTCTGTAAGAAATGTTTATAAAACATTATATTTGGAGAAATACTATGTCAATCTAGTGACAATGAATTGCAAAGCTTAATAAAGTCGTGCATATGCAGCGTAGGTAGCAATGATGCTTGATGGTCTATGTCGAGATTTGATGTTCAGTCACACACACACACACACACGCACGCACGCACGCACGCACGCACGCACGCACGCACCCACGCACGCAAACACACACGCGCGCAATCACACACTCACGCAAACACATGTACCCCTGCAATATGTTCTGTGATGTTCTGTGGTATTGCTATAGGATTCAGCTGGATGGTTTATGTTACAGGGTGTGTTTACGACAACCAGTGTTATGATGTCGGGGATATGGGCGGCTGCAGGACATGTCAAAGTGACGGGGATGTGGAACACAGTAAGTGCCAGGTCATCTCAGCACTGGATGCAATAGTTGTTCCAGTGTTGCACTTTTACTTCAGGTATGTCCAAACATGTCGGCATGTAAAGCTGATTAGTGAAAGCATACAAATTATGATTATTTCGTCATTATCTGTAATGTGGTTTTTTCTTCTGAACAGAATGTTCGTATAAAGGGGCGTGTTACTCGCACGGTCAACAGACAACAATTGATTGCTATGAATCCACCTGTGAAGTTGGACAGACGAGTTTGAACTTTGTTAAAAACTCCGGCCAACCTACACGTAAGTGTAAACGCTCACTCACTCACACATTCACACACACACATACTCATACCCACTGACTCACTCACATATTCACCTACTCACACATTCACACACTCACTCTCTCATCTACTCACACATTCACACACACACTCACTCACCTACTCACACATTCACACACACTCACTCACTCACCTACTCACACATTCACACTCACTCACTCACTGACAAGCACGAATATCTGGACTCTATGGGGGTTTTTTAAATTATAGCTTATGGGCCTGGCTTGTTAAATGAAACAAATAACACTAAGATAACATGTCTACTGGTATATCCAGTTTTGTTTCTTGGTGAATAACTGACAATATCTGATAAATCCATATTGATTCAATGATGACAAGTGTTTGCTGTTTCAGAATGTTCGTATGGTGGCGCGTGTTACCAAGTTGGGAGTATGGGTGGATGCATGACGTGTAACAGCGACAGATCTGTCACACATGGTAACATCGTCTACCACACACAATCAGTTTATTGTACTCGGGCCGCAGATACACATAGGTTGCATGACGTGAAGGTTAAGACGAGTAATGGATGTATATAACAGTATATATCCGTTAAAAACCTTCGGATCAAATAAGTGTATTTGGGTAATTTTTTAACGTTTAAATGTTTCTCTTCATTTGATGGGGTATATATAGCTTTCTTATATTATCATATAATGGACATAATAACAGTAACAGTAACCTATTGTTATGTGTACAAACCCTTTTGTCAGTGACACAATGGTCACATTGATATCAGTGTTAAGCTATATGTTGTACTGACTAATTGGAAGCTGTATTACAAGACAAGCAATGGGAGGTGAAGCTTGGCCATTTACCAGGTGATTGATTTCGTGGAAAATAATAATGTACTCAACACCTTTTTTTCTGTATAACTACAAAATGTAGTGATGCACCATAGTGATGAATGTACATAAGGTTATTATGTAAATACATGTAATTATATCGAAATCGAACAAAAAAGTCTTTGATGTTGTTCTGCATGTATTGGCAATGGGCGTCCACGTGGATACAAGACACATCTGAGTATGACAAAGTCATCCTGAATTCTACGTCACGAATACAATATCCACATGGAGAAACGTATCGCAACACCCCATATGTTTCACAGTATCAATATGTTGCCATAAACCAAAGTAAAGGAACTTATGCAAACTTCCATTCAACTTACTGGAAAAAACTTGCCCTCGAGGGAAAATGGCAAATCTGGCAAGTCTAAACATAGACAGAACGAAAAGTTGTAGTTTGTTCAGAGAAGCAACATGACAAAGACTTGACTCAGTTTGTAGTGCTGATCGCTATGGTCGTATGACGTTAACACGTGCTCCCATTTTCGAGATTCTGGCATACAATCCTCAAGAAATCACAGAAATGTTAATAACCGAGCACAATGTCAATATCTGGTGTAACCTTCGGCAGTTGCATTAATACCCCTGCCACTCCTCGCTGATATGTATCAAACGTTGAATTTGACTTTTGAGGTATTGCGTTCCATTCTTGATTGAGGGTTTGTTCTTTTTATACATCTAGGTTTTGAACTGTATGATCTATGTTACGCATTCTGCGACCCATAATGTCCCAAGCAAGCTCTATGCGATTGAGATCTGGACCCCTGGTGGGCCATGGTAGAGTTGCTAATGCCTCATGGCGTAAGAAATCACCAACGGCACGTACATGATGTGGCCTAGCATTGTGATACATTGTGAGAGGCACCCCCGCATCACCAATGGGCCTCTGCTACATGGTGCTTGCACCAAGATATTATGACTCTATACCCCACCGATTTTAGGCGATGTTGGATCCTTCGGTTGGACAAGCGATGATGTAGAAGCCATTCTGTTGTTGGTTTGGTTTGGTTTGGTTGTGTTTAAAGAAGCACGCAGCAATATTCCAGCTATATGGCAGCGGTCTGACAATCCAGTGATCAACAACATAGGCATCGATCTACGCAACTGGTATGCGATGACATGTGTCAACCAAGTTAGCGAGCCTGACCACCCGATCCCGTTAGTCGCCACTTGACAAGTCTTGATAAACTCTTGTAATTCTGAGAAGGGCTGTATCCTCCCAAGGAGTTTTCACTCGTGGCCAATCTGAACGCTGGCGGATCTCGACGTCATTCGGTTGCTGGTTTGGCTTGCTTTGTTGTTGTTTTATTTTTGTTTTTTGTTGGTTTTTATCTGGCTGATCGGCTGATTGTCGATGGAGACAACCAACATCTCTTATAAACGATTCTTGAGCAGTTAAGTATGTCAAATAGTTGCTTATCAACAACGAAATGAATTGATCTTCCAAGATATCGAGCTGTAAGATCAGCTTACTAAGGAGAATTTACATTTGCCAAATGACTGTTACGCATGTTGCACGTGATGCTCGCCTATGAACATGGAGCGTGCATATGTGAAACTAATGTGAGGTTACAGATGAACAAATACAAATAATTGTGATATGAATATGATTAAACTTGGGGTGTGGTGGTGGTGGGGTGGGGGGTGTAGTTTAGGTATTTCTTTAAATACCCAAAATGAAGTGTACAATGAGACATCAAGGGACAAAATGAAGATCTCACATTGAACTGGAGACTAGCATGAGCTTGTTTTCTGCTATATAAAATATATTAAACCCATAAATATGTTTATTGTTTTCCTCACATTGAACTTATTCTTACTGTCAATTCCGTTCGGCCACCAGTCATTTCTCTGTTGAGTAAACTGGAGTTATATATTTTCTTTCTGTCAGAATGCAGCCATGATGGTCAGTGTTACCCGAACGGTCACAAGCTGACTCTTAGCTGCACCCAGTACACCTGCCAGGTGGGCTCCACGGTGGGATTCGTGAAGGACACCGCCCAGGAAACTAGTGCGTACATCACCATTGTTACATTGTGTATGGTTACTGCAAACCCATTATCACAAATTCTAAGATACTTCGATAAACATTCAAAGGCGCGACTGCACTGTTGGTTGCTGAAACGTACTGTTTACCATGCTGCCGTAAGTATCGTGTGTTCCATCGAGAGTATGTTGTAGTGAAACGTAGTGTGTTCCAGAGAGAGTATGTTGTAGTGAAACGTAGTATGTTCCAGAGAGAGTATGTTGATGTGAAACGTAGTATGTTCCAGAGAGAGTATGTTGAAGTGAAACGTAGTGTGTTCCAGAGAGAGTATGTTGAAATGAAACGTAATGTGTTCCAGAGAGAGTATGTTGTAATGAAACGTAGTGTGTTCCAGAGAGAGTATGTTGTAGTGAAACGTAGTGTGTTCCAGAGAGAGTATCTTGTAATGAAACGTAATGTGTTCCAGAGAGAGTATGTTGTAATGATACGTAGTGTGTTCCAGAAGAGTATGTTGTAGTGAGAGTATGTTGTAGTGAAACGTAGTATGTTCCAGAGAGAGTATGTTGTAGTGAAACGTAGTATGTTCCAGAGAGAGTATGTTGAAGTGAAACGTAGTGTGTTCCAGAGACAGTATGTTGTAATGAAACGTAGTGTGTTCCAGAGAGAGTATGTTGTAATGAAACGTAGTGTGTTCCAGAGAGAGTATGTTGTAATGAAACGTAATGTGTTCCAGAGAGAGTATGTTGTAATGAAACGTAGTGTGTTCAAGAGAGAGAGTATGTTGTAGTGAAACGTAGTGTGTTCTAGAGAGAGTATGTTGTAATGAAACGTAATGTGTTCCAGAGAGAGTATGTTGTAATGATACGTAGTGTGTTCCAGAGAGAATATGTTGTAGTGAAACGTAGTGTGTTCCAGAGAGAGTATGTTGTAGTGAAACGTAGTGCGTTCCAGAGAGAGTATGTTGAAGTGAAACGTAGTGTGTTCCAGAGACACTATGTTGTAGTGAAACGTAGTGTGTTCCAGAGACACTATGTTGTAGTGAAACGTAGTATGTTCCAGAGAGAGTATGTTGTAGTGAAACGTAGTGTGTTCCAGAGAGAGTATGTTGTAGTGAAACGTAGTGTGTTCAGAGAGATGTTGTAGTGAAACGTATGTAGTATGTTCAGAGAGTATGTTGTAGTGAAAAGTATGTTTCAGAGAGAGTATGTGTGTAGTGAAACATGTTCAGAGAGAGTATGTTGTAGTATGTTGTATGTTGTAGTGAAACGTAGTGTGTTCCAGAGAGAGTATGTTGAAGTGAAACGTAGTATGTGTTCCAGAGAGAGTATGTTGTAGTGTAGTGAAACGTAGTGTGTATGTTCAGAAAGTAGTGTGTTCCAGAGTATGTTGTTGTAGTGAAACAGAGAGAGTATGTTTGTAGTGAAACGTAGTGTGTTCAGAGAGAGTATAGTTGTAGTGAAGACGTATGTTAGTATGTTGTAGTGAAACGTAGTGTGTTCCAGAGAGTATGTTGTAGTGAAACGTAGTGTGTTTCAGAGAGTAGAGTATGTTGAGTAGTGTGTTCAGAGAGTATGTTGTAGTATGTTTCAGAGTAGTGAAACGTAGTGTGTTCCAGAGAGAGTATGTTGTAGTGAAACGTAGTATGTTCCAGAGAGAGTATGTTGTAGTGAAACGTAGTGTGTTCCAGAGAGAGTATGTTGTAGTGAAACGTAGTGTGTTCCAGAGAGAGTATGTTGTAGTGAAACGTAGTGTGTTCCAGAGAGAGTATGTTGTAGTGAAACGTAGTGTGTTCCAGAGAGAGTATGTTGTAGTGAAACATGTGTTAGTATGTAGTGTGTTCCAGAGAGAGTATGTTGAAGTGAAACGTAGTGTGTTCCAGAGAGAGTATGTTGTAGTGAAACGTAGTGTGTTCAGAGAGTATGTTGTAGTGAAACGTAGTATGTTCTAGAGAGAGTATGTTGTAGTGAAACGTAGTGTGTTGTGTGTTCCAGAGACGTAGTGTGTTCCAGAGAGTATGTATGTTGTAGTGTAAACAGAGAGAGTATGTTGTAGTGTGTTCCAGAGAGAGTATGTTGTAGTGAAACGTAGTGTGTTCCAGAGAGAGTATGTTGTAGTGAAACGTAGTGTGTTCCAGAGAGAGTATGTTGTAGTGAAACGTAGTGTGTTCCAGAGAGAGTATGTTGTAGTGAAACGTAGTGTGTTTCAGAGAGAGTATGTTGTAGTGAAACAGAGAGTATGTTGTAGTGTGAAACATAGTGTGTTCCAGAGAGAGTATGTTGTAGTGAAACGTAGTGTGTTCCAGAGAGAGTATGTTGAAGTGAAACGTAGTGTGTTCCAGAGAGAGTATGTTGCAGTGAAACGTAGTGTGTTCTAGAGAGATTATGTTGTAGTGAAACGTAGTATGTTCTAGAGAGATTGTGTTGTAGTGAAACGTAGTATGTTCTAGAGAGAGTATGTTGTAGTGAAACGTAGTGTGTTCAAGGAGAGTATGTTGTAGTGAAACGTAGTATGTTCTAGAGAGTATGTTGTAGTGAAACGTAGTGTGTTCAAGACAGAGTATGTTGTAGTGAAACGTAGTGTGTTCAAGAGAGAGTATGTTGTAGTGAAATGTAGTGTGTTCCAGAGAGAGTATGTTGTAGTGAAGTGTAGTGTGTTTCATCGAGAGTATGTTGTAGTGAAACGTAGTGTGTTCAAGACAGAGTATGTTGTAGTGCAATGTAGTGTGTTTCATCGAGAGTATGTTGTAGTGAAACGTAGTGTGTTCAAGACAGAGTATGTTGTAGTGCAATGTAGTGTGTTTCATCGAGAGTATGTTGTAGTGAAACGTAGTATGTTCTAGAGAGATTGTGTTGTAGTGAAACGTAGTATGTTCTAGAGAGAGTATGTTGTAGTGAAACGTAGTGTGTTCAAGACATAGTATGTTGTAGTGAAACGTATTGTGTTCAAGACAGAGTATGTTGTAGTGAAATGTAGTGTATTCCAGAGAGAGTATGTTGAAGTGAAACGTAGTGTGTTCCAGAGAGAGTATGTTGTAGTGAAACGTAGTGTGTTCCAGAGAGAGTATGTTGTAGTGAAACGTAGTGTGTTCCAGAGAGAGTATGTTGTAGTGAAACGTAGCATTTTCCAGAGAGAGTATGTTGCAGTGAAACGTAGTATGTTCTAGAGAGAGTATGTTGTAGCGAAACGGAGTATGTTTTAGAGAGAGTACGTTGTAGTGAAACGTAGTGTGTTCAAGACAGAGTATGTTGTAGTGAAACGTAGTGTGTTCCAGAGAGAGTATGTTGTAGTGAAACGTAGTGTGTTCCAGAGAGAGTATGTTGTAGTGAAACGTAGTGTGTTCCAGAGAGAGTAGGTTGTAGTGAAACGTAGTGTGTTCCAGAGAGAGTATGTTGTAGTGAAACGTAGTGTGTTCCAGAGAGAGTATGTTTTAGTGAAACGAAGTGTGTTCCAGAGAGAGCATGTTGTAGTGAAACGTAGTGTGTTCCAGAGAGACTATGTTGTAGTGAAACGTTGTGTGTTCCAGAGAGACTATGTTGTAGTGAAACGTAGTGTGTTCTAGATAGAATATGTTGATGTGAAACGTAGCATTTTCCAGAGAGACTATGTTGTAGTGAAACGTAGTGTGTTCCAGAGAGAGTATGTTGTAGTGAAACGTAGTGTGTTTCATCGAGAGTATGTTGTAGTGAAACGTAGTATGTTCCAGAGAGAGTATGTTGTAGTGAAACGGAGTATGTTTTAGAGAGACTATGTTGTAGTGAAACGTAGTGTGTTCCAGAGAGAGTATGTTGATGTGAAACGTAGCATTTTCCAGAGGGACTATGTTGTAGTGAAACGTAGTATGTTCTAGGGAGAGTGTGTTGTAGTGAAACGTAGTATGTTCCTGAGAGAGTATGTTGTAGTGAAACGTAGTGTGTTCAAGACAGAGTATGTTGTAGTGAAACGTAGTGTGTTCCAGAGAGAGTATGTTGTAGTGAAACGTAGTGTGTTCAAGAGCGAGTATGTTGTAGTGAAACGTAGTGTGTTCCAAGGAACGGTTTAATGTACATCGTGTGTTATAGAGTCTATATGTTGTGGTAAACATCGTGTGTTATAGAGTCTATATGTTGTGGTAAACATCGTGTGTTATTGAGTCTTTATGTTGTGGTAAACATCGTGTGTTATAGAGTCTATATGTTGTGGTAAACATCGTGTGTTATAGAGTCTATATGTTGTGGTAAACATCGTGTGTTATAGAGTCTATATGTTCTGGTAAACATCGTGTGTTATAGAGTCGATATGTTGTGGTAAACATCGTGTGTTATAGAGTCTATATGTTGTGGTAAACATCGTGTGTTATAGCGTCTATATGTTCTGGTAAACATCGTGTGTTATAGAGTCAATATGTTGTGGTAAACATCGTGTGTTATAGAGTCTATATGTTGTGGTAAACATCGTGTGTTATTGAGTCTATATGTTGTGGTAAACATCGTGTGTTATAGAGTCTATATGTTGTGGTAAACATCGTGTGTTATAGAGTCTATATGTTGTTGTAAACATCGTGTGTTATAGAGTCTATATGTTGTGGTAAACATCGTGTGTTATAGAGTCTATATGTTGTGGTAAACATCGTGTGTTATAGAGTCTATATGTTGTGGTAAACATCGTGTGTTAGAGAGTCTATATGTTGTGGTATACACCGTGTGTTACAGCGTGCATATGTTGTAGTGGACCTGACAATATTTAGAGTTATACATGATCATGTGTTCCAGAGTGTAACTACTATGGCGTGTGCTATCCTGTAGGAGAGATCCAGGCGTGCAGAACATGCCAAAGCGATGGCACCATTAAATATGGTAAAGTATACTTCAGATTCTCAAAGTGATACGTTTCCAACAAAAACATGATACATATGATAGAAAAATATATATTGCACTTTATTGTCAATTACCAAATTGCTGAATAAGTTATTATCTATAATTACAGAATGTTCCTTTGATGGGCGGTGCTACGAACACAATGACCAAATAACTCTTGGTTGTTATAACTACACCTGTCAAGTAGGTAGTACTATTGGATTTAAGAAGAACGTTGGTCAGCCCACCAGTGAGTATGTATTTCTACTAGCAGATAGGTAGTCATTCCGCCTTTATGTCACAATGGGATCCAATCATATTGACAGCATGTTTAATTTATAACCTCCTCTATTTCTGCCAAACTATCATCTATTACCCCATATCTTATCTTGTCACTCTATCTTGCCACGTTCATTACTCATGTGACGATGCCTTATGTTGTCACCTAAATACTCGCGTCCTGTTTCTAGCAGTACACCATTGTAGTTCTCTCTGGTACAGACTGATGACCTTGGACTAAATATTCATGTCATGTCTGTAGCAGTACACCATTGTAGGTCTCTCTGGTACAGACTGATGACCTTGGACTAAATATTCATGTCATGTCTGTAGTAGTACACCATTGTAGGTCTCTCTGGTACAGACTGATGACCTTGGACTAAATATTCATGTCATGTCTGTAGCAGTACACCATTGTAGGTCTCTATGGTACAGACTGCTGACCTTGGACTAAATATTCATGTCATGTCTGTAGCAGTAGACCATTGTAGGTCTCTCTGGTACAGACTGCTGACCTTCGACTAAATATTCATGTCATGTCTGTAGCAGTACACCATTGTAGTTCTCTCTGGTACAGACTGATGACCTTGGACTAAATATTCATGTCATGTCTGTAGCAGTACACCATTGTAGGTCTCTCTGGTACAGACTGCTGACCTTTGACTAAATATTCATGTCATGTCTGTAGCAGTACACCATTGTAGGTCTCTATGGTACAGACTGATGACCTTGGACTAAATATTCATGTCATGTCTGTAGCAGTACACCATTGTAGGTCTCTCTGGTACAGACTGATGACCTTGGACTAAATACTCGTGTCATGTCTGTAGCAGTACACCATTGTAGTTCTCTCTGGTACAGACTGATGACCTTGGACTAAATACTCCTGTTTTCGTTTGTAGAATGCAGCTACAACAGCGAGTGCTATGGCGTCGGGGATATCTATGACTGCGCGTCCTGTGCTAGTGATGGATCAGTCACATATAGTACGGTGTTAATATTACTATTCTGCCCTCTATTGCTTTTTACCATATTGCAACCTTCTACCAAATAAATATAATTGCCTTTAAGAGACATACTCTACCTTTAACCGATCAAGAGATTAAGATGTGTTGTAAATGAAACCATCAACAATACATATTATATATATATATATATAGAGAGAGAGAGAGAGAGAGAGAGACAGATATATATATATATATATATATATATAGATAGATAGATAGATAGATAGATAGATAGATAGATAGATAGATAGATATACAGTGAGATAAAGATACAGATACATTTTACTTCCGACGGGATGTAAACGACAGACCTTAGCAAATGGAACTATAAATATATGAGGTTGATCACTGTGTTTCAGAGTGTTTGCACGACAACAGTTGCATTCCTGAAAACGACAAAGTGAAAATTGGATGTGCAGACCACATCTGTACAATCAACAGCACTCACAGGTTTTTAGTGAAGGACACCAGCCAACCAGCACGTAAGTCCCTGTTTTGTGAAGCAGTTTAACAGCCGATATAAGGGACCTCGGTAGTCTGAGGAGTTCATGAATGGTTACCTCCCTTCCCCATCCCTAAACCCGGGTTATCTGAAGGTTTCCAAATGTATTCTATCATCACAGAACCCTTCTCTTCCTCAGAGTGCAGCTACAATGGAGGTTGTGTCGATGCTGGCGCCATCACGCCATGTGCAACCTGCAACACTGACGGAACCGTGACCCACAGTGAGTATTGCCATGTGAGCAAGTGTGTTTCCAGCATGAGTAGAATGAATAAACCTGCCGCTGAAAGCAACAAAAGCACTTTCATCGTGATACCACACAGTCAATTTGTACAATCTTCATATGTTAAAATCGCCCTTTAAATACTTACTAGCGAAACGAAGTTACGGTCTGTCCATCCAATAGCTGTACGACCCGGCATGGTCTAGAATGGCTGGCGAAGATTACATTCAAAGGATTTTACATCGACATGTACGTCAGACAAAGCGACCTGCAAGGTCCTGTAAATGCCCCAGGGAATAACCAGAATTGGGTTCATCTTTTAGAGAACACACAAGTAGCTAAACAAACCACTTAAACACTCGGGGAGATGCAGTACCAAAATACACGACTTAACATAAGCTACCCTAAGGTACCCATAAGCATTCATATAACCAGCTATGTACAATTCTTTTGGTGGTTAGAAATACATGAGAAAATATGTACATAGTGCTGGATAATCCTGCAGCGTGGAAATCACGGTTACTAAAACATCTTCATTGCATTAATAATCGTGCCTACTCATACAAGATAACCTTTATGAAAACCATGCATGTGGAAGTTACACAGGCATGATATAGGTTATCTTGTATAAGGGTCAGCGATGAGAAGGCGCTTCTGTCACTGGACAGTGATGAGTCTCGTTTTGCGTCCGAATGACAATTCGCTGGTACTTAAAATAGTCGTGGCATCACATCACCGTTAAATTGTTAAATGCAGTCAACGTTTTCGCAACTGAAACCCCTAACTTCAAAACTCCACATGCAGATGCATCGATCCCGTTATTTCCAAACAATTTGTTAAATGAAAGGAATACCTTTAAATGATTTCTGTAGTACTTTCTACACATATATACTTTCAGTTCCAAATATAATGAAACTTACTATATCCTGACAAATTAGTTGTTTCTTTTATTTGGTCATAGTGGTACATATTTTTGGTACAACCCTCGTTTCATTTGGTTAGTGGACCCACCTTGCACTTTCGATTAGGCAAGAGGAGTTATCTCCCCGCTGGTACCCCGCTTGTGCTTTCCGTTGTGTACAATAAACGTGTACAGTGTACCTGCTACACCGTCTGTTCAGGATGCATGAGTGTGTATATTCAATACAAGGCGGTTATGAAACATGCTGAGGTATATTTGTGCAAGGCTTGTAAGTTAAGTACAAGCCCATGAAACAGACTGCCAATAGGGTTGAGGTGCATCAAATGTGAGCTGGTTTGCACTAGCCAATGACTCGTCACGGTGTTACTTACACCGACACCCCGTTACTCTAACTGTCCAATGAGGAAGTGTGTGTGTGGGGGGGGGGGGGGCTGTAGGAATGCCTGTGTAAGGATGACACATGGCAGCCAATGTCCACGCCCCATGTTTGCCAGCTGTTAGCAATGTTTCCATCAGCTTCACAAGGACAAGAGGGCTGTCAACAATATTTCCATCAGTATGATATGTCTTATGCACTCTAGCTCTGCCATTGCGATTATCTTAAAGTACGCATACCCGCGTCCTCTGCCTGGATGTCCCAACATTCCCAGTGTAACATTGAAGAACTCATGACTTCCATTGAAACATATTTGTCTTTTAATGTATGTAACTTACGTTTCAGCTGAAGGGTGCAGTTACACTGCAAGTGATGGGACACAGTCGTGCACTGCGAGCGGTGCCTCTGGTATCCATGCGATCGGTGGCACCGACTACAACTGCACGTGCACGGTAGCTAACGGCGCCAGCAGCTCATCATGCGCGTATATTTGATCACGACGACACGTAACATTGCTTGAGTGGCTTGAAAAGAAGTATACTCTCGGAATAAACTTAAAACTGTATATACACTGTTTGTTATCGCTTTTCCACAAGAGAGAGAGGGAGAGAGAGAGAAATGTTCAGTCTGTACAGTGGACGATGCTTATTGTCCTCCTTGCTGTGGGTGGTGTTCAGTCACCTATATCCTGAGGGTGATGTTCAGTCACCTATATCCTGAGGGTGATGTTCAGTCACCTGTTTGCTGTGGGTGATCTTCAGTCATGTATGTGCTGTGGGTGATGTTTAATCAACTATGTGCTGTGGGTGGTGTTCAGTCAACTATGTGCTGTGGGTGGTGTTCAGTCAACTATGTGCTGTTGGTGATGTTCAGTCACCTATGTGATGTGGGTGATGTTCAGTCACCTGTTTGCTGTGGGTGATGTTCAGTCACCTATTTGCTGTTGGTAATGTCCAGTCACCTATGTGATGTGGGTGATGTTCAGTCACCTATGTGCTATGGGTGATGTTCAGTCACCTATATGCTGTGGGTGATGTTCAGTCACCTATATGCTGTTGGTAATGTCCAGTCACCTATATGCTGTTGGTGATGTTCAGTCAACTATGTGCTGTGGGTGATGTTCAGTCACCTATGTGCTGTGGGTGTTGTTCAGTCACCTATGTGCTTTTGGTGATGTTCAGTCACCTATATGCTGTGGGCAATGTTCAGTCACCTATGTGCTGCGGGTAATGTTCAGTCACCTATATGTTGTGGGTGATGTTCAGTCACATATGTGCTGTGGGTGATGTTCAGTCACTTATGTGTCGTGGGTGATGTTCAGTCACCTATGAGCTGAGGGTAATGTTCAGTCACCTATGTGCTGTGGGTAATGTTCAGTCATCTATATGCTGTGGGTGATGTTCAGTCACATATGTGCTGTTGGTGATGTTCAGTCACCTGTTTGCTGTGGGTGATGTTCAGTCACCTATATGCTGTGGGTAATGTTCAGTCACCTATGTGGTGTGGGTGATGTTCAGTCACCTATGTGCTGTGGGTGATGTTCAGTCATCTATATGCTGTTTGTGATGTTCAGTCAACTATGTGCTGTGGGTGATGTTCAGTCATCTATATGCTGTGGGTAATGTTCAGTCATCTATATGCTGTGGGTAATGTTCAGTCACATATGTGCTGTTGGTGATGTTCAGTCACCTGTTTGCTGTGGGTGATGTTCAGTCATCTATTTGCTGTGGGTGATGTTCAGTCACCTATGTGCTGTTGGTAATGTTCAGTCATCTATATGCTGTGGGTGATGTTCAGTCATCTATATGCTGTGGGTGATGTTCAGTCACATATGTGCTGTGGGTGATGTTCAGTCACCTATTTGCTGTGGGTGATGTTCAGTCACCTATGTGCTGTTGGTGATGTTCAGTCACCTATGTGCTGTGGGTGATGTTCAGTCATCTATATGCTGTTTGTGATGTTCAGTCAACTATGTGCTGTGGGTGATGTTCAGTCACCTATTTGCTGTGGGTGATGTTCAGTCACCTATGTGCTGTTGGTGATGTTCAGTCATCTATTTGCTGTGGGTGATGTTCAGTCATCTATATGCTGTTTGTGATGTTCAGTCAACTATGTGCTGTGGGTGATGTTCAGTCACCTATTTGCTGTGGGTGATGTTCAGTCACCTATGTGCTGTGGGTGATGTTCAGTCACCTATGTGCTGTTGGTGATGTTCAGTCACCTATTTGCTGTGGGTGATGTTCAGTCACCTATTTGCTGTGGGCGATGTTCAGTCATTGCAATGCAGTCTAAAGGACTTGAGCTAGTATTCTTAAGTACCTTTTCGTCAAATATAAAGTCAGTTTTCTGCCTCTAAGTTCGTACCGGTTCAAATGTTTGACATCCTGTCAATAAGCCATTACGCGGTACGTTGGGTTAGAATATTCACTTAGACATTTGGTTCTGCATTGTCCGGCTGTCAGACGGATCGGTACTCTGACCTTCTCACTGCAGTCGTGGTATCGACAGGTCGTGCGACAATGATGTACCTTAACAATAGAGATCCATATACGAGACTAAGTATCGCCACACCTGTAGCCTGCTGCACGCTTCATTGTTCGACCAAAGTGTTTACTTACTGAACTTATAACATTAACAAAAGTAATTTATCGAGTATTAAAATTGTCAAGATTTGAATTAGTTTAATAGCATGACATTACACACCAGAAATAATTACTAATGTTGAAAAGGAGGCTTTTCGTGAAAAGTACCTTACATTACTTTCCCAAAGTTATAATGTGTATAAAAATTACTGCAGACCTTTTAAGGGGACTGGGATTCATAATTGTATCTAGCTTTTCATAATTATTTTTAAAATCACGAGATGTAGTCACGAAAGATGGCTCAGGCATCAGGGTAACGATTTAGTCTCTATTCGCCTACATCTCAATTCGCCTACATCCCATTTCGCATACAAAAACAATGTAGGCTAATTGGGATTAGAAAATGCACCTCTACTCTTATAATGAACCTGACTCACTGGTCAGTGCCATACTAATTAGGTAAATCTACCAAATTATCCTTACTCATGTCTACATTACTTTTTAACGACATACAGATATACAGATAACAATCAGAAAGGTATTCTTAGAAAACTCTGTTTATTCTGTAATATAATCATAAATGTTTTTAAGAATCTTCGGTAAAAATACTCCATCTAAATATTTCTATTATCTTTTTACAATCTATTTGCAGATAGATTTGCAATCTATCTATTTATCTATCTATCTATCTATCTATCTATCTATCTATCTATCTATATCTATCTATCTATCTATCTATCTATCTATCTATCTATCTATCTATCTATCTATCTATCTATATATTCATCTGTATATATGAAATATTCGACTGCACACACTATGTGAATATATGTAATTGTAACATATATGTAACTTCATATGCCGCTGTCCGTGTTGAAATAAATTTCAGTCAGTTCAGTTAAAATAAAATGAAAGGGATTAATGAACAATCTTAATTGTAAAAGCAATGATGATATGTAGTTAGTTTCTCACTGTAAAATACTCGGTTGTTATAAGGATATGTAGTTGAGTAAAGAGGATTGGTGCATCCACTAAGAAGTTCAGACTGAGACAACGTGTTCGTGATGAAGTGAGAATGGACATCCGCACAAGTAAACTTCCTTAACACTAAGCATATATGATGTTATATGATGTGAATATCATTGTGATCGGAAAATGGACAAATAACAGAGTAAATAAATAACAGACAAATAACAGCAATGCATTCTTTATCAAATGTCCTTTTTTCCTTCAACTACTTCAACTAGAAGAGTCCACTTTTAGATCACAGGGGTGCCACTCGTTTATCATTGCGTAATCAACAGTCAACAGACCATGAAATGTTGTTTTAAGACTGTAGGCGAATTGGGATGTAGGCGAAATGAGAACATGCCAGGGTAACCGATCTCTCAGGTACAAGGTCGATCTTGATAAACCACTCCGACCACAAGTTGGCTTCATGCAGATTTATGGAATGGACAAGTACGGTTGAGTATAGAGGTGTTTGTTTTTTCAGGATGTGAGTGAGTGAGTGAGTTCAGTTTTACGCCGCACTTTTCAGTGTGTATGTTTACCTGGAAAACTGGTAACAGGATATAAACAGGTTCATATTGGTTCGTCCATACTCATCCGAAACAAATGCAACGAAAAGACAAATTAATAGTATACTGGACACAATCAGTGAAGATGTTACTATCACCACACATGTGGAATTTACAGTCAGTTCAGATCTTTTGTGGTAGTTTAGAAGCCCACCTGCATGTAGATCTGTAAACCTTTGATACTTTAAACCGCAGGTGGCATGTTGATATGATCCCTGACCATCAGATGGGAAAGCCGTACAGGAGGAGCATATCACTATCCCCAAACACATTCAGATGTCACAGTTCAAATTCACGGGCGATCGGTATCGATCGGCGGGACAGACTTACCAGGTGTATCACCTACCCCGAACACTGGATACTGAAAGAACACCATGTACTTGGTGGCTTTACACACACACTCAATATGGACATCTTCATACACACAGATATGTCACATACACAGGCAATGTCCACAGGGCTGTTTTACTGACACTAGATACACAGGGTATGTCCACAGGGCTGTTTTATCGACACTAGATACACAGGATATGTCCACAGGGCTGTTTCACTGACACTAGATACACAGGGTATGTCCACAGGGCTATTTTACTGACACTAGATACACAGGGTATGTCCACAGGGTTGTTTCACGGACACTAGATACACAAGGCATGTCCACAGGGCTGTTTCACTGGCACTAGATACACAGGGTATGTCCACAGGGCTGTTTTACTGACACTAGATACACAGGGTATGTCCACAGGACTGTTTCACTGACACTAGATACACACGATATGTCCACAGGGCTATTTTACTGACACTAGATACACAGGGTATGTCCACAGGGTTGTTTCACTGACACTAGATACACACGATATGTCCACAGGGCTATTTTACTGACACTAGATACACAGGGTATGTCCACAGGGCTGTTTCACTGACACTAGATACACAGGGTATGTCCACAGGGCTGTTTTACTGACACTAGATACACAGGGTATGTCCACAGGACTGTTTCACTGACACTAGATACACACGATATGTCCACAGGGCTATTTTACTGATACTAGATACACAGGGTATGTCCACAGGGCTGTTTCACTGACACTAGATACACACGATATGTCCACAGGGCTATTTTACTGACACTAGATACACAGGGTATGTCCACAGGGCTGTTTTACTGACACTAGATACACAGGGTATGTCCACAGGCCTGTTTTACTGACACTAGATACACAGAACTACCCCTACACATTACACGTGACCTGCTGACTGATGGTTATCATTACACAGTACACTACCTCAGTGACATTATAACATGATTTCATATACCATCACATTACTAACCTCATCAATAATATTAAGCTAAGGTTACATATTAGAAACGTATAATACTTTATGGATAACAACTTCTTTATTTGTTATGATGCGACGTTTCGGTATAGCATCTTATACCGTTGTGAAGCAAGAGTAAAGTAATACAGCACAGAACCGACTTATATACATGTAACAGGGGTTACGTAAGACAATATGGGGGAGTACATAAAAAGGATTAACAACAACAACAATGGAATAGGTAATAATACAATAACAAAGGGAGGAAGCCAATGTTGAGGAGGCGGAACAAGGTATACATAGCAGATGGGATTAATTAGCAACGGTGGCTAGAGTGTTATGTTCTGTTGTTCTTATCAGGTCATTGTAGGTGGATGGAGACGTGGCAATCAAAATACTTTTCTATTATACATCAACTTCTAAAATGCCAATCAAACAGACCAATCAAACAGGTTACACAATCTAAGGTGAAATACCATTAAATATCAATATATATATTTATATATTTATTGCTTAAACACCTGCAGAAATCACTTATATGACATTTTCTAACTAAAACGTAACACGCGCGCGCGCGCACGTACCGCACGCACCAACAGCTATATACCCGACTTGATTGCCCCCCAAGCTTACTTCCCAGATACATACAATAGCCTCTCATGCTGCACACCTCCGACACAGACAATCGCTCACTGCTTACATCACTTCTCCAGCTTGCAAGTACTCACTCCAAACCTATCATACCTCGAACAAAAAATACAGCATACATTATACTAATTGTGATCTTGACAGTCATCTGATCATCACCGTCGGCTACGACGCACATGGTGTCAATGAAACATAGTATGGCCGGCCACAACAGCGATGGAGACGTGGTTGGTTCAGTTTTTGCTTCTCCGTTCTCCGGTGTCTTGTTTACAGATGTCGCGGGGAACGTTGTAATCGAAACTGCATACAGTAAGTAGATAGGTTTGGGGCGTGGGTGTAATGATTGGGGCTGCCATCTCCCATACCGATAGAACACACTTGGTACACGCCCATGGCCATTTAATGGCACAATGTTACACAGATGAAATCATTTGGCCACTCGTACTTCCCTTTATGACACAGACATATGTCAACTTTAACACGACAACGCCCGATCCCTCACATTAACACTAACAAAGGCTTTTTGAGGAACCACAACATCAAGGTACTGTCATGACCCTCAAGGTCTCCAGATCTTAACCCCATCGAACATTTATGAGGTACTCTTGATCAATGTCTGGGCTCACTATACTTCTGAAATGAGTTTGTTTTTATGGTATACGTATGTTTCATCATTTTACGCTAAGCATTCTAAAGCTTGCGCAGCTGCAAAGTATAATCTGAACGAAGCTCAGGACAAGATGAAAGTACATTGTGACAAAAAGTCATTTTCAGGCCTGGTGATAAAGTCTCAGTGTGTTTGCCAATTCTTGGTCAACCATTACATGCTAGGTAACATAAACCATATATTATTGAAAAGGAAGTCATGCAGATACACAACTTTGTCATGTCAATATAATTAGAAAGTATTCTAAAAGAAATAAGATTATGTTGCCACTTTCCCCATGAGTGATACTTGGGAGACATGTGATTCTGTAAAGTTGGGTGGCATTGCTGACTACGTTAGACGTAAACTAAAGAATTCCTAACTTTAGCTAACTTAGATATTTCAGTTAGTACACTTGCCATCTGAGCAAAGGGTTTAAGTGTCAGAATTGATGGAAGGGGTTTTTCCATATGTACCAAGCCAAACATATATACTGCGTCATGCTGTAGATGGAGATGTTTTTGAAACTACACCCCTTACAGATAAATCCAATCAAGCTTAAAACCCCGAAGAAAGACGTTCAATACATAGCTGCCATTGAATTTGCACAGGCACATGCAAAATATTTAAGTCATGTGATTGACCAAGGTTTGGTGTAGTCTAATATTTTAAAACTCCCCTGTCCCCTCACCTTTCTATCTTGTGGTATCCACTATCACCAATTTCTCAGACGAAAAAAGAATTTGCTTGAGGCAGCAAATGTCAGGCTGCTTTTGAGAAGATTACATCCGTTATCTTGAATGCTGCTGTTCTCCATGCGCAAACTTTTGAAAAACCTTTCTAACTTGCAACAGAGGCTTGTGCCATTTGTGCTGGAACTGGCCCATTGCAAGGAGATGCTTCAGGCTTTGATCACCCTGTTTGTTGTTAATCAAGAACATGTAACAAACTTCAGAGAAAGTATTGAAAAAGAAACTCTTGCTCTACTGTTAGCTGTAAGACAAACTTTCTTTCTCAGAAAGGGATATTGTTTTTTCGAAGATGCACCACTAGTCCCAATTCCCGGGCTACGTACAAGCTACAAATCTCTCCTCTGTCAACCAAAAGCTCTACAAAAAACTAAGACGCTTTTTTGTAATTTTGTAATTTGTAATTGTATGACCTGCACAGAATGTGATGTAATATTTGGTAGAACTTGTACTGACCATATCCGCTTCTTATAGTTGTTCTAATGATAAAATATCAATACTGAAATGCCTGAGAGACAATTGTCTATATCTAATTGTGTTTTCACATACGTTGACGTCTCATTCGGAATCCCAAATCCCTTCATATTTCATAGGAATAGGAAAACAAACAGTGGGGTCTTTTTTCAGGTTCATTCTGAAAAAACCCATATATTTCCATAATTTCTATTAGTTTCAATCTTTTATGTTCATCTTTTCCTTTCGGAAAATATCCATACTGATAATTTACAAACTTGGTAACGTTTATGTTTGGTCTCTAGTCAATATATCAATTATTCCACGGTATTTCGCAAATTATCCCATTTTAGGCAACCCTGGGTAAACGTCTCAGTATTTCATAAAAGCGTGTCAGGTAAATATAACATACGTGATTATAACAAACATATGTTGGGTGGTAGTGTTTTTCATAATAATTATGGAGTAATTACTTAACCGAAATTAGCCACAGGGAGAAGTAAAACCTCAATGAAGTCGCGTCCAGCGTTACCCGCCGATGTACTGATCTATGCAAGTGGTAATTACAGTTTCAGGATCTTTTAATCGACAATTTTAATTGTAAACGGTTATTCTTCAACAATCATAATCAGTGTGAATCTGCTGTTTGAACCCACAATCGCGAATTTCTGCCTTGGCTGAGTGGGTGACCTGTGTCCGACTGAACTAACTCCTGTATTAGAGGTTAACGTGTTGCCCTAATGGCGTATACATGGGTTGACAGACTAACCTACTACTCCTTGTTTCACTTGTCGCTTCTCAATCAGCCAATGATAATAACGTGAAATCCAGGTAGGATCTAGAGTTATCCCAGATGTGTGTCGTGCGTGTCTGTTTCAGTAGTGCACACATAGTTTACCACATCTGTCACAGTTTTATGGTCTTCCATGGACCTGAACTATTCATTGTATTGTGTTGTATTATGTCAGGCTATAGTGACATGTATGTGTTACACGTGTAGCCCGGATCATCTTTCGGTGTTCCACAGCGTATTCACAACTGACGTACTTTTGTAAGTATTGTTTACATGTTTTATCATACGTTTTCTGAATATTCCATAGGTGTATAGACCGACGACGGCTGTCATATTTTCCAGAGGTTTAAATGCCCACGTATTGATCAGTCGTAGAGACGTGAACACTTGACAGCACGTCAGTAATGTTTGCAGACATTGCAAACTCAGTCATTCGGAAGAGCTTTCTGTTTACATGTAGGTCAATATCTGAAAGTGACTCACATGACGTGTTTGTCGATAAATAGTGATGCAGGCAAACAGTCGATGTGGTTGTTTTGTTCCCGGCGAATTACTGATAACTACTGAGTAAAATATTCGTCAAACTGAAACATTTACAATGTTCAACAAACGTCTATCGCGCCGAACAGTAGTTTGAGGACAGCGTGAATACAAGACTAGAAGTTGTCACATTCGCATCCATCATTTCCTAAATAAACATCTATATGTACAACAGCCCGCAGAGATAAATGATAAATCTTCATATGGAATACATGCGGAAAGGTACAATCTTTTACCCAAAATGTCAATACAAACTTCCGTTCCATTCCTGAAGCCAAGTGTGTACATTATGACCTGTGCGGGTCACCTTCTTCTTTTCATTGGCAGCACTGACTATTTATACCAGGGTCCCTTTCTTTCATTACATCTCTGTATGAGGTGAGGTTTTTTAGGCAGGTTTACCCTACTTTTCATAAAATACCCATGTTGAAATATGTCTCCTGTATTTTAAACAGACACCATATATGGCTGTGAGCATCCAGGCAGTGTGCGCGCTCGCCTTGTGTCTCGCCTATGTCGGCACCCATGTGATCAAGAGAGGTACATGTCAACAACATCTACTTATTCTTATTTCTTTACCGTCAAATGTTCACACCGCAATATTTGGTTTGAACTATTAAAAACAACATACCAGAGTCATCTATTATCCATCCACCATCCATCTTCACTATCAGTTGTAGTCCATTATCATGGTTGCAGAATACATTGTGCCTAGATGGTCATGTAATATTACAGTGTCAGATGTATTTAACCTTTCTGTTTGCACAGAGACTACATGTGCAGACAATAACTGTAAGTACATGGGGAAGTAAATAACTGTAGATACATTTATAAGAATATATAAGAACGAACTTGGTAACGTTCAGAACTCGGTAAAGTTAAGAACACAGCTAAGAACACAGTTAAGAACCGTAAGTGAACATATGTACTGAACTAGAGCTACAAGTGAACGTAAGCAAATGCCCAAGGCAGTGAGTAACGGTTAGTGATGCTGCCTGCAGTAGTAAATGACATATTGTTAAATGTAACTAATCTAAATGTATTATAGCATTAATAGGTATTTTTCCTCAGTTAGTATTTCGAGGCCGCTGTGGAAGTCTGTTGACAGTTTTGTACATGTTTGACCACTTTACCCTACAGCCTGCCCTAAACCCGGGGGTGGATGTGTTCCTGTCAACCAAACCTACGAACTAAGCCATTGTTCTAAGCTGAAATGCACTTTGGAGTCCAATGTATATTGGCTCCGCGGTAACATGGGTACGTTACATAGAACCGTACAGCTAAATTTAATGTCTTTATCTGTAATTTATCATGTGTCCAGATAAAACCATTATTCCATGATATACAGCTTCCTGCCTCTTTCCGGGGCGGTGGGGTAGCCTAGTGGTTAAAGAGTCCGCCCCTCACGACGAAGCCCGGATTTGATTCCCAACATGGGTACAATGTTTGAAGCCCATTTCTGGTGTCATCCGCCCTGATGTTGCTGGAATATTGCTAAGAAGCGGCGTAAAACCATACTCACTCACTTGCCTCTTTCCAGTAAGTAAACATCTTAGCACCAATACCTGACATGTTGATTCACTCCACTCACTTGGACTACTTCGTTCATAACACAATTTTAATCTCCGTTGAAGGATGTGCCACCTTAGCTGGGAGTTGCGTCAACGTTGGCCAGATATATTCATACAACGCCTGTACAAATGTCACCTGCACGTCCGTTAACTCGTCTCTCATATTCAAGGGCACTTATAGTAAGTTCTACTTCGTATCTGCACGTTATATCTAACTCGTTTGTAGAGATATTGACATTTCCCAATAATTAGATTACTCAAGTTTACTCAATTTACTTTTCTTGTAATAGTCGCAGTGGCTGAGCGGTCTAGGCGGCTGACTTTGTGTGCTGGAGATTAGGTGCCTGACTCTGAGGGTATGGGTTCGAATCCCGGATGGGGCTCAACTCAAAAAAAGTACTAGAATTTGCACTTTACTAAAAAAGTGTAATCCCAAATATAACACATGTTACCTTCACCACTTTCTAAATGGCATTGTGTAATCATAGATTTTCTTGTAATAAAAACGAAACTATTTTCAGGTTGTGCCCATGGTGACCCAATATTTTGCTATGGACAGGGTGCAAATGTAACCATCGACGGCTGTAAACACACATGTGTGTTAAGTGGAAACACCATCGGCTTTATGAAAATCAATTCTAGTAAGTTCATTTCAAAACTTCATTTCTTTCATTTCTCTCTTTCCTACTTAGTCCTTAGTACTAAACATACCACCGACAAAAAATGTCCTCATTTCTTGTTTATCTTGAAAATATTTATTTCGATAAATGTCTGTACTACAAACAGCATGTGTTGTAAATGGAGAACTGCACGTTCATCCTCATGTTCTTGCACGACTTCATGCAAGTGAACTTTCATTGGTTGTCAATTGCAAATGAACTTTAAAAAATGTATAATTAGATACTCGATATCGGTTTCTCTACGTCACTGTCAGTGTTTTGCATTGTGTACTAAATTATGGTTTTCGTCAGATAATTAAACCTGATACGAGTCACAATTTATATGGACATGTTGGAATGATGTCCAACACAGATGAAAATCTTGCTGTGTTCCAGATTGCGGATAAGCTACACTACAGGGGCAGTACCAAACTACCAAAGTCGTTTGTTGGAAGAACAGCAGCAATAAATATATGATTTAGGACACTCATCATATTCTTGCTTGTTCTTTATGACGTATGGTGTAGCTCTAGCGTGGCCTCGCCGAACAGGTGATTATTTACCTACAGAGGACCTGATATTAGTGCATTACTGTACTACAGAGAACCTAATATTAGTACATCGTTGTACTACGAAGGACCTGATATTAGTGCATTACTGTACTACAGAGGTACCGATATTGGTGCATTACTGTACTACAAAGACCCTGATATTAGATCCCTGATATACTCAGGCTTGCCTACAGAGGACCAAACATGAGTGCATTATTGTACTGCGAAGGACCTGATATCAGTGCATTATTATACAACAGATGACCTGATGTCAGTGCATTATTGTACTACAGAGGAAATGATTTTACTGTATTACTGAACTACAGAGGTCCCGATATTAGTGCATTACTGTACTACAAAGGACCTCATATTAGTGCATTACTGTATTACAGAGGACCTCATATTAGTGCATTACTGAACTACTAAGGTCCCGATATTACAGCGTTACTGTACTACAGAGGACATCATATTAGTGTATTACAGAGGTCCCAATATTAGTGCATTACTGTACTACAAGAACTTGATATTAGTGCATTACTGTACTACAGAGGACCTGATATTAGTGCATTTTTGTACAACAAAGGACCTCATATTAGTGCATTACTGTATTACAGAGATAACGATAGTAGTGCATTACTGTACTACAAAGGACCTGACATTAATGCATGACTGTTCTACAAAGGACCTGATATTAGTCCATTCCTGTACCACAGAGGACCTGATATTACTGCATCATTGTACTACAGAGGACCTCATATTACTGCATCATTGTACTACAGAGGACCTCATATTAGTGCATTATTGTACCACAGAGGACCTCATATTAGTGCATTATTGTACTACAGAGGACCTCATATTAGTGCATTACTGTACAACAGAGGACATGATATGCATTGCTATACTACGAAGGGCCTGATATTAATGCATTACTATACTACAGAGGACCTGATATTACTGCATAGCTGTACTACGAAGGACCTGATATTAGTGCATTACTGTACTACAGGGGACCTGATATTAATGCATTACTGTACTACAGAGGACCTGATTTTAGTGCATTATTGTACTATGAAGAACCTGATATTAGTGCATTATCGTACTTCAGAGGACCTGATATTAGTGCATTATTGTACTACAGAGGACCTGATATTAGTGCATTATTGTACTACAGAGGACCTGATATTACTTCATCATTGCACTACAGAGGACCTCATATTAGTGCATTATTGTACTACAGAGGACCTCATATTAGTGCATTATTGTACCACAGAGGACCTCATATTAGTGCATTATTGTACTACAGAGGACCTCATATTAGTGCATTACTGTACAACAGAGGACATGACATGCATTGCTATACTACGAAGGGCCTGATATTAATGCATTACTATACTACAGAGGACCTGATATTACTGCATAGCTGTACTACGAAGGACCTGATATTAGTGCATTACTGTACTACAGGGGACCTGATATTAATGCATTACTATACTACAGAGGACCTGATTTTAGTGCATTATTGTACTATGAAGGACCTGATATTAGTGCATTATCGTACTTCAGAGGACCTAATATTAGTGCATTATTGTACTACAGAGGACCTGATATTAGTGCATTATTGTACATATTCTACAAACAATTTTTCACCAACTAACCCATATGGAAGCACTAGGCAAATAAATAAGTAGGTAAAATACTTTTGGAGCAAGGATACAAATAACACTTTTCTAACAAATCTGACAAAAATGTTGCACAATTCCCATGACACGTTATCTAATTGGATAAATGAAAACATGGAAACTTCACTATCATTTCTCATAGACATGATTCAAAATGCTGCTGATCACACAAAGGCAACATATGGTGGTACACCTGCACTAAAGATGAATACACAATCCTTATGGTGGGACCATGAACTCGAAGTTTTAAAACATCAGAAATACTCAGCTCTTAGAGCCCACAGAGACAAGAACACTGACATCAGTATTTACAAGAAATGCAAATATTTATTCAAAAGTACTTTTGCTAAGAAGAAAGAACAGTATTTGTGTAAGCAAAAAGAAGAATTAGTATCTGCAAGAAATGATCGAAAACTGTTTTGGAAAATAATTAAGCAAAATAGAAAAGCATTTATCCCTAAAACTATAACAGATGACCAGTGGGTTAAACATTTTACAAGACTTCCTTGTCTGGACACTCACAATCCTTTACATGTAGCTAGTCTTAACACACATCACACCTCTGACGACACAGATGATGACTTGACAAATATCTTCAACAATATATTGCTCAAGGGCATATTTCCAAAAAGTTGGGGTAACAGTATTATTTGTCCTTTAAATAAAACTGGAAGCAAACAAGACACAAACAACTATAGCAGTATTTCCCTTATTGACACAGCATGTAAAATATTTACCTCTATATTGAATAAAAGACTACAGAAATGGTGTGAATTAAAACAAATAATAAGTGAATCTCAAGCCGGCTTCAGAGCCAACTACTCAACTACTGATCACATTTTTGCATTACAGGCAATTATTCAAAAATATGCATGTAAGAAAAAAGAAAGGTTTTATAGCCTTTTCATAGATTTTTCAAAGGCCTTTGATAAAATAAGACATGATGTACTTTTAAGATCTCTTCAAGTATTACAACATTATTGTCACGATGTATTCTCAACTTTCATCCTGTGTAAGAACAAACTGTGGGCTGTCATCATGCTCCACCTGTAATGTGGGTATCCGTCAGTGGTGCATATTAAGTCCACAAATGTTTATTATTTTTATAAATGAACTGTACAAGAAAATGTTAAATGATGGTGGTAAAGGTGTTTTTATTACACAAGCCATGGACAACCTATGTGCACTTATGTTTGCTGATGATATCTCAGCACTTGCTGACACATGTCACCTTTTACTAAAGAAGATTAATGTCTTAGAAACTGTGTGCAATGACACTGGAATGCAAGTCAATCTTAAGAAGACTAAAGTAATGGTATTTAGGAATGGTGGTCCTCTACGATCATATAAGAAAATGGCCAACAGATTGAATCTGTCTCTTGTTATAGATATCTGGGTATTGTCTTCACACCCAAGCTTGTGTGGAGCAAAGCACAACTATGTTTATCATCTCAGGCTAACAAAGCAATTTTATCATTATTCAGTTTTCAAAGAAAAATTGGTAACATAGATGGCTGTGATTTATTTAGAATATTTGACTCAGTGATTGCACCTATACTCTGCTATGGCGCAGAAATATGGGGCACTGAATATTGTAAAGTTACTGAGGCCGTACAACTTAAGTTCTGTAAACAGTATTTAAGAGTAAACAAATCTACGTTTAATGGTATGGTGTTAGGCGAGTGTGACAGACTCCCTCTCTAATGTGTTTATCTCTTGCGTGTTATTGAATACTGGTGTCGTCTCGTACAATTACCTGAAAATAGGTTGCCTTGTCAATGTTATATTATGTTAAGATCTTTACATGAAGCTGGACGCACCACATGGGTTTCAAAGGTTAAACAATTATTACTCAGGTATGGCTTTGGTTATGCTTGGTTTTATCAAGAAATTGGAAATGTTGGTATGTTCATTTCTCTTTTTAAACAAAGACTAAAGGATAATCTACAACAGTCATGGTATTCATCAATACAGGATTCTTCAAAATGCTTATATTAAAAGCCATATAAATCTTTGTTGAATGTTGAAAGATATTTCTGTTCTGATATTTCAGTGTATCTGAAGATGTCTTTATCAAGATTTAGATGTAGCCAATTTAAGATAGCAGTAGAAACTGGAAGATATGGCAATATTGAACTAAGAGAAAGACTTTGTATGTACTGCAAATCAAAAGGTCTGGATCATATTGAAAATGAATGGCATGTCATATTTGTGTATGGTTGTTATAAAGATTTAAGAGTCAAATACATTGCTAAATATATACAAGAACCCTACACTGTACACACTATGATAAATCTGTTTCAAAATGAAAGTTATGATCTTATGTACAACATCGGCTTGTTTTTGTACCATGTTAACAATATTGTAAATTCTAGAAACAAATGAGTGCTACGTATACCTTCTTAAAACATGCGCACGTGAAAGATATAAAAAAAACTATTATCTGTATGTATTATGGGCCAGTGGCCTCCTTACTGAATAAACTGTCTGTCTGTCTGTCTATTGTACTACAGATGACCTAATATTACTGTATTACAGAGGACCTGATGTTAGTGCATTACTGTACTACAAAGAACCTGATATTAGTGCATTCTTGTACTACAGAGGACCTGATATTAGTGTATTACTGTATCAAAGAGGACCTGATATTAGTGCATTACTGTACTACGAAGGACCTGATATCAGTGCATTACTGTACCATGAATGTGCCGATATTAGTGCATTACTGCACTACAGAGGATCTGATATTAGTGCATTTCTGCACCACAGAGGACCCGATGTTAGTGCATTACTGTACTACAGAAGACCTGATATTAGTGCATTACTGTACCATGAATGTCCCGATATTAGTGCATTACTGCACTACAGAGGATCTGATATTAGTGCATTTCTGCACCACAGAGGACCTGATGTTAGTGCAATGCTGTACCGCAGAGAACCTGATATTAGTGCATTACTGTACTACAAAGGACGTGATATTAGTGCATAATGGTATAACTGTATTGTAGTGTATATTATAGAAGTACATCGCTGTTCTTTAGGTTGGTCTCATGTTCCTGCAATATTATGGAACACCCGATCTTACAGCATATTATTAAACTATAGGGTGCCTCATATTAGCTTTGTACTATACTGTACCATAGAGCATCTGATAACATAATGCATATTTGCTTCACTGTGACATAGTGTATGACATTTCTGCCTAACTGTGACATAGTGTGAGATATATGTGTCTCACTGTTACATAGTGAAGGATATTTGTGTCTCACAGTGTCATAGTGTGTGGTATTTGTGTCTCACTCTGACATAGTGTGTGCTATTTGTGTCTCACTGTGTCATAGTGTGTGATATGTGTGTCTCACTGTGACATAGTGTGTGATATGTGTGTCTCATTGTGTCACAGTGCGTGATATTTGTGTCTCATTGTGTCATAGTATGTAATATTTGTGTCTCACTGTGACATGGTTATGATATGTGTGTCTCACAGTGACAAAGTGTATGATATTTGTGTACACAAATGATTCTGATCACAAAGTCGGGTACCTAGGTCTCTCGTTTGCACCACAGGCCCTCGTGGTAGTTTGACATTTAGACATGAAAATCCTGAACTACAAACGAGGCCAAAGTGGCCACGAAATGAATATCAGTACTACAACTATCCAGGGTGTATTAAAAAGAGATTCATAGTAAAACAGTGAGCATATCACGAGCATCGACCAAAGCCGTCGTTCAGATTCGATGATTGCAGGCCATACACTGCACTAAACAAACCACCTTACCACACGGATGTGTTGCTGGACGCCTATACATACGTGGGTGAAACTATGAAACACAGTTTATGAGAAATTGGCCCATACATGGATGAAAATATAATACATGAACCACAAACCCACAGATGTATAAAAATTACCCCATCACTTTCGACGAGGTTCTTCTATCCATGTCTTTCCGAAATAAGTTCCATCCAATTGTGCTATTTCGCTTAAACCCCACCTTGCAACTTTCGCCGAGTGGCCATTTGTGATGCATGCAGACAGTACAGTTGAAATGTACACATGGAAAAAAGTATCGCAACATCAATATGTTTCATGGTACCAGTATGTTACCATTACCCATAGTAAAGGAACTTACCCAAATCTCAATTTAACGCATCATGTGGATGGATTTATTCTTAATGGGTGATCAAATGTCAAATCTAAACACAGAAAGAAAACAATATGTAATATTTCCAGGAAACCAAACTTGCAAAAATTGACTTATTTTGTAGTGCTGATAACTATGGTCGTATGACGCAAACAAGTGCTGCCATTTTCAAGATTCTGGCACACAATACTCATGAAATCACAGAAGGATCAATAACTTAGCACAATGTGAATATCTGGCTTAATACGAACTACAATAACATCCCCAACTCTCCTCATTGGGTCTCTTTGAATAAAACATTACTATCGGCACATGCACCAGGTGGCCTAGCATTGTCGTCCATGAAGACTGGCTTACGTTTAGAACTTTAGAGGATGGTCATCGAAATGTGGTACAACAACCCTGTCTATGATGTCAGTGATTTTCTGCTGTCCATTGAGACTTGGTCTGATCGTCACAGGGTCGGGTGTACAGTCATCTGAGAGCCATTCCCACACCATCAATGAATCTCCGGAAAACGGTACATGCTAGAAAGATATTCCCTTGCGCATGTGTATCATATCCCTATGACCTTAAATTCAGGTGACGTCGAGCTTGATTCCAACATCGTCTGGGTTTGATACACCACTTTTAAGCCATTTCGAAACCGTTCTGTTGCAAAAACGACGATGTTTTTTTACAAGCCACTTAACATGAAGAGATGAAGTCTCATTTGCTGTATCCTCCCGAGGATGTGCCATGTGTGGTCTACCTGAACGCTGACGGTCCTTATCGTCAATAGTTTGCTGATGTTGTCTGGCCAATGACAACCAACATCTCTGGCAGTGGCCATCAGTGATATGACAGCATTCCGCATACAATACTTTGCATCTTTGGCAGTTGACAGTTGAGAAGGTCCCATATATGCTTACCAACAACGAAAGCGAATTGATTTTCCCAAATCAGTGAAAACAATTTACTTGAACTTCATATTTGCTTATTGACGGGTACACGTGCATATGGTTAAAACAAGGGTCAAAATAACAATGCAAACAAACATAACTATAATAGGAATATAAATGATTTTACGGGGATTAAAATCAAAGTTTTTGCGATCATATGTTTCCACGTGTATAGTAGCGAAATCTGTAATCACGGTTACATACATGTACATGAACTGTTGAGCACTGATAGCACAACATGTGTTACCAGTTGATTGCATTTTGGGTTCGGACACATGTATGTTTCGGTAATATGAATTTGTGAAATTCGAGAACGTCTCGCCTGCTGTCAGTGTCCTGGTATATATTGCCGTGCACCACCTCCTTGTCATTCCGCTCAGATCCAGCACAGACACACTCACGTAAGTATTGGACTCCCTTGTGTAAGCTGTCGAAACATTATGTCAAAGAGCGGGAATTCTTCCACTGCTTTCAAGTTGAAGAATACACATGGAAATGGAATAGAAATCCATCTTAGATTCGTTGTTCAAGTCAGCATTCGCTGCAAATTACGTGGTAAAAGGTTTGTAAAGATTCAGCATTTCATGTTAAAGCTGAGGGTTAATTGTAGTAAGTGGATGATCATTGCTTTATGCAGCAAGTTTGGAATTAATTATGTGGCCATGGATAAACAGAAAACGGAATGAATCAGCTTGTTACCCCTAGGTACAACAGCTAATTACTGTGTTTTTTGTATCTGACACAGAACGTCGTCATGGGTTTGGTATTTTATTCAGTCGGCGTCCTCGTCATGTACGTAACATGTATATCTACTCAAGCGGTTCAGAAAGGTGCGTATCTATATTTCCTTCCACGTTCACTTCCCAATAATGATTAACATAGAACAACTGTAACAGCACATAGTTACTACTTAGGGAAACATCGGGACGGTTTGAAGTCTTTCCCAGTTCATTGCTAACAGACCCAATTTCAATTTGACAACAACTGCCTAACATTCTTGCTATAAAGATACAGTAAGTACCGCACATATTGTTCAATGTAAGCCTCACAGATACTGGCCTAGTTTAGATAATCTTGTTTGGATACTGGGCATATTTACAGTGTTACAAGGTTACCATCATGCCATTAGCAGTGCTCCCTCCCCGAAATTCCTTGGACGTCGTGGACAGTGTACTGCTTTGAAAATCTGCCAAGACTCTCCAAATTTCCCTAACATGATCTTTTCTGTAACGATAGTAAGCTATACCTGTGTGTTGATCATCACACTTCAACAAACTTAACTCTGTAATCTTTTTTATTTTACAGCAGAGGACTGTGCAGCAAGTAGTTGTGAGTACAGAACTAGTGTAGCACTTGATGCTATACAACTGAAAGTTTAATGTAACTTCAATGGCTAACTTCTATTTCTAGAACCATGTGATCATACTAATCGCACTTTCACCAAGATATAAAACGATATCCAGCTTCAAACAGATGAAATAAGGTTGCAAAACGATGGTTTTACTTTCCTAAACTATTAGCTCACTCAGCTGAAGACCAAGTACCCGAGGATGAAGGATGTTTCGTTTGCACGTCTCTATTGAGTAACACTTTGTTGTACAGATATAAGCTATCAGAAACAGAGCATACAATCTAGGAATTTTTCTATATATTTTTTTTTTAAAGTACAAACTTGCTAAGACACAAAATTATATAATGCCAACATCATCACTCAAGCAGTTACCCTGCATGATTCAAACAGAATGACATTTAATGATTTGTTTAGATAAATCTGGAAACTTAATGGATACCATCGGCAAATTATAAATATAAAATCTACTACCAAGAAATGTTACCGGTGGACTTTCTTGCTGTATAGAGCTCGAGAAGCAAATATATATATATTTAATTTACAACAACAGCTAAAGTCCGAAATGACTATTAGGAGGATCATACAGACGTTTTTGTGAACATGCCCTGTATTCTAGAATGCTCTAACATTTGTTGTACACAAACATTGCTAATGTGTGTCTATTTATAACATAATTATGGGAACATCGTTCCTTTATACCTAAAGCTGCATCGATGATTGATCTCTATGTGCCATGACTAATGCGAGTATTTGTCCATTTACCCTGCAGCTTGTCCTGCACCGGGTGGAGGCTGTGTTGCCCTTGGTGACCCCTTCATCCTGAACACCTGCACAACCCTCACCTGCACGGTGGAGAACAACATCTATGGACTTCGCGGGACAATGAGTAAGTTTATCAAGTAGTTTATGCTTACGCCTGAATATTTGAGTCCTGTCTGCTCCTCTGTTTTGTAGTTTTGTAATACGCAAATGTGTGTGCAATTCGTTTCTCTGTTTTAAATTACGTGTGACTGGAAGTGGTCCTGTTTGTTTCGCTGGGTTATAGACGTCTGACAGGAAGTGGCCCTGATTGTCTCTCTGGGTTATAGGACGCCTGACTGGAAGTGGTACTGATTGTATCTCTGGGTTATAGTACGTCTGACTGGAAGTGGTTCTGCTTGTTTCTGTAGGTCATAGGACGCCTGACTGGAAGAGGTCCTGGCTGTCTCTCTGGGTTGTAGGAGGCCTGACTGGAAGTGGTCCTGACTGTCTCTCTGGGTTATAGGACACCTGACTGAAAGTGGTCCTGACTGACTCTCTGGGTTATAGGACACCTGACTGAAAGTGGTCCTGACTGTCTCTCTGGGTTATAGGAGGCCTGACTGGAAGTGGTCCTGACTGTCTCTCTGGGTTATAGGACGCCTGACTGAAAGTGGTCCTGACTGTCTCTCTGGGTTATAGGAGGCCTGACTGGAAGTGGTCCTGACTGTCTCTCTGGGTTATAGGACACCTGACTGAAAGAGGTCCTGGCTGTCTCTCTGGGTTATAGGAGGCCTGACTGGAAGTGGTCCTGACTGTCTCTCTGGGTTGTAGGAGGCCTGACTGGAAGTGGTCCTGACTGTCTCTCTGGGTTATAGGACACCTGACTGAAAGAGGTCCTGACTGTCTCTCTGGGTTATAGGAGGCCTGACTGGAAGTGGTCCTGACTGTCTCTCTGGGTTATAGGACACCTGACTGAAAGAGGTCCTGGCTGTCTCTCTGGGTTATAGGAGGCCTGACTGGGAGTGGTCCTGACTGTCTCTCTGGGTTATAGGAGGCCTGACTGGAAGAGGTCCTGGCTGTCTCTCTGGGTTATAGGAGGCCTGACTGGAAGTGGTCCTGACTGTCTCTCTGGGTTATAGGACACCTGACTGAAAGTGGTCCTGACTGACTCTCTGGGTTATAGGACACCTGACTGAAAGTGGTCCTGACTGTCTCTCTGGGTTATAGGACGCCTGACTGGAAGTGGTCCTGACTGTCTCTCTGGGTTATAGGACACCTGACTGAAAGAGGTCCTGGCTGTCTCTCTGGGTTATAGGAGGCCTGACTGGAAGTGGTTCTATCTGTCTCTCTCTGTTGTAGGATGCGTGACAGGAGCTGGAGACTGTAAAGATGTTGGCGAAACATACGAATTCAATGCATGTACAACTCTGACCTGCACTTTAACAGACAACTACCTCAGGTTTACAGGTGACTACAGTAAGTATCACATCACATTTTGCGTCGACTGAATGATGTAACTCCTGGATATCTGGATAACTCGTTTCGTACCATTGCAAATCTGTAACTTGATATTATAAAAATAATATATCAAAGATTGTATTTTAATTGAATGTCGTCAAGGAGAACAGTGCCGTCTGTGTGTTTGATATCGCCTTGTTGATAATGCCTGGTTGTTACCAACCTGCATATATATGTTTAAAGGTTCTGTACGTGGTCGTTCCTAGATTCCAACCGAACATGCATGGTAATAACATTATCACAAATTTACAGAATGTGCACACGGAGTCGACTGCTACGAGGGGGGCTCAAAGAAGAAGTTTGGGAATTGTCAGTATTCATGTTCTGTCAAAGACATGGTCGGCTTCGTCAAGGAGGACGCAGGTACGTTACCACTTACTTCTGTACGAACCGATACAAACACCGACAGCGTAAACAATGAATGACATATCGGCCATTTCAAAGTCTACCCTCACTTTATAACACAGGAATCAGATATTTCAGCTGTATATACCCTTCCTGCAATCTACACTAAATGTATACAATCTAAACCAAGTATTTCCAGTGCAGATATTCCAGTTTATGCTGTTTACCAATAACTAACAAAAAAATCGTTCTCCGAAAAACCTTATGAACATGCTTAAATGTCCATAATTAGAAAGTGGGTCGAGCCATTCTTGGGGATCAAAACTTTTTATCATTTCCGCACGATGGAATCCTATAGAAATTTCCGAATGGATGTATGACAGAATGACTATGTATTCTGCCTGCAATGTGTTCGATATTAGGAACACAGTAATAATTAACGAATCTTGCCTATAATGTAAAGGCAGGGCCAACCACCGTATACGGGGCAGATACGTAAACTTGTATTGAAATTTAGTACAAATACTTCATTAAACCCACGCACAATATAGTGGCAGTTGGTCGATTTGGGTGAATTATGAGTTTTTGGTTTCAATATTTGTTCTATGCTCCAAAGATGGCATGGCCAATCACCCTACACCACACGGGTCAGACACGTATACTTGTATTGAAATTTAATACAAATACTTCATTAAACCCACGCAAAATATAGTGGCAGTTGCTCGATGTTTGGTTGATAGTCGTATGGGTGAATTAAGAGTTTTTGGTGTTGTTCCATGCTCCAAGAATGATTTTGTATATTCTGTTTCGATTCGAAAGCTGCTAGTATTTGAAGGTATCATTTACACATCATATCAGAAACCACATGATAATACATGTATCTTATATAAGTACATATTTAGAAATACATGGTATTATCGGGAAGAAGATCACTATTTGTTTTGGTTATTAAAAACCCAAGTTGTCTCCGAATGGAGATGCAGCATCATCGCAGTTATTTTACGCACATTGCATATTTCAATGCATATTTAATTAGATGCTGTTACTTTTTCATGGCTGATTCAATCAAATAAAGTAATTGGCTCTAACGATGACGTCACTTTGAAGCTGCAAAACCGCAGTTGTCTTTCAGATAACCAACATGAACGAGAGTCCGTTACGATTTTCAAATATTTGATTTGCCCGTTTACAAGGATCGTTCAGAGTCTTCAAACTGATCCCAAATAATGAGATGACCATGTCTCTGTACTGACGTACATTCTCTCACTGCCTGTCAACTACATGTATGTGTATCTGACTTTTTGTCGATGTTTTTACTATTTTGTGCTGTTATCTTTTCAGATTGCGTATAATCAACTTGAGACCAGTCTGCTTCAAGTTACATTATATTTGACTGAAATAAACGATCACATGTTTCTGTTAATCATTTTCTTGGGTGTTTTGTTTCTGTTAACCTGTTCTCTGTTCAGTAGTTCTCTTCGACCGAAGTACATACACGTTTGTATTCTCGCACCACACAACAAAACCCAGACATATTCTACGACTGCTTGCTACAAAACTGAGAGTTTCCCTTCACCATATTTTAATATCCCCAGCTAAATTCCTGTACATAAACACGTCGTGGACGCCCATGGTTCTGTTCCCACTGACTATCATTCAAACCACAATCTTGGTCTGTAAACCAACGTTTAAACACGTGTTCATGTGGCATGTTTGAAGGCACGTTATGAAATGATGTCGTGGAGGTGCCGCTATACAAACCAACGATAATCTCTGAGCGTTTGTCAGAAATATACTGACAGTATAACTGCCACATAGCTGTGTTCGAGAATGAGTGAAACGCCTGTTGCAACTGACAATGGACAACACTTATTTCATAACGACACAATCACATACCCGGTTCTTACATATGCTTATGCGATTAAGTAAAGCACGAACACGAAAATATGGTTGGATTTAAAAGAGTATAAGGCTTTTCTGTGAAGCTCTACATCATGTGGTAACCTTCAACAAGGCACATATATTTCAGTGAAGCACCAAGCTTGTTTTGGCTTTAAAGAGTGCAGATATATATCAGTAAATAATAGCACCACAACACGTCTTGAACTTCTAGAGTACTGACATATTTGAGTTACCAGACAGGTTTATATTTATATTGTACATGATAATTACATATTACTGATGGTTCACTTGACATTGTCACAGATGTAAACTGAGCAAGTATTGTAAATATTGTGTCATTGATTGTAAATATTGTGTCATTGATTGTAAATTCCCATGGAGGAACAGTAACTACATTTAACGTTGAACATAAACAATATCGATTGATAGTCAATTAAATATTATATTGCTTGAAATGACTATAACGGAATGGGCACAACGCCATGCTTTTATGAACACGTTAAGGCGAATATTCTCAGGAGCTTCGGCAATGTTAAACCAGATGTATAACCATGTGTGTTTCTCATCATCACTAATCCTTCCATTGGACCTCATTGTTCTAGATTAGTTAAGTGTGTTCCATTTGTAAGGTGTATGTGTCTGGTCAATTTGCGTTTAAATTTCAAACTGCAATTTATCTCACTGAACATAAAAAGATTTAACAATAGAGCATTTGCACCATTAAATCTCCAAAATATTTTCTCCCAAAGAGGAAAGATGAATTGAACCGATATGTCTATATCATGAATTAAGCACACCATAGCTTCAAGCGTAGACATGTGGAAGAAATCAACCGACACGACCAACACATGCTATCATCCACACAGAAATCGTCTGTTCATCAATGTCTGTGTTCAAGGTACCAATAAACTCACATACAGTCCAACACGCAATCAATTCGGTAGCATTACAGCTGTTACTCCTTGCGAAAGTTGATAAATTTTTATTGTGAATTTGTTTGGTTTCAAATTTGAGACTCCTCCTACTTGTTGCTTGTTGTTCCTATATAAGCCCTCTCCTACCAGCGCTCGTCACCACTTGGTGTATAGGCTATTAGCTAACTCGCGTAAGTATTCCATTTATGTTTCCATATGTACTTGTGTCTAAACTTCAATGACTTAACGATAGGCAGCAATCATTCATTGTATAATCATATTAATGTAAGAATCAGTCGTCACTTTTTATTCTCACTTTCTTACATATCTATGAGGACGAAAAAGAAATTATCTTGTGTACATCCTGTTTATGTATGAGCTGTGCCGTGTACATCAATTTGGAAATGTTGGCTTTAAGAAGAGAGTTTCGTGGCTGTGGCAAGATGACTGGCGAAAGGGGTGAACTTACAGAAAACACAATACACGTGGCCAAAAATTGTACGAATTTCCTTAAAGTATTTCTTGTATAACAATTTTCACATGTACAGCTTGGCGTTTCACCAGTTATCTCTTTGAGTTTGGTTTGATGTGGGTTGCCGACAGGTACACTGACATTACCTATGTGGTGGCGCAAGGTTAAGGACTCGGTATCCCCTCTTACTACACTCTGAGCAGGTAGCCTAGAGGTAAAGATATCACCCTGTTAACGGGGACTCAATTAGGGTAGGCGTATCGAGCTGACACGGTACACCCCGGCCGACGTGCGATCATAAACCTCCCGCCATGTCTTTACAGCATAATGTCACAAATAGAATGTTTGAAAAGGGGTAGGTCCCAAACTGTATACTATATTGCAACACCACCACCATCACAATGTCGGGGTGTGCGTGATGAGCTGAAGGGAAATGAAAGTGTGGCACTGACAAGACGCGACAGTATTTAAATAACAAGAAGTCATTCATGGATGTGCGGGGTCCAGTGAGGTCCAATCTCTCAATGAGCTGATACTAAATACACGGCCAAGTTTGGCAACTACTGTAAAGATTTGCTTGTTCATGTGTAGATCGGGGCGTTGGGGTAACCTAATGGTTAAAGCGTTCGCTCGTCACTTTGAAGGCCCGAGTTCGATTCCCCATTTCTGGTGTTCCCCGCCGTGATATTGCTGGAATATTGCTACAAGCGGCGTAAAACCATACTCAGTCAGGCATGTGTAGATCATATGTAGGATGGCATGTCCAGATAATTTCTAAATTCTTCTACTTTACTCTAAGTTATGGATTTCTCGGATCATTAAGGACTCATTACAGCTGTGACATACCGTGACCATGACGCTTCATTAACATCTCACAAAGAGGGGATACACATTTCTGCCAAGCCAAAGTCTTTTAATTCCAACATAAGATTTAATGATCACATCACCTGTTACCGAGTACATGTATATAAGGTCGGCCTTCTATGTGCCCAGCCACTGTCTAACTCGAACTAAGACGCGCATCTGTAAGTATGTGTCTTCTATTATACAAACTATGGTGTCTGTTTGACATGGATGAGTGTTTCAGGCAGGACGAGGTATTAAAAGTCCCGTTATGCCCCACTTGATCTAAAATAATGTATTTATTGAGCAGTAGAACTCTTAGATAAAAATTAGAAAGTTGTCAGGTAGTTCAATATGCACAAAGTAATTTCACAACTCTCAAAGTCATTTCACCACACTGTAACAAGTATAGGTAGCTTTGCATTCAACTATGCCAAACAAAGGTTGTTTTAGATGTCGTCCGTTCTGAGTATCAATACAATGTTTAAAACCATTTTTAAACTCTGATTTTTTTAGTTAGCTCCATCAATTTGATACTGACCTTGAATAAACTGATGAGCATACATATGTTTTTCTCGTGCTTTTGGTATGGAAATTTCGACAGTACCGTACAGGTCCTAGCAGTACGAGACATGATGTTCCCGTATACATGCTATCAGTTAGAGCCCCCTACAAGTTTGTTAAAAACCTAGATTTTTTAACTACTGGAGAAGGATACCCGACAACTTGAAATGATTTAGTTTAAATGTTAAGACCAATTGTTATCTGCTGTTTTAAAATGGCAATTATCTAATGTGCCTTTAACATTCAGGTTCATGACTTATTACATGTTTCAGCAATGTTTGGTGTAGTTTGATCTCATGTTCAGTTTCTTGATGTGAGCAGTCAGGTATACATTTTTGACTTTGTGTTTATGCTACAGAAAGTCGTGATGGCTCGATTCATCCTCGCATCGTGTGTTCTTGCCGTATGTCTGGCATACACTCTCGCTGGCGGCGCTATGGGAGGTGAGATTTGATGACCTTTTAACACTACAGATCCCCCTATTTACCATTAATGGACGTAACATTCTTCGCCCGAGTCAACAGTTTTACCCCAGTCCTCCACACCCGTCATATCAGTGCAGACCCACAACAGCTTGACTTCATGTGTGAACAGGAATGAGCCACAGGTATTACTGTGGACGGAGGCCCCCGAGTCCATGCATGTCATAGGCAATGCTTTGTGTTGGTTTTGATTGTCGTAACATGCGATATACACCTCGGACGTTCGTGGGAGCCCTGTAGAGATCGCTACAATCCACCATAATGCCGTCACTATTTGGATGTACTTGAACCGGCTTTTACAATAGTAAAACCCTCCTACACTAGTTAAACTTGGACAGATCGGTGTGAGGTATGATCTTATATTCAGGAACCAGGACCCAATGATATCAGAATGAATTTATCCCTAGAGGGTGTGTTCTCTTGTCACATTGCCATCTTCAGCACTACGCCTATCTACAGTTCTATCAAATCATGCATATTATGTCATTCTTCAATATCACATTTATTCTGTGATGTCGTATACTCGTCACACACTCCCCGTCACATCAAGTATTAATCTTTTTGTGATATCATTCTCTGTCAGATTAGGTATGAGTCTACGAATCTGTGATGTCATTCCATGATAGATGAGGTATTAGTATGCGAATCTGTGATGTCATTCCATGATAGATGAGGTATTAGTATACGAATCTGTGATATTATCTATCGTCAGCTGAGTGCTTAGTCTACCTATCAGTGATATCATTTCACATCAGCTGAATCCCTTGTCTACTCATCAATAATATCATTTCACATGATGCATTAGTCTTCCAGTCACACGATGTGTTAGTCTTCCAGTCACACGATGCATTAGTCTTCCAGTCACACGATGCATTAGTCTTCCAGTCACACGATGCGTTAGTCTTCCAGTCTCACGATGTGTTAGTCTTCCAGTCACACGATGCATTAGTCTTCCAGTCACACGATGCGTTAGTCTTCCAGTCACACGATGCATTAGTCTTCCAGTCACATGATGCATTAGTCTTCCAGTCACACGATGTGTTAGTCTTCCAGTCACACGATGTGTTAGTCTTCCAGTCACACGATGTGTTAGTCTTCTAGTCAACTATATATGGGGCTATGGCGACTAGTAAACAGTACAACATGTTGTTTTGTCCACAGGTGATACTGGTGGTGCTAGTGGTGGTGGCGATGATGACTGCGCAGCCAAACAGTGTGAGTACAACCTCCATCGCGATGACGGAAATGTTCGCGGAGATTATTCACAGAGATAAAGTTTACTAGAATAATATTACTTTATTTTGCCCCAAATCAGAGAAATGTCCAACAATATCTGTATGTGTGCTTTACCAACGATGATTTTCCTTATCTGAGCCTCGTGAATAGGTCACTCAGTCACAATCAGAAATATATCATGACAAACCGCACTCTCGTCCAGGAGTATTTCCGATAGTTCTGTGGAATTTCGATTTGTACACAGGCGCCTGAGCTACCTTACAGCCCATGTTCTCCCTGTGGGGTTTCCGTGTCAGATTACTTCCCGAGGACCTTCCCGAGTAGTGTACAGTACACAACCCTGTGCACTTAAAAGAACCCACGAATCCGTTGGTATATGACCAGATAGTGGCCACATGAATACGTGCAAACACCTAGTTGCGGGTACAGCAACGTGCAGTGAACTTGGACAAAATACTGTGACTATGTGTCCCAGTCCACCCAGCTGTGAATGGGTACCTTGTTAGGATGAGAAAGCCACGATAACTCGGTGCGCCTAGTGGCTGCAAGAGTTGTATACTCCCCAGGGAGTTGAGATTGATAATAAGATGTGCCATTGAGATTGACATCCAATGATCGAGGGAAAAAATACCAGCGCCTTGAGCAAGCACTAGTGCGTGGATGTGTGCGCTATATAAATATCCTATATTAATATTAATATCAATACCTTCGCTTGTATCGAGAACCAACTTATATGGATCACACAGTTCGAGTTGAATGTATATAACCGTATCCACATTGCTGCAAACAATTGTCGAGCTACTGGTTGTTCGTACTATAATACAACTATCATACAATAATACAAACTCATTCAAAGTACAGCTCCAGCACAGTCCAGGCAGACCATGCTCAACTAAAAGTTAGATTTTGAATTGTAAGTTACAATTATAGTAATCGTGACATTGCCTTCATCTAGTTACGATCGTCGCAGCGGCATGTGAGAGACATATGGTTTATGTTTGCAGCCTGCCCCAAGCCTGGTGGTGGATGTGTTGATCTTGGGGGCACCTATCAGCTGAACGCCTGCACCCCCCTGACATGCACAGTTGAGGGTAACGTCTACGGCCTCCGTGGAGACATGAGTAAGTTTATCAGTCCTTGGTTTACTGACAGGTACTAACCCAGTATATACACCTGTTAGAAAACAGTATATTTTGTGTGTAACACGTCCTGCATTTTAAAATAACTAGTTATATGCTTGGGCGGTCGTCGTCTTGTACAAAACAACCTGGCTGGTTGGTTGGCCGGCTGGCCGGCTGGCCGGACGGCACGTACATCGTCACGTCATAATGTGTGACGTCAACTGTTTTGTCTCGCCACAATTTGCAAGTGTGAGACACATATCTTCACTTACTAGCTCTCTGTAACATGTGAAATAAATGACAAAATCGTAAAATGTTCGGCCTCGTAGTGTTCAAGCTACCCTAGCTCGGAAAACCACGAACACCACGCCAGTAACACATATAGCGTATAATGTATTCGATCTTTTCATTCACATGTCAAAAATACCATGTAATCTTCGATAAAGATAGATCAATGTCAGTAGATAAAGTATTATTGTAATTTTTTGGTTGTTTGTCATTCAGTTCCCTAAACGTAATGGTTCGTGAATTGAATATAATTCAATATTTCAGAATGTGCCTTTGGTAGTGACTGTTTTGAAGGAGGTGTCAAGAAAACCTTTGGCAATTGTGAATATACGTGCTCAGTATCTGGCGTCATTGGGTTCATCCAGGATGACCCAGGTAAGTTGCCAGAGATAGAACGCTAGTCTTCTCACAACGAATGTACTGATGGTCTTCGACGCTCTGTGCCCTTCTCTCCAACAGAGCCCGTGTAACACAGAACGTGTTACGTATTTAGGGGAGAACAGCCCCGGTTGGATCTTGTATTATAGGGGTAACGCTGCTTGTCAGGGCATTGTCATTTGCAGAAGCCCTACGTATTCAATTAACTGCCCGAAGAAGGAGTGAGTTGAAAAGACAGTGGGCTTCTCCAAATGATAATGCCCTTAGAAAGAGCGTTACCCCTATTATAGCTTAAATGGATGGAATGTACTTTGGGGTTTACTTAAAACACCTCGCAACGGACTATTGACACAACACTGTAGGTCATGGAACAAGATTATGACGTCATGACGTTATGACGTCGTTATGCTGTGATGTCATTTGACAACAGAACTGATAATGATTAAGGAGTCAGCGCGGGCCATTATCATTTGCAGAGGGGGGTTCATGATAATTTATTCCATTTCAGCTATAAAGACGATCTAACTCTTTCACCAGCCCCGTGACATATAATACCATTCAATGTCCAATACCACGTGTGCCTCTCCCATAATGCCCCGCGACATAAACTAGCGAACAAAAGAAAGTTATCACCGACTTCACAAGACAAAGGTGTATGTGAGATTTATGATAATTATATTACATGCAGAAATCATTCTCCAATAATGTGATTGCTGGTCTTGCAAAAAGTGCATAAAGAGTCACATAATGAGACAGAAGTCAGGGGACACGACATAAATAGCGAGTGTGACCACCCTGGGCACTCACTGACGTCAGCAGTCGACGGATGACGTCAGCAGGAATCTTGTTCCTAAGTCCAAGGGAGTCTGCTCAAGTTCCTGTCGGTTCGCTGGAGGTGCTACACGCTGTCTCAGCTGACGATCAAGATGATCTCAGAGACGTTCAATGGGGTTCATGTCTGGAGAAGGCAATACGCTGACGTTAACGTCGTGCAGGTATTCTCGAACAATTCTGGCGGTGTGAGGCTTTGCGTTGTTGTGCTGCAAAATGATTCATCTTGGCTGTTGTCGAATAAAGGTCTCAGCACTTCATCCCTGTATCGCTGGGCATTCTGATTTCCTCGGATGATAACCAGCCTTCTTTTCTCTGGCCACAAACGCTGCCCCATACCACCTCTATCGAACGGATGAACTTGAACGCAGTTTGGCTCCAGTCAGTCTCTACTACGTCGATAAATTCGAATTCTGTCATCGTTTCTTAACAGTCTGAACAGACTTTCATGTGTAAAGAGCACTCTCTCCCAGTCATCTCGCTACCACCTACGTACAGTTCGTGTCCAGTCTGCGTTGACTGTGTAGACGGGTCAAGGCCATATCACGGAAGGGGCGGTAGGCTCGTATACCAGCCATACCAAGTCGTCGCGGGACTGTTGATGGCGTCTCCTTGTCTTGTAACTAATCTATTCCTGAGGTGGATCTGCCGGATGTAGCAGTCTTCGGTCGGTGTCGTGACTCTTGGTCTTCCCAATCATTGGCTTGTTTGGTGGTAGCGGTTTGTGATGGTGGCCTGGCTACAGCTGAAGGTTCTTGCCAGCTGACGCTGTAAAGAACCCATATTGACCATATCGATGACCCTGTCTCGTTAGGGTTTGCGTAGGTCTTGGCATATTCGTTACTACATGCTTGCTCTGTCCAACATTGCTAAATATGCCACAATCAAGCACGTGCAATTGGACCAATGTTCCACAATTACGTAATGCCATGTATTCCCCTCCCATACAGCCCCAGAGTGAAAACCTTCAATGTATAATACCATGTATTCCCCTCCCATACAGCCCTAGAGTGAACCTTCAATGTATAATGCCATGTATTCCCCTCCCATACAGCCCTAGAGTGAACCTTCAATGTATAATACCACGTGGATCTACTCCAATACAGCCCTAGAGTGAACCTTCAATGTATAATGCCATGTATTCCCCTCCCATACAGCCCTAGAGTGAACCTTCAATGTATAATGCCATGTATTCCCCTCCCATACAGCCCTAGAGTGAACCTTCAATGTATAATACCACGTGGATCTACTCCAATACAGCCCTATAAATGAACCTTCAATGTATAATACCATGTATTCTCCTCCCATACAGCCCTAGAGTGAACCTTCAATGTATAATACCACGTGGATCTACTCCAATACAGCCCTATAAATGAACCTTCAATGTATCATGCCATGTATTCCACTCCCATACAGGCCTAGAGTGAACCTTCAATGTATAATACCACGTATTGCCCTCCCATACAGCCCTAGAGTGAACCTTCAATGTATAATACCACGTATTGCCCTCCCATACATCCCCAGAGTGAACCTTCAATTTATAATACCGCGTATTCCCCTCCCATACGGCCCTAGAGTGAACCTTCAATGTATCATGCCATGTATTCCCCTCCCATACAGGCCTAGAGTGAACCTTCAATGTATAATACCACGTATTGCCCTCCCATACATCCCCAGAGTTAACCTTCAATGTATAATACCGCGTATTCCCCTCCCATACAGCCCTAGAGTGAAACTTCAATGTATCATGCCATGTATTCCCCTCCCATACAGCCCTAGAGTGAACCTTCAATGTGTAATACTATGTATTCCCCTCCCATACAGCCCTAGAGTGAACCTTCAATGTATAATACCATGTATTCCCTTTCCATACAGCTCTAGAGTGAACCTTCATTGTATAGAGCATGTATTTCCCTCCCATACAGCCCTAAAGTCAACCTTCAATGTATAGGGCATGTATTCCCCTCCCACACATCCCTAGAGTCAACCTTCAATGTATAATACCATGTATTCCTATCCCACACAGATCTGGAGTGAACCTTCAATGTATAATACCATGTATTTCCCTCCCATACAGCCCTAGATTGAATCTTCAATGTATAATGCCACGTGTTCCTCTCCCATACTGCCCTAGAGTTTACCTTCAATGTATAATACCACGTATTCCCCTCCCATACAGCCCTAGAGTGAACCTTCAATGTATAATACCACGTATTCCCCTCCCATACTGCCCTAGAGTTTACCTTCAATGTATAATACCACGTATTTCCCTCCCATACAGCCCCAGAGTGAACCTCCAATGTATAATACCACGTATTCCTCTCCCATACAGCCCTAGAGTTTACCTTCACTGTATCATGCCATGTATTCCCCTCCCATACAGCCCTAGAGTGAACTCTTCAATGTATAATACCATGTATTCCCTCCCATACAGCCCTAGAGTGAACCTTCAATGTATAATACCATGTATTCCCTTCACATACAGCCCTAGAGTGAACCTTCAATGTATAATACGATGTATTCCCCTCCCATACAGCCCTAGAGTGAACCTTCAATGTATAATACCACGTATTCCCCTCCCATACAGCCCTAGAGTGAACCTTCAATGTATAATACCACGTATTCCCTCCCATACAGCCCTAGAGTGAACCTTCAATGTATAATACCATGTATTCCCCTCCCATACAGCCCTAGAGTGAACCTTCAATGTATAATGCCTTATATTCCCCTCCCATACAGCCCTAGAGTGAACCTTCAATGTATAATACCATGTATTCCCCTCCCATACAGCCCTAGAGTGAACCTTCAATGTATAATACCACGTATTCCCCTCCCATACAGCCCTAGAGTGAACCTTCAATGTATAATACCATGTATTCCCTTCACATACAGCCCTAGAGTGAACCTTCAGTGTATAATGCCATGTATTCCCCTCCCATACAGCCCTAGAGTGAACCTTCAATGTATATTACCACGTAATTCTCCCCTACGCAACTCTAAAATGTACCTTCAATGTACAATACATGTTTTCTAATTCAGTCCTTGAATGTACCCTGGTATGTGTAATATCATGTTTCCTCGCTCTCCTCTAACTAGTACAGCGCCACGTCCACTTCCTACCAGCAGTATTCTATAGTTACAGATATGAACATACAACTAACAATTTCTTCTTTTTTTCAGCGTGTTCGAATGAGTAGGGCAAATGCAAGTGTCGCACAACTTGGAAGCAGCAAAGTCATTGTAACGTAACGTCACTTTGATGGATCAGGGAACTGTGCAATAAATCTTAAAATAACATCTCGTACCCCTTTCTTGTGTGTTTGTTTTCGGGTTTGGGGTATGTCTATATTATTACTTTTTTCAATCGTGGCCACCATTCAGAAGTTTGAACTTACAGAGTAAAGTTTGAGAAAGGCATAGACTTTTATGATGCAAGTAAAACACGAGTGTTGGATTTGGTTGATCTACCAAGATAAGTCGAAGGACAACCGTTATGTTTTCTCCTACTGTATGTAATGTTAAGGGCTAAGATCACCTCAGTGGACTGGCGGTACGTACACGTCGTGGCCCAGCTCATGCAGTCACATTGTCACAAGGGCTCTTCAACGTTCACTTTGTTGTGAAAACGTTATTCTGTGGACTCCCATTTACGTTGTCACAACGTTGTGGCCTGAGATTTTACGTCGCCACAAGGTTAAATGTATTGATGCTAACGTATTTTACGTTGTCTTAACGTTCTATTTAAAGTCAATAGTTGAAGAGTTTTGTGAACAGTACATAAGAAACAAAGCATAAATTCACTTCAATGTTTATTCGTCGATGTGCATGTTGTTTTGGTCGTGTGTTTTCTGAAGCTGTAGCTGAATAGTGAAGACAGAATAGCAAAGTGATAAGTTTTACACAAAGCTCTATGGTGACACCAAGTTATAACAAACGTTGTTATAACGTTGTGAGGAGCCCAAAGCATAACGTTTCCTCATCGTAAATTTGCAATGTTGTTATTACGTTGTGACATTACGTATACAAGGGGGACGCTATTTTTCAGGGCAGTATCAGATGCAGAAGCCCGAGGCCTTTCTTTAACTGCCCGACGAAGAAGTCTGTTGTATTTTCCGAAAATACCACACCTCAAATAAAACTAATTTAGCGAGGAATTATATGAATTTAGCAACCTTAATGAGGACATTAAAGGAATCAATATAAACTGCGAGCACAGATATACAAACCTAGAGATATTCTCGGGGGAAGCGGGATTCGAACCTGCCACGGTTAGTGACGCAGCTCTGCATTTCCAACTGCGAACTTACGACAAAGAGAACCCCGTGCCAGTATACTACAGAATACATGTAGTTATAACAAAGGTTATGCAGGTCATAACACAACTCACAATCAAAACAGAAACGTTTTAGAATGTTCTTACTGTTGTAAAATCGCTCCTCCACAATAACAAATGATGACTTTCCTCATACATTTTCTCAAATATATGTTTCCAAATTTAAGGAAATCATACGTCCATCGTCTAAGAAGATATAAATAACAAATTCAAACTCATTTGGAAAAGAATCGGTCAAAATAATTCTATGAATTAGACCATATTGGGCAGTGTATTCCCAGAAGAGCAGAGCAGGAGCGAGGTAGAGCTCCAAATCTCGTTCTGGATTAAAGATTTTGACCTCTAGTCGTGAAAACACGTCCATGTCTACTGCAACACAACTGTGATAGAAGTCCCACTACCTGCACCAAAGCTGTTAGCACTTCAAACATTCCAGTTTGAATTATTTTAGATACGGGTACTTCAGCTAAACTACGATATAAGTACTTCCTGTTCCCGAAAAAGGATGATACCTGCCCCTCTATGGTATTTGGTACGTTGACGCCAGTTTGTGCTCTGGACAAGACGTAATGCATGGACTTCTGGATTACCGGAGCAAGTGTCACCTGAACTGCGCTAAACCCTCCTTGGTGCTGGCGGTCTTAACTGTTTGGTATGTGAGGGAAGACACTGATTGGAGACACCGAAAGGCTTCACTATCCGCCGACTGAGTACTTTCTGCTTTACAGACAGTGGCATCAGGGCCGACACCCGCGCACTAAGCGCAGAATGGTTAAACCAGGGGTTCCTCCGTCACCCCTATCAACATCAGAACTTACCATTGGTAGTATACCTTCCTTCTCTTAGAATACGGTGCGTCAACTTCTCTGGCTTCTTCTGTCCTTCCCTTGACTCTACTTTAATGAATTACGTGATTTGCACGAACTTCCCAGAATCAAGTATGCCCGATACGTGGCGCGGTACCTTGTCAATAATAACTTATTTCTGATCTTATTTGTGATCTCACCTACCTTATGGTGTTAGTGTTACATAAAATAGTTTTTCTAACATACCGTCGTCAAATATGTTATTTGTTTGTTGTTTAACGACACACTCAGCAATATTCAAGTCTGGACCAGGCAACCAAGTGACTGAAATCATGAGCATCGATCTACGCGATTGGGATGCGATGACACGCATTGGCAAAGTTAGTCGCCTCTAACGTCAAGCACAGGTTGATGGATCAATGTTTATAACCCGCAGTAGATCTCGAGTTATTGTAGTATTTAATATGACAATTCCATATTTATCACGTATTGAGTGCAGCGATATCCTGCCCATAATAACAGAACTTTGAAACACAAAGGTCCTTCTCTAACTGAAGTCGTAGCAAGTTTATGAACTTCCCAACCTTTTTAGTTTCCGTGGTCAAGGGGAGCTAACCCGCAATGCTATATGTTCCGTATATATCTGATATATATTTTGGATAATCGAGTATGTGATATCAATTATTCATTTATGATATCAAAAATGATCATGAATTTTAGATATCAATAAATTGAATTGTCAGGAAGGACGAAGGTTTTTCGTATGGTCTATGTGTAGGTTAACGCTGCAATCAGCAACATTGCAGATAAATGACATGATCGAGTGGGGAATACAGAGGCAAACGTATAACGACAAGAAGTACTCCTTTAGAAAAACACTTGTAAAGTATCCAAACGTGTACAGATCCATGCACTAACGCACACACAAACAAACACACTGAAATAACTGCAATGTGCCCATGTGGGGAATCGAACCCGGGCTTTCGGCGTGACGAGCGAACGCTTTAACAACTAAGGCTATCCCATCGCCCCACGGGTAGCACTACCATTATTCACCGTGGCGACACAAACTATCCTGTAGATACAAGCCTTTTGTTCTGATCGGCGTGATATACACGCATGTACTTTAAGATATCGGAAAAAGTACACGTGTTTATTTGAACCGACAAGACCATGGCATGAGGAAATGTTCGTCTTAGGAGTAATGCAATACTGCACGCGTGTAAAATACTGCACGCGTGTAATTCGGCGGGACAAGAGCATTTACCGCAATGTTTCCATTGTGATAAAGAGATAGATATGCAGGGAACGCATCGTACTTTGATATTTTATGATATTTTGCTATTTCGAAATTAATCGAAAGTAAGGTGAAACGTGTTTTCTATTTCCTATGAATTTAATGCTTTACAGAAGAAAGAATGGCTTTTAGGAAGTGATGATGTTTACCTTTAAATACAGACATGATGTATTTATTGGTAATCTTAGTAATCGTGTCCGTCTATTCCTAAGTCTCTATACATTCATTCACTCACATAAAATAGTATAACTATTTTTAGAGGCACTATTGCAAAGTTACCATTTGGAGGAAGCTGGAAACATGATTTTGTGTAGGAAGCTCCTCTTTGACGGGATATTAAATAATGATCTTGAACTGAAGCCACTTAACACTTATACCTTGGGGGTACGTATTTACCATTAATACGTAGTTTTCCTCTTCTTCATCCCCTTGAAAACATCTTCCCGTTTGTTATGACTGTTCTTGATCTCTCAAAACGTATTTTGCTACCTTTAATGTGTTCAGCAGCAAAGAGACAGTGATTGAAAGGATAGGTTTCTTCAAAAACATTTACCTTTTTACATTGTTTCAGCAGGGCATGACATTTTCTATACATTTCTAACTAAATTAATCAATATTCATCTGTTCCATTATCTAACAATATATCATTGATAACATTTGCCCTTACATGACATTTTATATTAAACCGTTGGGCAGACAATAAGCCCACAAGGACATAACACCCTCGGGCAAAACACCCCTAGGCTAAATGCCCCCAGGACAAAAAGCCCTTGCAAATTTCAACCCACAGGATAAAACACCCTCGGTGTATATTTTGAGTTGACATGATAATATAACATGATGCTTTCTAAGCAATTCCTCCCACTGCTGCCAGTTGTCACAGGCTCCTCAGTGACGATGTTGTTATTTTAACAATGGAATTAAATCTGCTAAATGTTGTTTCAGAGAACTGGCTGAAATTGGTCACTTCCTCTTATGTTTGATTTTGTTGGGCAGGTACTCATTGTGGCAAGTCAATGAACATGGTGTTTATAAAGATGGTCTATTAAGATGGTCAGTGCTATTGTTAATTTAATTAAATTCCTGATTTCCTGCTTCCTTCTTTAAAGTTTGGAGTAGCTTATCAATTAATGATGTATTATCAAATGATCCTTCCCCACCTGTATATAAGAGGTTTAGATTGTCCGAGGGTGTTATGTCCTTGTGGGCCTATTGTCCTACCACCTGGTACAATATTACTAAACTTTAGTATCGAATAAAGATTGTGAATCTCATCAAAATTGCCTTTAAATAGCAAATATTTAAAGGTCACATGCAACCAAAAAATCAAACATAATTAATTATCACTTATTAATTATCACTTATTCATGACATATAATATACATTGCTGGTTATGAAAAAACATATAAACAAAATTATAAGCGTACAATCGCAAATCAAAAGTGCAATATTGTGTACATGTACTTGGGTTTACTTTCCAAGAAACGAAGCAGCCGGGATACCGAACCCAGTCAGAGCGGGTGGGTGTGCACTCAAGTGTAACGGCTGGTTCATTTGCAGATGCCCTCACGGCTCATTGTGTGTGTATATATAGAGATGTTGGGTTTTGTAAATACATGCTCATTTTTTGTGTATAACATTTTGCAATCAACAGACATCATAACATGCCATGTGTTCAAGTATCACACCTGCCTGTCTGTGTAATTACATAATGTGACAGAGACCGAACTCGGGCCATAAATCAATGCATTTTGTTTATGGTGTATAGCCTGATTGGTGTTAAGTTCAAATGTGGTCAGTGATCGCAGTTGTGTATTGAATATTGTCATTAGCAGACAGGCAGGCAGACACACAGGTGTCAATAAAACAAGACATTGAGTTTTGTCTGTGACAACGACATATCTATATCACAGTTAGAAATTCTGTCAACGCTAAATAATGACATTGCTTTTAAGTATCGAACTGAGAAAGTGACTCGGTAGGAAGAACGTGTGGTGAAATAGACAAATGAAATTATATAAACAGTTAATTTACTGTCATAACATATAAAAAGCTCGCGCCTGTGAGATATCAACAAAACATTAGAAAAATAGCTCACACCAAAGCCTTCACCGAGTATTCACCGGACAACCCGCTTCCAAGTTGCGCGAACCTATAGGGTATGCAAAGGGGAATAACTCCCATTTGTGTATATTTTTTTTCACCACCCTTGTCCTAAGGGTGAACATATATTGTCATTTTATCTTTCTTATAGTTAGTCGTCAATTATCATGTCCCCAAAACACTAGCTTCGTGAGTTTTCTGCTAAACGGTTGTATGATATTTATTTAAACTGTTTTATTTTAGCAGTATTCACAGATTTGATTTCCCGGGGTAGCAATCGACGTCAAATTATTTTTCAGTTGCTTTAATATGTTTGTATATTCAAACGTCTTGAATACATGTCATGATAGTTTACGTTTACCAAGCGTGGTATCCATGGTATATTGGATAAATGATTTATTCTTATCACAAATTTGATCTATATATTTGTTTATGTTTGTGATATCCCAAATTTCAATTTATGATATTATATATGATTTACCGATATAAATTCAATTTACAGATATGAATTGATTCTTGATATCACAATTTTAGATATCGCAAACTGAAATATTGATTTTATCAAAGGGATTTATTGACATAACATATTTTATTCCCAGATTGCAGACACGCTTTAGTGGAAATTACACTTATTAAATTATCTCATATCAAGCCAAATGAAACAGCAACAAATTCATTTTCAATAATTCTCCGAATCAATATTTTCGAATGTACTTTTCGTGTCATAAAAGTGACAAACAATATGTTGTTCACAAGTATGTTTTGCCGCAGTATGACTTTACGAAAGAATAAGTTTTTTTCATATTCCCAGAAGTGAATTATTGATCTCATAATTCAATTTTGCGATATTAATAATTCATTTCGATTTGTGATATCAAACATTCATTTGGTTATATCAAAAAATCGTATTTGTGATATCAGTAATACATATGTTGATATCAGTATTTCGATTTGGTGAAATCTAAAGTACATACCATTTATTGATACAAAAATCTGAATTAATGATATCTCAAGATCGATTTATTAGATCAATAAATGAATTATTCATATCAAGAATAGAATTGAATATGAAAATGGAGCCACATAGTTCAGAGGAGAAGACAAAATCATGCTTTGAAATTGTTCTGTTCAACATATTTCCAAGAACTAAAACTGGAATCTATTATGATAGTCACCATGAGACATGTACGAAATACAGGATTATAGTAACATACTTATATGTTAGGTGTATAGGGGAGCATAACATATATATGTTGTAACAATGGTCAGAGATGAATGACGACCATCCTATGAAAAACCTTTCATGTCTGTAAAACTTAGTACCAAAACAAACCCTGCAGGTAGAAGCGCCACAAATGGGCGTTTGGTGTTTTATCCTGATTTGGGCGCTCTAAATTAATTGCAATCGATGCAATTAACTACGGGCTATTGGCATGTTGGAAACCGTCAGAAGCAAGCGTGTATTCGCCCGTATGCTCAGTAGTTCAGTCTGTGATTAGCAAACTGTGGAACAGATACCAACGAACACAAAAATGTTGAAGACCGAGCCCATTCAGAACGTCCCAAGTCAAAACGAAAGGGCAGGATCGATTGATTCAAACCATATTCCACGAAACAAACGACAAATCAAATTACTGTAAACGTTCCTCAGGCTACTGAAGTTGTGGGTCGGATGATTAGCGATCGTCCATATGCAGCTCGTCGCCACGTGTTGTGCTGCCCCTTACAAATCGTCATATTGCAAACAGACATCAATGGTGTGCACGACGTCTAAACTGGGGTAACTGTCGCTGTTGATGTGCCATGTTTTCAGATGAGACCCGATTGACTTTGCTCTTCTTAGATAAGCATGGTCGCGTCTGGCGACGTCGAATTGAAGGTCGAGCCAATGTCAACCAGATTTGAACCATATTGCCATTGGACAATACTGTTAGAGAACATAGCCTACTGATGTCCCGTTTGCAAGGTGTGTGGGTCGACGTTTTGTCTCTCAAGCTTAAGATTTTCAGTGGCACTGTTCATGTGATTTTTAGAGCTATTTAGACCCCTTTACAAATGGTGAGTGGGTACTCTTCGGCACTGACGTTTTATATTAACCTGACAGGCCGCCGACTACGTTGGCAGAAAGTTCTCAATGAATCTCTCAATGACGATTTGACTTATATCATGCAGAGATGGAGTCAAATCGTCTTTGCTAGATTCATATCTCGTCTCGTTGATTGAATGGACGTTTAACAAATTGTGGCGGTATTACGCACTACTGATCCCAAAACGTCAACTTTGTAATTCCCATGCCACTGTTATCGTACTTCAAAATCATAACTTCAACTGTTCTACTTAACAACCGCTATTATCTTACCTCGCACATAAATGTCGTTTTCTGATTGGCAAAGCCAGTCAATGTGCCCCGCTTACAAGCGAGTAACATTTTCTATGTTACCCGCTGGAAATGCCGAACTGCGGGAATTCGTTTGGTACTTTATGTTACAGTGATTGGGTTGTTGCCCAACTCCGGTACTCCTTATCATGATCCAATACCCGTGCTTCAAAACAGTTCAAAGTTAACATTGAGATGTTCAGGAAGAAAAATACGTTGTTCAGAACAACAGTTACTTATATTATTACCTACGAGGGCTAAAATATCGGGATTCATATTTTTCATACGATGCCCTAGGGCAAATTATCACTTTGTCACGGTGACGTGACGTCATGAATAATGCTATGACGTCACGTTTCTTCTATGACGTTGTGTTCTACATGCGACGACAGCGGGTAGCCAGCCTATGTTAGAAAGTGAATTTGGGTTTATTTTCCTCAATTTGACGACTTCGGTAATAAATAGAATCGTATATTCGTTCACATATCATACTATGTTTACGACACTCGTGCCTAAATATCGGTATATATCTCGCTCTCGTTCGGGAAATACCAACATCTAGGCACTCGTGTCGTAAACATAGTATGACATGGGCACTCATATAATATCCTCTATGTAATATTTTTACGGGATTATTACGCTAGTGTAATACTGCTAGACGTATGACGTCATACTGGTTCACAGTTATGACGTCATATTGTTAAAACCTCTGTCACAATGGTATTAGACCTTGCTTGACTTGCGGAAAGCTAAGAGTCATCACACTGTAAGCAGTTTCTATCAATTTAGGATGTTGGAGAATAATAAACAGAATACTGAATTCGCTCGTTTGATACCAAATCATTAACTCGTTCAATAAAAATGGTATTACACGAAAGGTTGTTTAGTATCATCTATATACATGTATGTGTTTCCAAGTATCATACATATGTATGGTTCTTCGTTATGTCATAGCAGTAATGATTTCAACCCAAATCGAAGTTCTTAGCTCAGCCCCCCAAAATGATTTTGTTAATTCAAAAGTAACATTGATAAGATTGGTTGAAATTATAAAAGAATATCCCGTCCTTTAGAAATAGATTCCATCTATGTAAATCATATGAATGGACCACTGGAGGTCGGTGATGACAGCAGGTGTTTGCTAAAAGGGTAAACATGACCTGTCCTGTCGTTAGCAGAGTGTCAGTGACAAAATTTTACATAGTTATTGTTTTTAGTTCTAAGATACTTTAATTTCTTCAAAATGTATTTGCAAAGTAAAGTAACGATACATATTGAGGAGGCTATATACTCCTCTGTTTCACAAAGCTATGGTCGCTTTACTGTTTACTGAATATGCGAACTCGGTGCGAGAATGATATTCACAAGCACAACACAACTTTAGCCCCTCTGTTTCAACCAGGCTTGACTGTTTTCTGGAACGAAGCAGGAATAGTTTATTGATATATACGTGAGAGTGTGTGAACATCCTATATACCAGCTGTGTTATATCCTTGTGTTAAACCTGTGACCCATCTGTGGAGGAAGATGCCGGTACTGCGTTGCTGGTGTAGATCTGTAACTCCCGGCTTGGATATTGTCCAGTTGGTGGCTACTGCTGTCCACCATGGTGGTTCTTGTGGCAAAGGATTGTTCCATCTCCCTCTTTCTGACCCTTGTCCGGCAGCAACACAATATGGCATGTTTGAAACTCTTCCTGAAGTTCTTGGACATAAAGCCGTACACCACAGGGTTGGTGCAGCTGTTCATATATGACATAAGGAAGAAGGCCTGTCTCATTGGTTTGAGGTAGCCAATGTGGAGCTCGGGCAATACACCCGTGGATACCAGGAGGTTGTTGATGAGGATAGGCCCCCAGCAGATGATGAACAGCACAACCACCACAATCAACATCTGGATCACCTGAAACAGAAACAACTCTAATGTGACGAAGGAAGATTAAATGTTGGACTATAACTCAATAAAGCAAGGTGTAATCGCCCAATGGCAATGTATGTGTCCTTTTCTAAGTGTATGCAATATCGAGTGAGTGTGTGAGTCTTGTGACGCTGACTGAATTATGTTGTAATCCAAAATCAAATTTACATCTCTCTTGCTTTCTGTGTGAGTATTCCCCACTTGGGTACAATGTGTGAAGCCCATTTCTGGTGTCCCCCGCCATGATATTGCTGGAATCTTGCTAAACGCGGCTTAAAACCTGACTCACTCACTCTCTGTAAATATATTTCGCATATATCGCAATATTCCAATACATCATGGCGAGTCATCATTAAGGCCCGGAGTGCCACAGGTCTGATGGATTTACCAACTTACGGTAAAACTACGAGTTTGTGTTTTGTGCTAATATACCAAGAATTATAATCAAGGCAACCCACAATAATTATTATTGGATTCCGGCACGCTTAACCGACGTTAATGTGCACGAATACATGTAATTGCGACGCCTGAAACGTTAAAACACCTTTTGTGAAGTATTAATTCATGTACAGGTAAATGTGTGGTAATATTTAGGTCATCTTGACATATTGATCCCGTATTGTATTGAAAAACAAAAAGAACTGTTTCCATGACTGCACACTTCCGAGTAAGATCAGTAAGATAGACAAGAAACCTGAAACATTGGTAGGTCTATATATGAATTTTGTTTTTACAATAATACCGTTCACTCGGGAGAAAGTACATTAACTCTAAATGTCAAATTGCAACAAAAGAACATTTAATTCTGAAATAGAGACGTCCTTAATTCTGATTTGATAACGAAAAATAGGTCAAGGTTATTATCACAAAGCAAGCCCCCCCAGCGGCTGGCCCAAGCGTATGAAAGTTTCGCCCCATGGACGCGCAAGAAACCTACGACCGATGAGAATCGCTTCACTTCCATATGTAGCAGTCAGACCGTGACAGATTGCGGTCTGAAATGCAATTCAAAGCGGCGTTGTACGCAACTAACTCACTCACTCGTCTTGCGAACAGTTCCAAATTCTGATTTTATAAACTGATATCACTGTTATATCCGTAAACAAACACTTCAAACAAGCCTCTGTGAAGATTTTCACAATATTTTAATGCGACATTCGACAGTAATCATTTCAATAATTTTACAACCAGAGTATGGCTACAAAAACGCCCTTGATTTTCATCTGTCCCATTTGGCTAAAAAGATGATTCAACCGACTACTGATTTCATTTTAGATATCATAACGCCAGGAATAAAGTTGACATTGCACACACTTTCATTTCTCATGATGCATTAAACCACTTAAAATACAATGATCAAATCTGATTTTGAACTATTAAACTCACATGATTTCGAAAATAAATCATTATTGACGACAAGGTGATGGTTTAGGGCGTTATATAAAATACTTCAAACCCCTTAACGATGATAATGATTCGGTGACGATAACTGGGGGAATTTTTCTAACACAACTACTTGTCCTCCGGGCGATTCCAGAGCACTACTCCATATAAAGCAGTTTATTTTCTTTGGTTTGGGTGAGTAATGAGGTAGTGATTTTCCAGAAGAAGTCGCGACAAGTCATGCATCTGCATCAACGTCCTTGAATTGCACCGTGCAATCAATGTAGGATTAACGACCAGACATCTATCAGCTCGCCAATACTGCCTCTAACAATCTGCAGTCTCCGTAATGGTAGACGGGGAAACCTCCATGTCCTTTACATGACAACTTGATCCGAGAAAAATTAACTCACTCTCACTTCTAAGAAGTCATCAACTTTTTATTTAATACCCAAGTAAGCATCTGTCACGTTTTCAATTAAACTGCGTACTGTTTCAGTAGAGGGAATGTTGATCAAGGACGGCAACCAATCCAATTCTCTTGGTAAAATCAAGAGGAAACAGTCACTGTAGATCTCGCGGACAATTTAACACCCCACCCACCCCCCCACCCCCGTGTTTGTTCCACTAACACATTACGTCCACTTTGACAGCTTAAACTGACGGCTTCTGGCACATGAGACATAGTAAGTCAACAGGCTCCTTGAAGTTGATGATTCAAGATTCCTGTAAACTGACACTCAGTTCTTTGCGAAACATCCTCAAGATGCTCACCCCACTAGCTTAACTCGTTACATCATTCTGAAGTCTGGACGTGGCATCATAATAATAGTTCGATGTTTAACTCGAATTTACATCCCATTCGAAACAGACACATTTCACGACAAGCTGAACACGTGCTCTTTACTTCCAAAAATATTTCAGGAGGTACTTTTAAGTAGCAGTTACATGTCGACCATTTTTAAGTCTCTTACAACGCCACGTGTATATGTCTGAGTGTGGACTCTAACACACAAACGTCATTTCATCGAAATCAGTTTTTCATACACTACAGGCCAAGACGAAACGCTACCCTCCTACCGTTACCACTACTGAATTACATTGAAACTATCAAAGATATGTTAGAAGGTATTAGTTTGCAAGAAAACTTAACAACACAGCTTTATGCAAATCACGCAAAAAACAAATTCTCAAATGCATTCATATTTTGGTGAAATGCATCTGTTTCAGAAGTGTTAAATTGTCCTTTATTCGACCATGCCGAAATAAACCAATAACAGTCATTTAGATGTCCAAAAGAAAGGTTGAAATAAAATTCTGCTTTGAGACAAAGATAAACCATTTAAAGTTACCATTTTTCAACTATTAAAACTATACTATTTTCAGCTATTATTCATCGCTACAGACAGATTGGGGTCATCTTAGACAGACCAAGAAGTCGACGTCCATGTATCACAACGCCAGCTGAAGATGGGTACCTCCGTCATTAAGGAAGAAGGGTAACGTTTCTTTTGGCGTTCAGTGTATTTCTAGCATATGCATGCCTTCAGTGACTATTGTAAACACTTCCACACATAAACGAGAAAGACGTCCACAGATAAACGTGCTTTTCTGTACGGTCAGAAAATAGATTACATCTGAGGAAAACTGAATAAGACATTTGAAATGAGGAACAGGCACTAACTTTACATTTCTCTTCATCCAGTCGTGACTTCTTTTCTCTTGGCTCTTTAAACACCTGGTTGGGGTGTCTGTATATGGGAGCCACACAGCCACCTGTCTGGCGAACCATTGGTGTTCTTTCATGAGATGCGTAACTCCCGCCCCTGAAACACATTGCACGTTATCTGTAAAGATATTCCCTTGAACCTAAGACAACGTATGTTGCACGACAAAATAAGGGATTTGTAGTCGTACGTGTAAATGTGTATGTAGAGTGAGTGAGTAAGGGCTTGTATGTTGGTAAGAGGACTATCGGTGTTTGGTGTAGTTCTCAACATTTCAAGGGAGCATAGGTGCGTTGTCTAAATTGTGTCCCTTTGTGAGGCCGAAACTTGTGATCGATGATTCGGGTGTGGATGTACCCTGAGTATATTTCAAGGTTTGTCAGCACCAACGACTCGTCGAAGTGATGAACGTCTATTATGTGCAATACGTAGCTCCCGCCACTCACAATACTTCAGGCCCGTGTATGTGAGTATTAGTGTACTGTTCACTGTTTAGTCGACATTTAGTAGTTACACTTTTAGATCTTATATGTTTCTAACTTGAAATGCAAATATCTTCTTCTTTAAAAAAACACCCTCCTATGTGTCATGTAATTGCTGCAGTGACTGGACCAGAGTGCCTATTTGAACGTGATGGTCCCCTAAAGTCCATTAGTTGCCAGATAAAAACATAAAGGTGCCACATCAAATTCAGGTTCAAAGAAAAAGCACCATCAACACAGCTTAGTATACACTGATCAGTGTTATCAAGGTAGAGCAATACACCACACAAAGTGCGGACCACAATGCCCATACTTCCGAGACATCAGTGTTACAACTGTGAAGCATTAGACAGGTAGTGGCGAGAAAATGGACACCAAACCCCCAGCAACAATGCAAAGTTATTTCTTCGAGAGTTTATGGGAAAACATTTTCAACATTTATGAGCAAGAGATCCTAAAAATGCAATAATGTCTCTTAAGGACCCATCGTAGGACTAAAAACTGGGCTATATTTTTATGACCAAAGTTATGGAACGAAAGGAGTGTTCGACCGAAGGGCTCGACCGTTAACATTGATTTATCATCCCCGAGGAATTACGTATTTGCTGTACACTTTAGAATATCTCAGAATGAATTGCGTCAAATCCAAACTGTCTGGGAAATATCTTAGAAGAGTTGTTTGAACCAGTTTCAGAAATATTACTTACGCCCTACTCAGACAGACATTAACACAGATGGCAGTGTTAGTACATGAGATGTGGTCAAGTTTCAGCACTAGTATATAGGAATAATGCTTTTCGCCGACACGCGTGACGTCCTGTATGAGTCAGTGCTTGGTACACTTCCTACATCACCTAAATACATTAGATATCGGATTCTATACGTGACTCCAGGACAAGAACAGTATATCGCACGTCAAGTCAAGATCTATCTCTCACTTTTCCTCATTATTGTCACTGTGGTGGCCTGTTTTCTGTGTTTAATACAGTTCGTGTAATACCGCCCGACAATATATATATATTATGCTCATTATTCCATGTCGAAGCTGGTGAGTACTGTCACAGAGTGACTATGGGGTACTCTGTTTTGACAAGGTATTATCCTTCAACATTATAGCTTTTCGATTGCTTCACTGTTGTAAAGTGTTGATGTTCATCTCGTTGGTGTAAATAAGGCTGCTCCACATTGTGCCACACAAGCTTTATTATGACATTTATATTCATAACTGGTCATCCTCTTGACCGTGTCTGCCATGACAACAGTTATCCCAAAGCAATGTTATTGTTTCTTTATCTGTCTATTGTTGTTTCTTTATCTGTCTGTTGTCGTCTATAATGATCTATATGTTCACATCTATAGTGTCAGGTACTCCGACTGCACTTGTGTGTACGGCCGTGAGTAGGCTATCCGTGCTTCCGTCATAGTAGAGTATTAATCACTACTCGACATATTTCTTAATGTAATCTGTTCATTGTATTATAACCGACTAAAGAAGTTGGGACTCAACGTATTCGTTCGTCTTCTTGAACGTATAATTCTGAGCTAGTTCCAATGTCGACATGTATACGCGTTGACAGTATGAACAGGATGTGTGTCTGCATCAAGGAAACCCACTGTGACCAAGCCAAATGGGTCCTCGAGTCTGTCTCCATCAAGGAAACCCACTGTGACCAAGCCAAATGGGTCCTCGAGTCTGTCTCCATCAAGGACACCCACTGGGACCAAGCCAAATGGGTCCTCGAGTCTGTCTTCATCTTATATGTGACAGTGGCTAGTTAACCAGTTGACTAGCAGCTCGGTTTAAACCAAAAGTGTAAAACAGTTCAGTATATATGTGCCATTACCATTAGATACCACAGAACGCGCTCTTGTACCATGCAAAATATTATATATACATTACCTATTACATATATTGGCTTGTTTTGAATATCGTTGAACTTGTAACTCTTATAATTAGGGTAAAATGTGAGCGTGTATAGAATCAAGATTCATGTTGGTAATTGACTGATTCATGTAGACTGGCAGGCCGAGCAATCCCCGAGACGGCCAACACGTCAACACTGACGTATCTTACACCTGTTGTCTTTACATGTCATACTTTAACAGATGATCAAGTGAGTGAGTGAGTGAGTTAATATTTATCGTCACATCGGCAATATTTCAGCCATATCGTGACGAGAACAACAGATGATCAAGACTGATAACTTAATGGAGTCATGACCCCATTTATTCTGCATCAGCAAGTATTTCAATCATTAGTCAAAGAAGACATGGTATTTCCAGCAGTCGTTAAACATAACAAAGAATACATGAAGTGATATCAAAGGCCTGAGCAGCAGATTCTGACATAACATATGAGGCAGATGGACAGCAAAAATTACCAGGGTGAATTACATCACCAGACATGTCTAAGTTAGCCCCTCCTGGCGGGATAAACACATGCTGCAACCCGTGCTCTTTAATCTAACAGGGGGAAGTAGACGAGGCCGAAAACTCAAGCCTGTGTTACTGTCTTTACAGAATTCATTGTCGGGAATCTATGCGATGGGGCTAGTGGCAAAGATTACCTCACAGTAGAAAACATTAATCATCGTAGAGCGGATTTGCAATCCATTTTGGCAAACAGTGTATTTTGGGGAGCACGTCTGAGATTGCTGATGTGGGGCGAAGCCCGGGGGATCAAGTCACATGCAGTGAATGTCCTTCAGGGTAGTCAATCGCTGTGGGAAAATTGTCGGTTTCACGTGTCGTCATTTTATTTTAAATATTGCAGCATTTTGAAAGCGATTTAAGGTCACATTATGATTTGGACTTTGTTTACACTTGCATAGCTGTTGACTGGCATTGGCCCGGGTTATTACCACCGAGTACGGCAACTGAACATTTTACATGATCTAAGTTATGGAGTCTAATCTACATGTTGCCTACCGAGATGTTTCGAGACTTTGGAATGATAACCAGTCAGGGGCGTAGCTACTATTATAAAAAAAGCCCGGGCTTACACATGATTGTTGCTAAAAAGGTTGGGCAAGCCCTCGATACTATCTGCATATAAAGCTTTGCAACCTATCGGGTTTACACGAAAACATTGGCTGCCAGTGCGAGGATATATGTATCTATGCTAACGGAAAAAGGTAACTGTCCTCTACATGTAGGGTAACGATGATGTATGTAGTAACTATAATCGTTTTTTAAAACAACAATGTATTATTTCATTATTTGTCTGACCATTGCTTTATCAAAACAACTTACTATATTGACAACACCGAGACCTGGTACCAGCAAACCTAACAGTGGCACAGTGTAATGCCTGACCGCCATTGGCGGTGATACTGACGAGGCAGCCATGGGGAGAAGAGGTGTGGGAAAGAACAGGCCATAGCTCGACATCTATTTTATGGTGATCTACAAATCTGTTTATCGTGTGGGCGGACGTTATCCATGGCGTCGCTATAACATTCTCCTTTTAGACTCTTGCACGACCCCAAGAGCAGAAGAACGAGCAGTCCAGATGAAACCAGGATTCAACTGTGAACATTGTACTAGCCAGTCTTGCCTGAAGGAGACCTGTAACCAAATTAGGGCGTTCCATGGACGTCGATATGTCGGTGTTGTACTCCATAAAAGGGTGTGTACGATTCCGCCCCCAATTGGTCTCGACCTAGAATTGTTAATATGGTATTTGGTATCGACACTGTAGATGCACCAACCGAATATTGTTATCATGTTGACGTGACGTCACACGTCGAGTGTTACTTCCCTGTTGTGTTTCTTCTCTTTCCTAAGATATTATATTGTGTTTCTTCCCTTTCCTAAGAGATCATATTGTGTTTCTTCCCTTTCGTAAGAGATCATATTGTGTTTCTTCCCTTTCCTGAGAGATCACATTGTGTTTCATATTGTTTTTCTTCCCTTTCCAAAGAGATCATATTGTGTTTTTTCCCTTTCCTGAGAGATCATATTGTGTTTCTTCCCTTTCCTAAGAGACCACATTTGTTTCTTCCTTTCCTAAGAGATCATATTGTGTTTATTCCTTTTCCTAAGAGATTATGTTGTGTTTCTTTCCTTTCCTAAGAAATCATATTGTGTTTCATATTGTGTTTCTTCCCTTTCCTAAGAGATCATATTGTGTTTCTTCCTTTTCCTAAGAGATCATATTGTGTTTCTTCCCTTTCCTAAGAGATCATATTGTGTTTCATATTGTGTTTCTACCCTTTCCTGAGAGATCATATTGTGTTTCATATTGTTTTTCTTCCCTTTCCAAAGATCATATTGTGTTTTTTCCCTTTCCTGAGAGATCATATTGTGTTTCTTCCCTTTCCTAAGAGACCACATTTTGTTTCTTCCTTTCCTAAGAGATCATATTGTGATTCTTCCTTTTCCTAAGAGATCATATTGTGTTTCTTCCCTTTCCTAAGAGATCATATTGCAGGCATATCGTTGCTTTTGGCATGTCATAGCATTGCGTAAACGACATTTACGGTCTAACAATCTATCACTGAGTACTGCTCGCACATTTAAGGTCATACTCGAAATAAGCTACCAAACATCCGAATTGTGCCGTGTACACAAGCGAACACGCTTGAATGGTAAATCACGACCAAATCGAGATATTTTCGGATGCACGGATGCACTGCTGACTTCGGAGTATAATATTAATTACACTTTATATGAATCACGGTTACATTTTTCCTTTAGTACAAGAAGGAGTACGAAACTTCCATCCACCTGTTGTGCAATGACTAGCGTCCTTAAAGCTGGATCTATTGTGATCACATTTAAGTATCCTTCATAGCAGACCAGACATTAACTTCATCAAGTAGGTATGACTTTACTGAAGTACGTTATATTAAGTAGTTTGAGTTTTCTTCATTGTACCTTTCCCTTGACTACACTCAGGTTCTCTGAAACTCAGACGCCCTACAAGTACAGTATTTATGTCGGCACGAACCATCCACGACCTGTGTCACTTTGGGTTCAGCTCCAAACTAACCTCACGGAGGGACCAGAGGGTCGGGTTTAATACGAAACATCTCATGGTGACCAATCCGTCAGATTTGTAGGTCAATGTAAGGTTGCGAAACTGAGGGAAGGGCTAGAGAGGACTATGTAATGTTTGACAGCCGGCCAATGTAACAAATGAACGCTTTAGTCTGAGACAGAGGAAAATGACATTGTTGAAAGAATATTTTGTAAATTGTAAATCGCCTTAGGCTTATTTTGCAGTATGTACCGTGCAATATGGTTATTGTTTGAAGACGAAAGAGCACCCACAATGAAGGACAACACAATATGTTAATAATTACCTGACCTAATTCTCTTCTCCTTTCATTTCTCCATACCAATTTAAAATCAAATGAAAAAAGTTGTCTTAAGTGATTAAGTGGGTATGAATTCAGGCCCCTTATTGCAGTATTCCAGAAATATGACAGCGCGGAGGACACCAGACACGGGCTTCACACATTGTACAGTTGTGGAAAGTTGAACGCGACGATTGATTGTACCACCAGGCAACCCCACCGAACGTGTTGTAAAGGACATATTCAGAGGCTAGAACATAGTACTACAATCCTATCATAAGAATAGTTGAGAAAACTCCATGGCGAGGATCACTGACTTGTGTTTTACGTCATGGATTTCTCTGGTCAATACTCTATAAAATAGAAACGGGCACAATGCAGTTAGAAACTTATTCACCCACACCACGGATGTAGAAACCTAAAAATCGGAATTAGCCGTTAAACATTCTAATAAAGATATACGTTAGAAGTCAACTTGAGCAGAGAAAGGACTAACGCTAAAGAGCACTTGCTGACCGTGATGACAAGCAGCAATTATTGACTCCTAGCTATGTACAGCTGCAGTGTTTGATCCGTCTGACATCGGAAATCAGGAATAACATGGACGTTCCCATAGCTGAGTGGTACTGCCCGAAGAACCCGCATGTCTGTGATTAGCCAAACTAGGCAGATTTACTGCAAATACACATACTGGAAAACCCGGGGCTTGGTACTTGATTACACTGTTAAACAATAGTGGCCCAGGGCAACGACCAAGGATTTGTGCCTCCTAGCATACCCTGAAGTATTCACACTTGCACTAAAAAGGCAGTATCTAGTTTAGATCACAGAACGGCTATGAAATTGAAACTGTGATGTGAATCTGTTAAGGAAGTCTTTTCCAGCCTTGAAACGAAAGCTGTTGAGATGGGACTTGTTTGTGAGTGACGAACGATTTCATGTGTTTCTTGATTAGTGCAATAAAATATTCTATATTGAACGAGAGTCAGATTCGACACTTTTTTTCCAGAGTTTAATCAGGTTTCTGGTCTTAAAGGCAGTGCATAAAGTGTTACATTATTCCCAATTGTGTGGCCATGATGTCAAAAGAATATTAATCACAATGAGTGTCAGATCTAAGCAGTGCTGATAGTTTAGTCACAGTATACAAGGGGATGCGTGTTGCTAGAAAGAAATACGTCAGTCAATAACCGTTTCGTCTCAGCAATTATATTTATATTCATGGTTGCCAGTTAATGGCAGGAAATACGTTTGATTGCTTCAACTGTCATATGTTCAAGTACTTGTATATAAATTGCATTTCAACTTAGTTCCTCTGATGCTACAATTGAGAGAACGTTTCATGTGAGTTCACCGAGAAACATTTTTATTTTATTTTGTGCAAGTTAATGTAACTGTAGAAAGATCTAGAAAGCGAAGCTCCATGATGTCTAGAACACTTTGGAAAACTGTTATCTGTCGACCGGTGACCACCGCGAATGTTCGACTATCAGACGTCAATCAATGTCTAGAATATTTGGCTTTGAAAGAGGTGATTTTCAGCTTAACCTCTGATGAGAAACCATTACATTGGAGGCCCTGTGGGAGTTCTGAAGCAGAAGAAATGCCTTGTAACAAAAGCCGGCAAATGGGGATCAGTTGGTCAGAATGTGTGATCGCGCTGACCGTCTGTCAGTCAACTGTCATTGACGATGCCTGTCAACCTCTGATGAGCCATGACCTAATTCGATATCTACAGATCGCCATGATATGGCGTATTTTGTAAATTCAAACGCATTCATTGAAACTTCAGTTTCACTTCCGTTATAATGTTATCTGTGTTCACATGAAGGTAAGTTGAAGTTATGTAGGGGACGCTTGGAGCATGTCCCCTGAAGGAGAATTAGAAGAAAAACATTCCCGAAAAGATAGCGTGAACCACAAAATTCGATCCGAAGGCTTGTTGTAACTGATCTATACAAGATTACAGAGCATAATTCTGCCCCAGTCGTAATCATCAGTACAGTCCCATCAGCCACCTGACCCGCTCGTATGTCTTACCGCTAATGTCTTTCTACTTAGATTTCAAATTCAGTACCAGGGTTCCTGGGTGAAATTGGACAGAATACAATTTAGTCATGACCGAAATAGCCAAAACCTCCTTTACCGCGCGGAAAAGGCAACCCACATATGGCACTGGGGTCCTGCCATCGGTATATTGTCAGCATGTAATACTATCAGTGTGTGCCCGTGCCACACGGGTACACGGGTACATGGGTACATGGATGGGGTGCAGATGATCTCTTATGGAATTGTACTCGTGTAATTCTACTATTTCTAATATAGTACTTATATTAGTACTTGATATAATGTAACAGCATGTTAATCGAATATGCAAGTTGGACAAGGAAACAAACAGCCCAAGAATCATCCAGCATTATCAGTCGGCCGTACGTTCACATCCAGATGTCTTGGAGACTGGGTGTGGCAGCCTTGTTTACGATGCCACTGCCACACCCCTTTGTTTACACTACAGTATCTGGACAAATATTTGCCACACAGACTGGGACAAGGGAACAAGTCTGACAAAGTTAAACTCCTGTAAACTGAAAATTCTACAAACTGGTAATCCGTTGAACACAGAAGACGTTTCCAAAGCCGCCACTCCCTCTGGCTGGAGTGTTCCTGTCCATATCAGTAATTGAAGTGTACAGAACGTGACTATCCCTGCGAACATACGTCGAGACCAGATCGAAGTTGAAAGATGAGAAGATTGAGGAAGACTAGAATGGTAGGTAATCATAACCATCAGACGAGGTTTGATGATTGCTTGATAATTACAAACTCCTTCATATATCCGGACAGTGGAATGTGATTACTTTATACACACACTTGACCCTCGTAGCCCAGGCGCATATAGAGAACATTGGGTACGAATATTTGTTACGAACAAGGCGTATAGTTCTATAGATATACAACTATTACAAGATATGCGACGTATCGGTGTTTGTTCCAAGTGGTAAACGTAGTAAAAATATGATCAGATCTTACCGCTTCATGGGATGTCTAGATGTTCCAAGTCAGGATATTCTAAGGTAACTTAGGGTTTGAAACGACATGTAGTTCTTCTGGTCGAGTTCACTAAACTTGACGAGATAATGTGCGTGTATACATGTTGGAGGCAGCTGTGTGGCTTCTCTGTGGTGACGTAAGTTAACGATAATTTCTGTGAACTGATATAGACGATATGTAACACATATTTGTCAAGAATAATATCACTTAACGCTGCATAAGCAAGTACGCAGCTACCCACGTCAAGAAATGTCTTGAGTTTTACCGTATGTTAACAACTCAATAAGAATGATGCAGATCACTAACATCTCAGTCAGACCTCAGTAAACCTGGCTGTTCAGTTTATTTGTCATGCAGTTTGATACTTTCCCCCAAAAGAAAGTTGTGGGTTGTGAGTTTCTTCGCAATGGAACATATGACAGTTTAAACTTCAGTGCTGCCGGAAAGTGCTGCCAAATTCATTTATTGACCTGGTAGTGTTAGGTAAGAATTTAAACAATTATGTAATAATGGCCTCATGCAGATGACGTAATGAACTTAGTAACTGGACGTAGATTGGACAATATCATTAAAGGGTGTCACACACATATATGTATCTGTCAATGTTAAAATGAAGCATCACACACATCAATCGGTATACCATGACGACACTTGCCAACTTAACGCGACTCCATTTGCATGTAAAACTTAGTGGTTAAAGCATTCACTCGTCACGCCGAAGACACAAGTTCGATTTCTCCACATTGATACAATGATACCCATTTCTTGTGTTCCCCGCCATGATATTCCTGGAATATTACTAAAACTGCCTAACACCAAACCCAGACTCTTAACAACCATCTGCCATGTCAGTAACACCATCCTGTATGCATTTGATACGTTTGTAAGTTATTTCACTTTCACTTTCAGCGTCAAATACGGAACCTGTCGAAAACTGCTTGTAAAGGTAATTCATAAAACAAATAGCAACTACAATGTGTGGCCCGTCATTTGTACAGTTCAACAAAACCAATCTGTTATCAATCCACCAAATGCAGATCACATATTTGTAAATGCCAAGAGTAGATAAGGCATAAACTACACACTCTGTCTGTAACCTATAGCTGAATCAGTTTACAAGTTGTTGTTTAAGCTGGAGACTGCTGTTCACGACCCCTGGGTTGAGTGTGTGTAACTTACTGTGTAACACCTAGTGCCAATCTGGCGCCTGACACTCGCGACAGCTCACAGCAGATCCCCGTGTAGGCGACCACCATCACCAGTACTGGCACCACGAAGATAATGATGAACATGTACGACTCAAACAAGATGGCCAGACTTGGGTCACCATACTTCTTGATACACCAGTAGGCCTTCCGTACTGTCCCGACTTCATGGTGCGTCTGGAAACATCAAACAGTAACAGCATTCAACGGACAACAGGCATGTAAATTGGAATAGCAGGAGGCACTGAGAAAAAAACACTTGCGAGATTTGACCGTCTTTCATATCAGCAGGAATCTAATATAACGGAAACTCATTCATAAACAGATCTGTGTATGTGGTCACTGCATCCTATAGAGGTTGGTTTGTTGGCGCAGTTTCTTATTCAGTAGCAGTTATGAATGTTGTTTTCACGTGTTAATCTATTCAGTAACAGTGATGAATGTTGTTTTCTCGTGTTTATCTATTCTGGAACATTAACATCAGTTTTTGCATACCCCAAAAGTCATGGACCTTTTTGATGTGAACCAGAGGAAGCATGTATTACAATGTTTTAAGAAACACAGCCAAGCAATTGTTGTTGGAATTGCATGATATTTGCAAATGGCCAGCAATGTTCACTTTACATGGACAGTCAACCAGCCGCTCATCATGTCCACTCCATGCAGTCTATCAAAGTGCAGGCGTCAAAACAAAACACGTCCATTAATCGTTCTGGAACAAGTTCTACATGCCAAGCCTCGGGGGATATAGAGAGCTGCAGACATGCTTCAGTCTGCTACCTCGCAGTGTGACGTCGTTTGTCCATTCAACGGCCATAGAAACATCATTTGGCACGTATGGCGATACTCCATAACAACATTGCAAGAACTCCGTCAAATCATTCCTCGGATATTGAATGATCTTCCCCGGGACTTTCATAGTCGTAAAGTGGTCTCATCGAGGCCAAGGTGCTAGACCTGCATCAATGCACAAGGTGGACACACTCGCTACTGTCTATGTGAACTTACTTGTGAACCATTTCCTGTGTTGTAACTCATTTGCATAGGTCAGGGGTGCTGTTCTTATGGCCTGTTGTTTGGAACCATAGTGGAACGCCTGCCTTTCCATGTAGTATCATTTCATTCGCGGCAGTAAAAACACCGATTCTGTTAGTCTTTGTGTGTAACAATACCTTTTGCCTTTGGGTATGTATATTTACCATTGCTCGTATTTAGAAAGAATTGTGTTTGATTTCTTTACTACGACATAACTACTTTCAACGTAACTGTGGACGTAACTGAAGATGCTAGCCCTTTCACGTGATGTTATTACGGATCCAATTCATAACTGAAATTGATTAATGCCATTTACGTGTTCTATAACGAGCTTACCTGTATCACTAAAACCGGGGTAGCCATGGAGAAAGACACAACCCATGTGAAGAAGATGACGACGCGTGCATGTGCACTTGTACAGATATATTTGGCTCTGAGGGGCATCAATATTGCAATAAACCTGCAAGAAGAAATGATTGCAAATCCATATAATTCCATTACGTCTACAAGAAACAACTTCCTCCATCGAAAAGATACCCCAAGGTCTCATTGCTAGTGCGTTGAACCGAAATCAATAGTGTGAATGAAAGTGTAGGTCTCTATCTAATTTCCGAAATTGCAATATGTTGCTGTTCGGCATATCATATTGCAAAGTTCATACGTCAAGTAGGATTTGTATGATGTTTCTTGTAATTGTGACTGCTAATCTCATAACAGAAGTCATTTCCGAAATGGATTTTTTTCTGACACGTCATAAAACTTGCCTCCAAAGGACGTTTACAACCCATTTCGGGACATCTTTGTTTTATGTCGTTCGGGAATGCGCCCCGTACCGGCAAGTACAAGGAAGGTATTTTCTAAATCATCAAGCAGACACAGCTTGGCCCTATAAAAATAACAGTGTTTCTATGTGGACATTGTTTTAGTTTGTTGTTCCACGCTGTATTCGAATTGCCACTCATTGCATAATATCGAAAACCTGTCTGTATGTCACGATAATCCAAGTTATTAATAACTTACGAATTGTTCCTCATTCCACAATATCGAAAATATGTCTACGTCACGATACTCCATTGGATTAATAACATACGAATTGTCCCTCATTCCACAATATCGAAAATCTGTCTACGTCACGATAATCCATTGGATTAATAACATACGAATTGTCCCTCATTCCACAATATCGAAAATCTGTCTACATCACGAATCCATTGGATTTATAACATACGAATTGTCCCTCATTCCACAATATCCAAAATACGTCACGATAAATCATTGATTAATAACATACGAATGTCCCTCATTCCACAATATCGAAAATCTGTCTACGTCACGATAATCCATTGGATTAATAACATACGAATTGTCCCTCATTCCACAATATCGAAAATCTGTCTACGTCACGATACTCCATTGGATTAATAACAAACGAATTGTCCCTCATTCCACAATATCGAAAATCTGTCTGTACGTCACACTAATCCAATTGATCAATAACATACTAATTGCCATTCATTCCATACCTTGAATATGTTGTCAGTGCCAGTTTGACTAAACCGTATGCTTAAAACATAAAAAGCCATATTTTCATTGAATGCACGTTTTATACATGCAGATGCCAACTGTTTCAAACCCGATTGATCATGTCCCATCATGAAACTGGTGACATGAAGAAGCTGTCTTGCCTCGTTAAGAAATCTCTGGATATGATGTCAATAAACCACCATCGCGGTCACTAATAGCCGGCAAAAAATCCATAGTAAACTTTCAATGAACGTATAGCTGACGATCTGCTTCCAAATGAAGAAAACATCAATAGAACTGTCAGTTCGCGTCACTCACATGTAGCCTGATTTGTGTTACATGATCCGTTAAATTTCTTATATGGTTTAAATATCTAGAATGGTAGAATACGTGCACATGACATTCAGGTGAAAGTTGAGGGGCTGCGATTAGCCCGCCGTTGTCCTCCTGTCTCTTTAAAGTTGACTTTGTAGTTCACTGACACAGGGATGAAACACCACACGAAATATGATACAAATATTATCATGAATAAAAATGATCTGGTGGTCTGTCTGCCCTTTGTCGAGTATAAGGGAATACAGTATTAAACTTTGACTCGCAAAATAAAGACATGTCAAATGGTCAGTGTTTGTGAAAGCATGACATTGTGTGCTTCGTATTCACGATCAGGGCTATTTTTCCCTCAACATTGCAATGTCAAATGTTAATTTGCTGATTTTTCACTTTTATCTTCACTTTTAACCTTCTATACGGACACATTGTGTCTCCATGGCTGTTGAGTTAACTGAATATAAACTATGACCTTTGCAGCGATGTACTTATTGGCACGTGGAACATGGACGTACATAAAGCAGTGCAGACATTGTTGCCTTCCGCAATAAACAAAGGCAATTATCAGGACGTTACGTACGTGTAATTACGATTTCAAATTGATCTCCTGTGACGCAAGCTCTGCATCGGCTACTGTGAAAACATTCTGGGATTATTCCATCGATGTCTATGTCACACACACAACACCATGTTAGTCGGGTTTCACCGTAGCCAGTGTCTTGCAAACAATCGTCTACAGCCATAGCTCAAAGCCTTTAAAAAAGCATTTATGTATGGTCGTGCAAATGTTTATTGAGGAAGGTCCACAAGAATGTGCCTTCATTTCAGTAACTCAACACTGAAGACTACCATCGTTTACAAACACTCTCAGTACACAGCGGGTGGGGTAATTGGGGAAAAAGCTGGAATATGAAAACTATGTACATCATGCATGGCAGCAATGTGTGGGAAATACAAGTCGACGTCATTACGATGATGATGCAAAGTATCACCAGGCCAACATTCCAGTGGGTATACCTGTATAGGACAGTTCTTGGTTGTCCGTGAACGGTTAATCAACGTTTATCAAACCATTTATATGAATGCACTACCAAGAAAACCTCAGTCTGAGAAAGCAGTCAGTGCTGTGTATGTTGTATTACTAAGGCAGAGTAATTATCTCTAACACCATTTAATACAGGAAATACCACTTTCTTTACGGGTACATAAACTTACACTTTACACTAGTAGTCAAATACCGTTCTTTACTACAAAGGTTTTCAACACACAGTACGTGTTAAAACAAACCTCCTATGAACCGCCTCAGCCAACGCCTGTTTACAAAGACGTTCCAGGGGACGTTTCAAGAGACAATGTAAATGTCAGTGGTGGTGGATGTGGAGGCATCTAGATTCATTGGAATGTGAATCTTGTAGGGAATTGCCCGGGAGAAACACGGAATGAAACGTCTTTGGGGTAGCATATGATGAGTCCATGACGTGTCACGGATACCACCGGTGCTAAACTTGGGATTCCAACACACAGCGTTACACTGCCCCTGTGGACACATCCACAACTCACAATTCATTATTGTTCTGCTTACCTTTCGATGCTCATGACAGTAAGAGTCATGACAGAGCAGATCATCGACACCGTCTGCATGTAGTGGACGAACTTGCACAGGAAGGCGCCGAATGACCATGTGAAGGTAAAGAATGCAGCGCACTGAAAGAAGACATGCACCAAGAATAAAGACTGCTAGCAACCTTTGTGGTGATGCCCTGTACATGTTCACTGCTTTATCCTAGCCTGCTTTATCCTAGCCCTTTATTGTCACATCTCACTTGCATCTTAACATTTTCATTCTTTGAATATAGCTAATGACATATCCTAAGGAAAGTGGAGAAACATGATTTAAATAAGTGGTAAGCTTCCAGGTATCAACAAATTCCGAAACATTACATTTTAAATGTGGCTGCCTACGGGACAGACTCAAGGAAATTGTCAAATACTCAACAAATACTTCACGTATGAGTCACAAACACTTCAAATTGATTTCCTAATGGTTAACCAATTACGCGACTTCCACATTTTTTCAATACAACCTTAATAATTGGTTTCAGTGAAAAGGCTGCCTGTGACAAAACCGTCGCGTTTGAGGGGGGCCACGCAAAGGACGAGTACATGGTTTCCGGAATTTAAAGACATTACTTTTTCTACCATGTTTTCCCTGACAAAATGATTTTAAATTTAATTACGACTGGCGTGTTGTAGCTTCTGTAACACATTTGACTCTTCGTTCAGAAACTGAAAACCGCATGGTTTTCATACATTCTGCTAAATAGAAACAAGACGAGTATGGTAAATAATGTTATTGATTTTAAATCGCGACCTACACGGATGCGTGAAAGTAACAACTGACATGTTTTATATGTCATCACTGACTAAATGACTTCATTAAAACTCCCCTTACCATGGTCGTCCAGTATAGGAATTGCATTTCCCTTGGTAGGTTCAGTAATTCCCTGGCGCACTAGCAACTAGGCTTTTTCCATCAGGAGCTCGTTGACTATGTATATGTTTCAGTGATTTCACGATGCACTTGTCACATTTTAGTTTCCCTCAATTACACAAGTCGTGTTCATGAATGATATTATCATTCCGTGTGCACCATTTAACATACACTACATAAAAAGCAAGTCGACCAACAAGTATCCTTTATGGGGATATATTTTGAAAGGAAATGTCTTTCTTTGATCTCCAGATAAAAACATAAATGTACTTTAAGCGAAATACAACAATGTACACGTTCACTATTCTAGAAAATATAAAATACACACAATGTCCAGGCGTGTCATTAAACCATGTCTTGGAAAAGGGACTTTGCCAATACATTAGCCTGCTTCGGCGTCTGTGAATAAATCCGCCGTTTCAGCAATGCGATCCTTGGTAGTGCCAAGCCCAACCAGCCCAAACCAATCAAAGTAATATCGTGGTCTAGTGCCCTGAACCATTCCGCGTTATGGCCTGTTGTAAACGTACATTAGCGGACAAATGGTTTGATCCGAAGGGTCAGTTGACGGACAAACGGCAAGCAATTTGTTGCCCCTGTCCATATCGGCAACCACAACTAACTCCATCACGGGTGAGTCTGTGTTTAACGTTCAGGAAAATATGATTATGTAGCTGCGAATATAGCTAATAATAACTGCTGAATATACCTCTTGAAAACAATTGGTGATACTGGAACTTTCGTTGATAGTTTCGTAGACTTATGAACATATGTTATGCAACCATACGTATCCAAAACTAACCGCCTGGAATTCCGTATTACATGGCTGGGATCCGAAAATACTGCTAACTGTGTAAATAACATGACTGGAATCCGAAATTACTCCTAAAAGTAACATGGCGAACATCTCATAACTAGAACAAAGGGACGGTCCATAACTGTTTTAACTGGAAACCTTGCTTGACTTTGAGGTGATTGTCACACTCAACAGTTTAAGTTTAAGTAGCCAGTGTGCTTTAAAAGCACTAAAATTAGTATATTTGATAAAATTCATAAAGTTCAGTTGTAAATTTATTGAGAAATAATATGTTTTATTCAAGAAGAAATCTTTATCCTAACAATTAGCTTGATGTTGCTTCATTTTTCATGTTTGTACAATGCTTGACAAGAGAATGTCTCCGGCAACAGGACCGACAACTTGCTGCCTATGTTCCCTTTACTGCCACATCCATCTCGTATCGATTCTATCTTGTACTATCCCTGAGAAGGTCTTAGATAATGATAACATATCAAGAGGTCGACCTGCTACTATTTACAGCTAGATTACAAAGTATATATAATAGTTCCTGTGTAAACACACACTGACGACACCCTGGCAACAAACGTCTACTTCTACGTTGAACCTGAACCTGCCTTCAGACCGCACATCTGTTGCAAGCTACAATCCTTTATACTGGACTAACTGATGCTATTCCTTTCTATCGCCGAGTCGTATACTGCCTGCATAAAACCTTGCTATGTTATTTCAAGCATAATATATTAGAAAATGCAGAATACGATTTGATATTCTGTATGTTAGTCTAACATGGTGGCATGTGCATGAGACACAAAACACGTTAACGACTTCACAGACATCTTTCAGTATCATAGATCAGAGCGGTGGACGTGATGCACCACGCTACAACGTTCTCGCCAAGTTAACTCCGCCATTTTCGACTTCCTTGTTGTAAAACATTCTGACGTCATAATTCTTCGGTTTCCTGACATGACATGATCACAGGGATGTGTATTTCAAACCTGATTATAGCGAAGATCGCATTTTTCTCCATGTTGGTCCGTTCAAATATTTTTGCAAATGCCAATTGGGTATTTGCCTCGTATTTTGACGGTATATTATTATTTGAAAATCCGTATGATGCCATCGAAAGTAATTCATGAATTGGAAGCCACTCATGATATTAGACTAAAACGTAATCATGTGCAGATTATGTGTTTGTCTTTACAGATTGGAATAAAAATACTCTGCTTTGTATTCTATTTAAATACGAACCAAATGATTTTAAAAAGCGGGGCTAGTTATTTTTCGGAGAATTTGTTGAATATGTTTTGTCGACATGAACTGATCACGCTCTGAGAGTGTTTCCGCAGATGGCGCCAGGCCCTTGTGACACCCTGAAGCTTCTCGACAACAGCCTGACCCAGTACAGTAGAGATGTCACATAACCCAATAAGCATGGCATAGCAACAACTCTATGTCCACCGTCGCCTGTTGTCTGGATGAAGAATCAGAAGGTGTCATTGCGATAGGAGTATGGCCTATTCAGTAATTGTTAAGGCACGAAGTACTCTAGTACACGCAGTGACATGTTGCTTTGTCATGTAAGGATTCTGGCTTTGTTGCTGAAAGAACATTTGTAAAACAAGACAAAAACAAAAATATTATCTAACTTCACACTAATAGTATTTATTTATATATACGTAGAGAAACAAATAAAGGAACACAGGAAAATTCAAGCGTTCCTTTATTATTTTCCAGTTTACATCACCACAGAGCTATTCAAAGCTTGTAATGAAAACTAGAAAATATTAAAGGAACACTTGAATTTTTCTGTGTTACTTTATTTGTTTCTCTACGTATATTAGTGGAAAACATTTACTAATATATTTGCTTATCCTCCTAATGAAAAACACAGGATCAACATGTTCGAAGTTTGCTCTGAGTGGTTGAACCAGTGTTATGCCTCCTGTCTGTATTTGGTTTGCTGTGCTGAAACATGAGAGTGGGCAAGCAGATGTCACACAAACACAATAACACAAATCCGTGACACATACGCATGTCTGGACAATGAGTTTCAAGGGTTTGAATGTCAGTTCAATATTATGGTTTGCGATCACGCTTTTCGTGTTTCAGCTAATTGTATAAGATCCGATGATTATGTGCACATTTGCTGTCTAAGATATAGAAACAGAGTAAGCATTAGCATCCAATAAATGGACATTTAACGCACCCTTGAGTACTAAATCAAAACTCAGAAACATACACCAAACTAAATAAAACATTGTCTACAAAATACATGGACATTTAATACACCCTAAATCAAATACGTTATTTTAAAACCATATATCGCTATGCAATGTAATCGAAGTTCATACATTTTTATATAATCCATTTATCTCCATTTCTAGTTGTGAAACTTGAAAGCATTGAATTACCATCTGATTGAGACTGATAGAAGGCGAGTGATTGTGACAGACCATGGAGGTTAATGTCTCTTTCAAAGTTTCACAATGGACCTTAGCCTTGCATTGGTTGTCTTCAGTTCTTACACATTAATTAGATACGTCTGTATTCGTGAAACAATTACAAGGAGAGATTTTAATATAAATGTCTTCAAAGGAACCTCTGCAACCAGGAAAAAAAGCATTAAAGTAGTCAATAATGTCTCCCGGATTCGGACGGAGCTGGGATTAGTATGGCTTCACACAGCATGATAGCGAGCTTAGTAGGTCTGTCTAGGTATCATCCTCTGTCTATAGCCCCAGTTCATTCTGAGGTTTGGAGTTCAGAACACATGTCAGAAACCAAAAGGAAGACCTCACTTGTTGGTTAGAGCTGTTTGTTTCAAGTGGAATTCGTTGATCCCTACAACACAATCCATGTCTTTCATCACAATCCTCCCCAATCCACTGATTAGTAGTTATTTGTAGTTTTTATTCAATTTGCATGATAAAATGAATCCTTCGACTCCGTCCCAGACATAATTACACCTCACAATCACTGGATACCGTTTGGGTCGAAAGAGAAAGTTCCATTTTGTTCCTCAGTGAAATCCAACAAAAGACCTAAAATATCTGGGAGGTCTGCGAGATGAGCATTGTGTGGCCGGAAGTATGTCTTCCTGCCCTGCTGTGTCATCTCCCAATTTCGGCTTGTCTTGTGCCAGTGTCTCCGTGAGGCAATCAAACTCCCCCTATTTTCCTGGCGTGGAAGGGGCTGTGGCTGAAAACTGATGCTGTGCATTGTGCAAATCCACAACCTGATAGTCAGAACAAGTCGTCTAGATATATATGTTTCAATTCAAAAATGCAATATAAATTATCTTGGGTTTTTTTTATAAGGGTCTCAGGTGTGTCTATGTGAAAGGGAACAATACCCCCGCGGGAGTCATGTGGTGGAAGAGCGTTTGGCTTGACATGTTCAGAGCGACCAATT